AGGGTTTAGTATCATGTAATCATAAAATATACGAGAAGAACATAACCCGTATCATGCCAACAACTGGTTTTAGAATAAATGTATTTATTTCCGATGCAAAGACCCTATGAGTGAATCAATACTAATTAAAAAAAACACATCTTTAATGACTTGACAACAGTATCGTAACTATATCCCTTGTGAATAAGTCTGTTTAAATGTTTGGTTGGATTTTGAGGTGAGGTATACTTCTACATTGGCTAGAGGTATAGGGGAGGTTGAGATCTCACAAAACATATCGCCGCATTTTTGTGCCTGTCCCAAGTCAGGAGCCTCTGGCCTTTGTTAGTCTTGTTAGTCTTGTATGTTTTTTTAATTTTAGTTCATTTATATGTTTTTGAGTTTAGTATGACGTCCATTTTCACTGAACTAGTACACATTTTTATTTAGGGACCAGCTGAGGACCACCTCCGGGTGCGGGATTTTCTCGCTGAGTTGAAGACCCATTGGTGGCCTTCGGCTGTTATCTGCTCTTTGGCCGGATTGTTGTCTCTTTGACATATTCCCCATTTCCTTTCTCAGTTTTATCTATAAATAATTTAGGTGTCCATGCAGCTAGTTATTATCAATGTTTTGTGTTAATGACAAAGCTTTACTTTATAGTTTTACTTTTTTCTACTTCTATTCTTAAATTTACAATTACATTTGTAATTCTTGATTGAAACACGGGCTGAATACTAGTACATGTCGGACTATTTCTCTGCATGGAGCAGCGTTGCAGCTTTCGTGATGCACGATCGTGTTTAAAAAAAAACTGCAAAGAGGGGGGGACAAAATAAACCACAGTACAAGGAGCCGCAACAAGGATATACTAAAGTACAGTTGAAAAGTGTCGGAACTATTTCTAACTTCTAACAAAATCATTTTATATTAACAGATAGGTAATAGTGTAAAAATATCATCTGTATTTTAGTATAGACCGCATTTACATTTCTACATGTATATGCCTGATCTGAATGAAAGCCCAAGGTAATTGTTATCATTAAATGTTTCAGTTCATTACATAGGTATGCCAAGGTTTACCCCTGACAAAGATGATGACTGTACATATTACATAACTAAAATATTTAATTTAACCTATTGCATTGTCTGTTGTATGTATTAAGTATTGTTTTACCATCTGTCATGTATAGGATGAGATTTAAAAGTCACAAATATTTGTTCATCACTTTTTAGATTAACTTTCTCTAATGCGCTTGACGATTATATTTTAAGTGCAATGAAAATATATACCGGTAACGACCAAAAACAGGAACAGTTAATACCATAGAATACAAACAGTAAGCGTAGACTTCAAATGTAACAAATGGTTTCAAATAATTCCATGGTCAAAACATAAAAGCATAAGAAATACATTGGCTAACGCAGAAACAGGCAAAAAACATGATACTTACTACTTTTTGCTTTTTTTTTCAAATATGACTAAGATAGGACAAACATCATACGTCAAGTCAAGTAATTGTAACGTATTTTCAACTGGACAATTTGTGTAGTGGAGTATAGACTTGTCAACTGTTGATTGATTTTTTTTGGTTTAATTAAGTAATGTGTTGGGTTTCTGTCTCATTGACGTATAACCGGCATCATCATTTGTTCAAACTAAAAACTTGTTTTTCTAAAGAAATGTATCCATCTTTAAACAATTTTCAATTGAAAAGTGCCATATGTAAAATCAGAATCAGTGCCCATGATCTCAAAATAGAAAGAGACAGGTATAAAACTTTATATATAGAAAAGAGACCAAAGACTTTGTAAGAAATGTACTCTAAATCTGGTTGAAGATGAACAACATTTTATTACTAGTTGTCCAGCATACAAAGATGATGGGGAGATATTTTTCAAGGAGATAAACAGTATTTGTCCTAATTTTTCATATCTCTCAAATGAGGCAAAATTTGTTTGGTTATTTACTAATGAAAATTTGTCTGTACTTAAATATTTAGGGAACTATATTATTACATGTCCAGATCTTAGACGAAATGTAAATTAATGTATGTAATAACAATGATAATTGTAATGATTTTATGGTTCTGGTCCTGCCTGGAATTAAATGTATGTGATTCATATAGAATGGAGATAATAACATGTCTGAACTTTTAAATGTTTCATTTCAATGTATAAAAAAAAATGTTTTTTCTGTTACAAATCCTGATGTATTGTTTTATGCGTACATGTCATGCTGCCCATCAAGGGCCCTTGATTGGAATAATAAATATTCTATTATTCTGTTCATTTTTAGAACATTTATAGATACTGTCTATAAAGAACGTCATAAACACATTCTTAATGGAGGGGTATAATTTTGTAAAATTACGTTATCAATAAATTGAAACTTCAAATAAAAAAGAACAGGCCCATCAAGAGTGAAAAGTCACCTTGAAATTTCAAACTATAAATTTATACCCTGTTTTCAGAAGGAATAAAAATTGATATATCCTATTCAAATTGTAACAGTATTTGTTAAAGTTATTTTCCCGTTATAGTTTGTAATTGGTGATATTACCCTGTATGTGCGTGCTTGAATGCACAGGTCCATCGTGTCGAATACCGCTCAAACCGGTACTAGGGATCGTCTTGAACTTGAAGAGAAATACGAGCTTTCTGTCCGTGTAGAAGGTCTCATTGTGGCTTTCATATTTGTCTCGGGGATTTATTACCCGTATCCCTTCATGTGAAATGAATTACATAAGTTTTTTCGTGTTTTTATGCGCAATAACAATGCAGTTCGACACAGAAAACGTATTTTGTAATGTTTAAGTTCTGTCAAATATAAGCGGGAATTAATCAGTCATAGAAATGCGTAAAAAGATCAAAACAATAATAGGTCTAAGGACACAGTTATTTCGTAGTGCATTTCTTTTAGACAATAAATACAAAATAAAAGAATCGTAGATGCTCTATCTCAAAAAATATGTTTACAGTGTATTGAACTACTTTTGGGACATATCAAAATCATAGGAAAGTCTACCAGCTCTAACTCAAAATATGGACAATTATATGTTAAGGGTGTCTATAATTCAGTTTGACAGCTTCAAACACTATGTTTTACCATTTTGAAGTGGACCAATTACCTTTTTTACCTACAAATTTATGACCCAATTTTTTTACATGCAATTTCACCCCCTCCCCCTTTTACTTACCATTTTATACTTAAAATAAAAAGAAATAAACTTTGAGATACATAGTGTATGAAAAAAAGTTAAACACTGTCAACACTAGGAACTATATTCGTAGGCAATAACTGTGTCGCCGGAACAATACCATAAATATGCATTTAGTGTCTGAAAAAAATGCACTGATTTAATATAAAATCAGGAACAAGAAAGTTTCAATACGGTATAAATACTTGTGATGTATATTGGAACACCACTATTAGCTGCTTTTTTAATGGATTATTCCCTTAACTTTACTTTAAGTTAAGTCCTTGATGGTATAATAGGAAATTGTTGAACTATTTCCTTTATCTTTTGATCAATTTTAATATGACATAGCAGGGCTTACTTGTGATTATCATATATCCTCATGAGGGGACTTTCAGTCCTCCAGGCGGTATTACCACATTGGTTAACATGCCATGCATATAAAAAAAATCAACTGAAGGCATTTTCAAAACCAGTTGCAGTCCAGGATGGACGCAATTTCCTGCTACTTTTTTGTATTTACATCCAAAAAAAAAAACTACTCGTCTACAAATGGATTTAAATAAATGCACGTTGTGGAAAAAATTCAGACTGGAATGCACAGCATAATTGCATCTACAATATAAACCAAAAAAAAATGGAATTCAACGACTTCAAACGTCTGTTTTATAATTTCTTCCAGGGTGTAACACAGATGTCAAAATGTCTTGTGTCACGAGCTTTGCATAAGAATGTATAAATGAGAATGTTTATGTAACCATATTTGGTAGTCACCTTGCAACATGATACCTTTATTGCATTTTATTTGTATTCAAATTCAATGCGATTCAATTATTTTTGTAATAACAGAATGGGTATAGACACACCTGTGTTGACGAAATCTACAAAGAGCGCAAGTTATTTCTTCGTGTCAACTGAGTCACACCAATAAATAATCTCAAATTAATGCAGACCGAATATTATACGATTATACAGACAGATCAGATTTCGATATCTTTGTTCCCATTCAAATAGAAGTATTTCTAATTAAAATCTGAACTAAAATTTGTAAATGGTAGAGATAAGTTATATTTTATTACCAATTAAGGGCCCACGAGGGGCATATAGAGAATACATGTATAAGGAAAAAGAACATTGATTAGCATAGATACATAGAATTTAAATACACAATTACAATACAATTAGATTGTAAAAAAGCCCTTGGTTTAAAGTATACAATATATATTTATATGTAAATGATATGATTTTTTGCAATTAAAATGATGCTTAAATATTTCTTACTCAATTACTATTTAAAAGTTTTCATTGCAATATATGTGGTTTGATATCATAATTTATTTTCTTAATACGAACACATAAATAATTTTTGCCTGGTCTGGCTGAACGGATCCGGAATTTGAAAATAAAATAAATATTTGAAATATCGTGCCAATGAAAATTAGCATATGGTAATATTGGTCGTGACGATAACCATGATTTCTTTTGTGTTGTTAAATGAGGATATTCATTTCTCGAAATATTACCACCTTTTCTAGAATTACGCACATTTCATCATGTTCGACCCTTTGAAGTGTTTAAACAATAAAAATATTAATCGAAATACATCCGTTTTGGTTTCAAATGATATAAATCGCATTAAAAGCTCCAGTAAATTAATTAATTTTGCAGCTCTGTGATTGAACATTATAATGAAACCGCACCAAATTACGTCAAAAATAAATTTTGTAATACCACAGATTGAAATATAAACATTCGAGAATCACCTTCAAAATTACCTTTAAAAGGAGACAGACAAAAGTTTTATCGATCTTTTAAAAAAACGTACGGAATTTACATAATTGATGTTTAAAAAGACAAACCTACTGGAAGTTTATTTGCAGAACTAAAAATAAGTGGGCGTTAAACAGTGATCTAATAGGCTGAAAATGTTGAGACTATTTATATATGGAGTTACCGCAAACATGTTTATTAATATTTGAAAACTAGAACGAGAGAGACATATTCAGGAAACCAACACTTGTAAAAGTTATACGAGGTACAAGTTTAAAAGATAGTAATTTACAGGTATCGCAAGGTAAGAAAACTTTTTAACAAAGTTAGATTTTGATTTAAAAGAAAACAACTATCATTAATATTGTATTATATCTGATCTGATTTGCGTATTTATCTCAACAAAATTGTGTTATTAAGAAACTACTGACAGGGGATTTCTCAAATAGGAAAATGTTCAGAGCTCAAATATTTTATTGTGGAAAACCATAAAGTCATCTCTGGATGTTTTATATTTTATTTCGTTTGTTGTTTAACTTTCAGAGGAAGTATACACTATTTTTATTTTATTGTAATTTTATGTAGAACATGTTAGGCTCGCTGCAATGAATGATTATACTTGTGATGACAATTTTAAAGTGTTTTCAGACTCAAAATGATGTACTATATGATTGGTCTGAGCTATTTTAAAACGTTTGATTTTCACTTCAGTACATACCTTCACCTCTAAGGTTTCCTGCTTAGAGTGACAGGTCAAAGAGAAACTCATTTTTGAGGTTAAGCTTTTATAGGTTATACAAGTACACCAATTGAGTTTTTAATTGATATCCTATTAAATAAGTGCACGAATATATATGTATGGTACGATTTGCGGTTGCTATAGACGCGTGACTCTTATGATATTGAGCTGTAAAATCGATATAATTTCATCCACGTTTTGCATTTCAAATCTATTTTCGCCTTTTTCTTGTAAATTTGTGCATTTGTCTAGTTTAATCCACTGCAACTCTACATATTCATTCAATAATAATGGATTTTAGAAAAATATTTCTGCTGCGTTCGATATAATTTGTTTTTATCAGAAACTCTTATATTTTCATATTCATAAATGATTATTTAAAACTGTTTACAAAACTTTGAATTGTTTGAAATACTAAGGATTTTCTACCCCGGCAAAAGATAACCTTAGCTGCATTTTGCAAAACCTTTCGGAATGTTTGGCCCTCAATGCTCTTCAACTTCGTACTGATTGGAACCTTTTATTTTTTTTATTCGAGTGTCACAGATGGCCCTTAACTTGATAGTGATCCCATTAGGTTTATAATAATGAAATATTTGATTAACATACGTATCCAAATATGTCGTTCATTGAAATGGGTTTCCGATCTTAGGAGAAATGGGTTTCCGATTATAGGATGAACTATTTCCGAAATGTGTTATACATAGTGTATTATCAAGTAACTTATACCTTTTTTCTTCTTCACAGAAACATGAAGCTAATGAAGCAGATTATTGTTTATTGTATTGTGATCATCGCGGCAAAGGCAGATTTGCCGTGTCCAGTAGCAGAGTGCATTTGCGAAAATGGACCAATCGGAAAAGGCAGAATAATCAACTGCAGAGATAAGAGTCTTACTTCCGTTCCAAAGTTTCAACCATCAGACGAAATATTTCTTGAACTCACACTTAGCAATAGCTACGACCCAGTTCTCTTATCGAACGGCGCCCAATGCCCATCGTGCAACAAAATTACATTCCTTCCTCCTACCGCATTTAGAGGACTTCGATTACAAGGACTTGATCTGAGTAAAAACCAGATATCACAAGTTTCCGACACAGCGTTTGAAGGATTGGAAAGCTACCTGGAAGAATTGTCGATTGATGGGGATAAGACCATATCCCCACCGTACAGTGCTATGTCAAGACTTTCTAACTTGAAGAGTCTTTCCTTACGTCATTTCAATCAAGCACATATGAACAGACAAAATACAATGATTGACACTTTAGTTAATCTGGAAACATTAGAATTAAAATACATGGACGTATCCGCATTTTCCAATGATTTATTTTTATATCGGCTGCCAAAACTGACAAAACTCCATTTAGAGGGGTTGCCAATGAGAGAATTTCCAGTGAAACAACTGAAACCTTTAAAGTATCTTGAAAAACTCTATGCTGTATATATGCAGCTCGAAAACATTCCATATGGGGCTTTCCAAACGATGACAAACTTAAAAGAATTGGTTTTATCTCATAACAAAATTGAGACACTTTATCCTGGATGCTTTGAAGGAATTGGTTCATCTTTAAAAGTACTTGGACTTCATTTGAACAATTTAGACGAAACAAAACTAGGCCCTCTAGCCTCGACGTCTTGGTCGCAATTGGAAAAGATAAACCTCGGACATAACAGAATGAATACCATACCGAATGGATTATTCTTTAATATGAGAGACCTTAATACTCTAAATCTTGATTCGAACAAAATTGCAACGATAAACAAAGGGGCTTTACAAGGACTGGATAAGCTGGAAAATCTTGATCTATCCTACAACCAGTTGGACACAATAAATAAAGATACGTTTTTATCGTTGATCAGACTGAGAGTACTAGATCTTCGGAATGAAAACGGCAAATCTTCCACAGGACTTTTTAAACTAACAGTGGATAGTGTAAACGGTTTAAAACAACTGCAAAAACTAATTTTAACCGATACTACCGTCGATGAAGTTGAATTGTGGAAAACAATACAATATTTAGAAAATCTGGTTGTTTTAGAGTTAGGTGGAACAGACATTAAAGAAATTCCTGACTTACAGTTCACATTCAATAGACGATTGAGCCATTTGATGCTTGAAAGAAATTCTCTTTCGATTTTAACACAGGCTAAATTGTATGGCACGGAGAAAAGTCTTGAATCAATAAATTTGCAACAAAATAGCATTAAAACTATCGATAGATGTGTATTTGCCAATTCTACCGCCTTGAAAAGTATGTTCTTATATGGAAATCCCCTCCGATGTGACTGCGAAATCAAATGGTTGCAAGATTGGATTAGAGAGCGCAGTGCAACAGAACCCTTTTTTCGGTATATGGTGAATGGCATGTGTCAATCCCCTGAGCATCTTAAGAATGTGCCCATTTGGAATATTCAAGGAGGCGGGTTGACTTGCGGTCCATCATATCAAATACCAGTTTGCCAAAATTTTGAAAGCACGGCCCAAACCATTCCTACGCCTACTGTTAGAACGACAGAACAACCAGCTGTGGACAAGACCAACAACTTCAGATTTACAAAAGTGTCTGAAACTGACCACACTATAGAAATCACGTGGGAAATGAGGGTTCCAAGCATGGTGTCTTCGATGAAACTCGAATATCAGAAATTAGGACCTTACCCAACGATTTATCCCGTGCATGTTCCGAAATACGCAGAATATTTCAAAATACAAAATGTGGAATCAGACAGTCAGTATTTGATATGTATGTACTCGGAACTGTATGAATCAACAAAACCAAAAGAAAGAATATGCGTTGTCATCAAGACACTTTAAAAACCTGAAGATCAAGACCGTGACGCTTTAATCAATCAATTCGAATCAATGTTAATCAAAAATAAACAATTATCTTGAAATAATTACTTACAACTTTTTTGTTAAAAAAAAATCCAAACCACCGTGATATTTAAAGTGATAAGGATGCTTAAAACATTGTCTTCCACAATTACATTTACATTTCCTGTTTGAATTTTGTATATTTTCTATGTTTAACGATAATGTATTAATCATTTATTGGCAAGTATATTTTACTCAAATATATATACTTATGATATAAGCTGCTGTATATATCTAAATTATTTTGAGTTAATAATGTTAACAAACTTTTACTTCTATGGTTTAAACATTATCCTGACATGACCTTTCGAACAAAGAGATAACCTTAAGCTTATGTCTAAAAGCTCTTTTCTATAAATAGTATTAAGGTGCAAACGTCCAAAATAATATAGGTCTTTATTTTTGGCTTTTTTCGTGTTTTGTTTGATTTTATTGTGTTTTTGGGGTATGCCGTCTTGTAAAATTACCCCTATCGAGTCCTTTTATTCATAATTCCTATCATCTTTCGAAAGAAATCCAATTCGTTCATTCATTAGTCTATAATTGTCCTTTTTACGACAGTTGTACGTTTTTTTATACATGATATCTAGTCTTTTTAAATACTCTTTTTTACTGATTGTGTGTTCCATTTATTTATTATATTTTGTATATTTTTAATAAATCATATCTACTAAGGTTGTGTTTATACAATAAAAATTGTGACTCATCTGATGTTTTTATATGTGATTTTATTCTCCAATCATTAATTATGAATACATGAGGTAAACTTGGGAAGGTTTATGTTGTCAAATTGACTCAATTTAAATTTCGTGTATTTTATTGACTTTTAATGTATCGTCTTTATTTGGAAAGGCTACCCCCTCATTCTTGATCGAATCACTCATCTTACATCCGCCATAGAAAGCTTGATTGACGTAGAAATTGTTTGATCTGCATGTCATTGCGGTTATCAATTTAAAGTGCTTCTCTGATGAAAAGATAAAAGGGTTTTAAATGTTTCACCCGCGAATTTTTGGTGTTGTTTATGAAATTTTCTACATCTCAATGTACTATTAGATTTGTAAAACTCTCGACTGATTGTTTTTTGCTTAACGTCCAGTGGCAAATAATTCATGCATATTCAGGAAGAGGACAAATTAACAATTAATCCAACAGTTTTAGGTCCTACAAGTTAGCTCGATCTGGATTAAGGGTAGGCATTTCGACTAGGCAACAGGGAGTCCCATAGGCGGATCATGGGGGGCCCTTTTGTGGGAAAAATTGTGTTGGTTATATATTGAATCACTGAAGCATGATTGTAGCGGGGCCCCCTCTTATGGCAGTCAGTGCCCCCCCCCCTTGTAAAAAGTTCTGGATCCGCCACTGGCCCGGACATGGGGGTATGTTGGATGGGGGCAGGACTTTTCCCTCCAACAGGCAACCTACGGACCCCTTCAAGCTGTTCTTTCTTGTGTTACGAGTGTTGCACTCTCCCTACACGAGGCTTCGGATTTAAAGTCCCCATTGCGACCTGACGTGGCTGCGTACTTTTACAACCCGCGCAGACAAAAGTTAAGCATGGATTTTTCTTTCGCCGCCGCCGGTTGGGAAAAGTTCGGATATGACCATATTTTATACCGCAGTCAACATGGTGCATATATGAATATACATTTTGAGCTAGAAGAACTCGAGTTAGACATAACGAATTTACATATTATACGGAGTGTATTTGACGGTGTGCCACACCTCAAGTATTAATTCAAAGTCTAACTGGTGACAGTTATCATTTTCCTTGTATTATGTAATTTCTTTGCAACACGAATCATGAAAAGATAAAACCACCAGTCAGGTAGATGTTTACCCGAAATAAAAAAATATACATGTCGGAGTTTCTTCAAATTTGGATAAACTAATTGAAACCGCGGATAAGTACGATTATCAGCACATATGAAATGGGGGACCATTTTTTAGTGGTAAGTGGGATTCATCGTATTAATTACGATTGGGGCGTGATGTTTGTGAGCTTGCACATTAAACTGATTCCTTTATTTCAAATGAGGTTATGGGCATGATGAAGCAGAGGCTAAGATGAACCTTTAATGGTCACTTTGGAACACAGAACTAATTGTAAATAGATGTTGATCAAGTCAACCAAATTTCGGCAACCTGCGCCAAATTCCTTAATTGACAAAACAACCTATAAACATGTTGTAATTAACTGAAACATACCTCTCCCGCCAATTCCAATTAGAAGCAGATATCGCTGCACAAAGAGAATAAAAGCAACAATTGTTACTAGATGTCAGAACAGATCATTAAATATTTCTGTCACAACAGTATGCCATAGGTAATCTACATGCCAGTTATCAATATTCTGTCAAAGGTTAAAATTGTTCTGGCCAACATAAGACCACCTGCAAAAACATAAACGAGAGAATGCACGCTGAAATGTCTCACCTACTTACTGGTCGTGACTGAATGGGGTCAAGGTCAGATAAACTCTGCCAGACAGACATGTACACCTTACTATCATTCCATTCACAAAATATAGTTGACCTATTGATTATAGTATCTGAGACATGGACCTGACCACAAAAACTTAACCTTGATCACATATCCATGAAATGCGCCCAGGTCAGATGAACCCTGCTTAACAGACATGAAGACTTTTCAAGGATCCCATATACCAAAATATAGTCATCGAGATACTAATAATAAAACTACAGAGTTTTATTTAACCAGTCACTGATCCATGAAAATGAGGTTACGGAGACGATATACAGATGGAAACTTTGTAGCATAAGGCTTTTTGTATACAAGGTATGCAGCATCTACTGCCTTTTTAAATATAAAGTTTGCATCCAAGCAATGTTCAATTTTGTATATTTTCCAAATGGTATACTCTAAAGAGTTATACACCCACATGCAAAATTTCCTAAGTTCTGCCTGGCAAGCTTACTTGCTAAAACCTTAAAATCCTTGAATTCAAAGTTGAAGGTTATATGTCCACAATGGTATAAACAGCAGCAGTCATCTTAGATATATAATATGAACAATGATTATTAATTTTGCTTTCTTTTGGATAATTTTTTATAGCATATAAAAATTTGTAAATTTGTCATGTCAGTGATGTGAAAAAATTGTTTTTTTTTAATATCAAGCCCATAAAAGAGGAATGGGTGGGATGTAAAGTACATAAAAAAAGTGTTTTATTCATTCCCTCTCAGACTTCCTTTGAAAAAAACTTGATCTAACTAAGGACAATAAGAGTGAAAATCACTGAAATTAAAAGGGAGCATAGTTTTATCAATTAATTCTAACATTGAATAAAAATTTGGTCAAAACAAGTCCATATAATTTTATGATAGGTTCTCATTCTCTATAACTCTGAACTATCAAAGGTGGAAAACTGAAAGGAAACTTAATACTGTCATCAATTTTACAATTCACAATTCCATAAAAATTTTGAAAGAATATGATATATAAGACCATTTTAATGGTTTATTTGGTCCTTTGTCATGAATGGTATATTAGTGTTGAATAAATGTTTATCAAATAATTCTGAGTTGGTTATTTGTCCATGGGACCAATATAGATATTTGCCCTCAAATACCCATACTGAGCCCCTTAATTTAACTTCCAGTAAACCTGTCAATAAAAAGCAATAAATAAAATATGTGATAAATAGATCATAACATGGCATTTTCCATATTGGCCTTGTATCAGCCCTCGACCATTATCAGCCATCTGGCTACTCCCTTTGGCTTGATATTGGAGTCTCCAGCTGATACCAGGCCAATATGGAAAATGCCATGTAATAATCTATAATAATTTTATGAAGGATATATGGAAAATTATAAACTGTTATCACAGAGATATGTCTCGCCTTTTTGTAATTTTGATTATGCAAATGTTGAAATCAAAATAGCAATAATTTAACATTTAAGTAATGTAAATATTCAAAGTCAATGAATCATGACTGAAGGTACATGGCTAAACAATCTCCGTGGAAATGAGATGTGCCAATGCTAATACAACTGCATACCAAATACCATTGACTTATTATAAGTCGTTCCCTTTAAACAAACCTACACACAGACATTAACTTGTAAACTATGTAAAAGTTTCGAAGTCAATGAATCATGATGAGGGGGTGGGACTATATAATCTCCATGGAAACAATACTTGCAAATACCAATAAATTTGCATACCAAATATCATTGACTTAACATTAGCAGTTCATCTTAAACTGATCTTATCACTAACTTATACATGTAAACTAAGCAAAAGTTTCAAAGTCAATAGACCATGACTGAGGGGGCAGGGTCAAATAATCTCCATGGAAATGAGATGTGCCAATGCTAATACAACTGCATACCAAATATCATTGACCTACCACTTGTCATTCACCATAAACTAGACCTAATCACAAACTAATACATTGTTGATGCCGCCACCGCCACCGCCGACACCGGAAACAGCATACCTATGTCTCGCTTTTTGACTCCGTCAAGGCGAGTCATAAACCACTCATTGAGTGGGAGGTATACTGCAATTATTTATTTGTCTGTCCTTCCATCCTTTTGTCAGTCATTTCATCTATCCATCTGTTTATAAAAAGAAGATGTGGTATGTTTGTCTGTCTGTATACCTTTGGTACAGCTTGTGTATTAAGGAACTATTAGATATTTGGCTTTGAACTTCATAACAAGTTGTACAGTGTACCAGTCTGCCTAGCCAATACTTCCTCTTTGATGATACTTTAAATTTTCATAATACCCACTGTGCATGGAAGTTTTTGTCACATATTTCTCAGCTTCTGTATTAAGAAATGATTTGATGTTTGGTCTAGAACTTTATAATGTTGAATTGAAGGGTTTTTTAAAAAAACTTTTGGATCACTTCCTATTTGGTTCGTATTGCTCAATCTTTACTTTTCTGAGTTGTGTTTTGTATACTGTTGTTTGTCTTCTGGTCTTTCTTATTTTGCCATGGCATTGTCAGTTTATTTTCCACTTATGAGTTTGAATGTCCCTTGGTATCTTTTGCCTCTCTTTTGACTAAACCCTGAATCTTTATAATACCCACTGAGCATTGAATTTTTGATAACATTTCACTCAGCTTTTGTATTCATGACTGATTTAATATATGATCTGGAACTATCTTTTCCATGAAAGTAATTTTCAGATCGCCAGGCAAAATAATGTTATAAGATAATACATATAGAGTGTTTCTAAGATTTTTTTATTTTTGGTATAAAGAGACCGACAATAAACATGAATATAGAAATGGCTGCCATTAATGGATGGAATAAAGATATATTCTAAACAGAATTCAACTATAAGAACTATAAATTAATACACTTGATAATTATAAAACCTCATGCCAACTATATAAATCTTTTTGAAACTAATGTAATGAGATAAACATGTAATATATGACAGAAACTGATTGGCTATCTATTTATGCAAGAAGTTTGTTCCGTCACTGTGAATGTTCTATTATAAACTACATATTATAATTTTGTAAAAGAAAACTTTTTCTTTATAATAAAGGATAAGTCTATACTGAGGAAGAAGGACCAGAAATGGTTTCCAACTTGATGTCCAGATGTCACAGACCTGCCAACCTTCACAATTTATTGGGATTTCCCCCTTGAGAGGTGTTGACATAATTTTGAAATTCTTTATTATAAACTAAATAACTCAAAACAGGCATTCAAATGAGTTAAAAGGGTTTTTAAGCACATACATACTCATTCAAACAATATAATAAAAGATTAAAATCACTTATGACAATATAAGAGGAGAATAAGGTCCTCTTGCTCTTAAAGTCCCCAATGGAGATTTTAAAAGGTTGGCAGGTTTGATGTCATTTTAAAAAAGTCAAAAAGTCCATAAAAAATTAAGACTAACAAAATTGGTAAATGTATGTATAAGGTATTATAACAATAAATATAAAAGGTACATGTAAAAACAGTTAAAATTACTCATAAATATAACTGATAACAATTAACAACAACAAGTAAGGAATGCATGTTACATAAAAGTTTTTTGATTCTGTTTTCCATACACCTGCAAACAAACAAATCTGTTCAGAATATGACAAAATAGAAACTGACAAATAGGAGTAAACATGACACCAATATCTGGCTTTGATAAAACATGGACTGGTCAGTTAAACTGGAATCAACATATGCTTGGCTAATAAACAGGAGTGGTTAATATCTGCTGCAGTAATACATTTTGTAATATGTAGAATATATCTTTTTTGTTTTTTAATGTTTTTTTGTTTTTTTATTTGATGAAGGGCTTTTTTGAATAAAAATGAATGTAAACATGGAAAAAGGATAAAGAAAATGTTAATTTAATTAATTTGCATATTGTGCCAAAAAATGTTAAAATTCGAGAAAGCATGTTTTCCTGATGAGGATGGTTTTGTTATTTTACAAAAAGATAATCCTGAAAGTTACAACTGATGTATTGAAGTTATATTAAGTGTGTTCACCCATAATGAATTTACACTGCACATTTATTAAACAGTTCTACAAATTTCTTGATCATTTTAACCCTAAATTTTCATTGAAACCTTAGGCCACCATAAAAGTAGATTTGGTTCTCTTCCTCCTTCCCCTAAAATATAGGAAAGAAGGGAAGAGAGTTACTTTTTTATATTTCCAAAAAGTAGAAAGGAATTCTTAAGAATTATTTAAAAATGTAAAATATTTCATGAACTTGAAAGAGAAAAAACCTGCTTATGGTAACAGGGTGGGGAAGATAATCTTATAATTAATTTCATGAGGTTTATTAAAAAAACATACATTGTACATTTTTTTTATTTAATCATAGCTGATTTTGAAAAAAATAGTCAGCATGTGAGTTGCAAAATATGCCCCAAAGTTGAAACTGTTAAAAACTGAATATTTATTGTGTGATATGTTAACAACTATCACTAAATCAGTAAGTTTATCATAACTGGTTCAACATAAACAATTATCTTTTATTTGGTTTATATGCAATAACCTTAAGTCCTAGTATTCTGACTCACTACTTAGCAGCAAGGTCAGGTATACAACAGTAACATGCTTACATTGAGTAGACACTAGCACAATGCATTGTGGAGTAGGAACTATTTCATAAATACGACAAACAAAATATTTTGTCTGCTTCAAATTTGTTGCAAAAAGTATAAAAAAATTCATCCAAATTACCATAAAATGTGAAAATCTAAACATGGTTGTCTTATTGGTTAACCAAATTAATCAAATATCAATTTACAATCTGATCGATTTATCAAATGTTCACTTTATTTGCACACTCCCAGTAACTTTAATCCTAATCAGTTCTGAACACTGGTATCATGACTTCTTCCTGATCTACCCCTAAAATACAGAGCAGATATTGAGGCAGGATCCTAGACTAAATCTATCATTAAAAGTGCTTGTCGTATGGTAACCTGCAATTTTCACATCTCTTTTCTTTTGTCTTTAGTTGTCTAATTGACAATCATACAACATCTTCTTATTTTTTTTTTATTGCTTGGTCAACTTGAGCTTTTACATATACCTGGAGAGTACCACAAAAGATATGTGAATTAGAAAATTAAATCATTTACATATATTTATCACACTCTTTTGGCATTTAAGGTTAAATGTCTACACAAACAGTGTATGAGATAAGTAAAATTAGTAGAAATCAATTTTTTCAAATATATCTCAAAAACCTAATATAGTATTTTTCATATAATATTTTCTGGTGAAAAGCTATTGAAATATTTGGAAATAAACAAATGCCTTAGAAATATAAAATTTAAAGCTTCAATATGCTGTTTTAGATGTTTTAATTAAAACGAAAAAAAATATAAAATATAAAAGACTTATAAATTGAGCAAAATCACAGACTGGAATATCACAGAAATAAAAACAATTACACCACAACAAACATTGTAATGGTTTTCAATTATCTAAATAATCTAAAAATAATTTTAAAAATAAATATTATTTGTAATTTTTCTTTAATTGCTTCTTTTTTATGGGATTTACAGGAAAAAATAACACTTTTGTTTCTCAAAAGAGAATAAAGAAAGTGGAAACATATGTTATCTATTGGTGAAATCTACCCTATAGACCAGTAGCAACTAAGAATTCTACAAATAGTTATGGACTGGTATCATGTAATCTCTACAAATAGTTATGAACTGGTATCATGTAATCTCTAAAAATTGTCCTCATCACGATAGGTAGAATCTGCTAATTTTTTCAAGAGCTTTTTCTTCTTCTTTTTCCTTCCACCAGTTTCTGCAGGTAATGGAGGTAGTTGACGTGGTGCCGAGGCTACAGGTGATTCAAAATGTATATCCTCACCAAACGAACGCCTTTTATTTGATTTTGAAGGTGGCCTATCAAAGTCATTTTCATAATTACGAAACCTTTGATGAGTGTCAAATGAATGATCTTCATAATAGTTATCAGAATGCCCTCCCAGTGGTTCTGGTCGCTCACCATAACCACCAAAATCCGGTTCCCTGTCATAGTAATCATCTTCCTCAATCATCTTTTTCTTCTTGCCCTTCTTTTTGGGAGATTTCCGGCTCCCGGTGCTGTAATAGAAGATTAATATTCATAACTCTAAACTGCACTTGAAAATTCATTATCAACTAGAAATAAATAAGATGGAAAAAAAAATACTTCACAATGTGAATTTGTAAATATGTCAGTATTCACCTCTGAAGCTAACAAAACCTTTAAATAGACTTATTAAGAAGGGATATAGTTACGATACTGTTGTCAGGTCATTAAAGATTGCATATTTTGGCGTTAATATTGATTCACTTATAGGGTCTTTGCATAGGCACTAAACACATTTATTTAAAAACCAGTTGTTGGCATGACACGGGTTATGTTCTTCTCATATATGTTATGATGGTATGATACTAAACCCCTAACGGGAAGGATTGTGCCTAATATTCATATGATGAAGACATAATCTTTCAATCAGTTTAATTGAAGTCTGGAGCTGGCATGTCAGTTAACTGCTAGTAGTCTGTTGTTATTTGTGTATTATTGTCATTTTGTTTATTTTCTTTGGTTACATCTTCTGACATCAGACTCGAACTTCTCTTGAACTGAATTTTAATGTGCGTATTGTTATGCGTTTACTTTTCTACATTGGCTAGAGGTATAGGGGGAGGGTTGAGATCTCATAAACATGTTTAACCCCGCCGCATTTTTGCGCCTGTCCCAAGTCAGGAGCCTCTAGCCTTTGTCAGTCTTGTATTATTTTTAATTTTAGTTTCTTGTGTACAATTTGGAGTTTAGTATGGCGTTCATTATCACTGAACTAGTATATATATTTGTTTAGGGGCCAGCTGAAGGACGCCTCCAAGTGCGGGAATTTCTCGCTGCATTGAAGACCTGTTGGTGACCTTCTGCTGTTGTCTGTTCTATGGTCGGGTTGTTGTCTCTTTGACACATTCCCCATTTCCATTCTCAATTTTATTAGTATATATTTTATAAATGTTCCAAATTCATCAAACTTGGAAGATGTTTAGCATGCATTCACTCTTATTCATAGCATAATGCACGAACTATCCTAGCTATTTTTTTACAAATAATCTAATGTCTGACATTCACAGAACAATTATATACCTAATCAAACATGGTCATCTTTCATAAAATGCCGATTAAATGGTGTAATGTTTTTTTCATTTAGGTTTACAGCAATGACATTACCAACAATCCTTTATATTAAAAAATCGATACTTATCTGTAAAATTGGATTGACTTGTAACAAATATAATTTTAGAATCATGATACATAACAGGTCACTCATTGAGAACTGTTTATATAGAGTAATATTATACCAAATACATGATAGAATTTAAGAGGATTGCATTTTCTATTAACTCAAGGTACAAAACATTTTAAGTATACAAAAAAATAAGAAAAAGAGTTGGAATATAGTTTGATGTGAATTCATCAATGGAAAAGGAAATCACAGAGATGTAATGCCAATCAAAGCAAAACTGTGAGCAGACGACTGAAAGGGAATTACATTTTTAGATGCTTATATGCTTATGCTATAAAATAGTAACTGTCACAGGTCATAAATACAAAGCTTTTCTAGTCAACAATAACTATGACCACAACAAGGGCAGTTGACAAAAAAAAAATGGTCAAAAGAAACGAATATTTATAAATGTATTTTGTATTTTTGTTTCTACTATCAAAGGGTGAAAAATAAGGCAATGCTAGCTTTTAATATCAGATATTTTGGTAGGATTTGTATAAAGTCTGTTGAAGTAAAAACATTGAGTCACTTTGGGGGAAAAGAGGTGGGGATGACAATTTATTGTAATACATGTAAGTTAATAGTTATTTCTACAAATACATTATTTTTCAAAATTTTGAAAGACTTTACAAGTTATTGATTTTCATAGCTTAAATATGATTTACATAATAAAACCGAAAATAGTTTTTATATAATACCTGTTCATGACGAAAAAACTAATTAAACTTTAAAGATTTTTTTAGTTGCTTCCGTTTGTAAATAAATTGCATCAAAAAGGCATGCTTGCTTTATAATAAATCTATTTTTTGTCCTGTGGTTCATTGCATAGGTTTGAACAAATGTTGTGTTTACAGTTCTACACATAAAAGTACCAATGTCACAACATAGATAAAATAAATTTAATTTAAAAAAAAATTATCACATCTAAAATCAACACCTACACAGTGATACAGAGTACAAAATAGGTGCAACAAACATCACAAGATACATGCACAACCTGTACTTTTATATAACAAAACTCTTGTACGTAATGAAGATTATGTATAGAAAGAGAAACACAGGTAAATTATGCAAACCAAAACTCCACAGATAGTCAGATGTTGAAATTTATGGCTACTGGTCTTTTAAAAATGGTTAAAATTAATTTTAAAATGAAAATTGGTGTGACCAAAATCAATGCAGTAAAACCTGTCTGAAGTGAACTCTTTCTAAAGTTTTAATGACGCCATCACGAGTTAGTTGACCGTTATGGAATATCCATTTCACAGATGATAGCGTATATGTTCCTAATGTCATAACTACAATCCTGTCCCCTTTTCCCGAATGTGACCTACCGAGTTAGTCTTATTACCAGATTTGTACTAACATGAGCAACACGATGGGTGCCACATGTGAGATCACCCCCAGTTTTTGGTGGGTTCGTGTTGCTCAGTCTTTAGTTTTCTATGTTGTGTTTTGTGTACTATTGTTTGTCTGTTGGTCTTTTTCTTTTTTAGCCATGGCGTTGTCAGTTTACTTTCGACTTATGAGTTTGAATGTCCCTCTGGTATCTTTCCCCTCTCTTTTCTAAACTTGGGACCTGTCTAAACTAAACTCCTGCTTCTTGTAATGTCCCTGATTTGCAAAAGGAAACCCCAAAATTAATTCAGATAAAAAACAAAATAGCAGGTGTACAATTGCATTATATTGTTAAGATTCTTAGAAAATTTCAATTTGATAAAAGGGTGACGTCGAAGGAGGATGTTCTATCATGTCATGCTAGAGTGACCCCAAAATCATTTGAATGAAGAAATAAAATTGGCACAAAAGTACATCAAGTGTGTAAGATTATGTGAAAGATTCACAAAATTCTGTCAAGTTATTCAGCAGCAGTAGTGGAAACAACAAGGGAAAGAAGGATGAACGGATTTATGGACAGACACCCCAATCACTACATACTGCCACCTTCAAAAAGTGGGGGTATAATTAACTCCCTTATTAGTAACTACTACTATTTTTCCTTAGTTATTGTCTTTGAAACTGTGTTAAGAAAACATCTGGCAAATTCAAGCAAAATAGTCAGTTTTGGAGGAGTTTGGTTTAGCCAGGTTCCACTGTATTAAGATTTCAATATGACTATAAAAAGAAATTTCTTCAAATTTTCATAGTGACAATTATGTTTGTTTTCAGATCACAAGGTGACCTAAGGAGACCAACTGCCATTAAGAGAGAAAAATAAGAAAATTAATGAACTTTCCATTTGTTAGTTTACAGTGTATGCAAATAAGTCATTCACCAAGTTTTCAGCTTGTTTTACGATCAGCAAATTTTCAGCATGTTTTGCACTGAAAAAACATGATTACATTAAATCTATAATTTTTTTAATAAATTAGTTTAAAAATATGAACAACATAATAAGTAACATTCATTTCTAAGTTCTATTTCTATTGTTGGTTTATACATGTACAACAGAATTAATATTAGACCAATGATTTTAAAAACAAGCCATAACTAGATAGATTTTAGCTAATAATTGTTATTCAACTAAACAAATTATTATGAATGTGTATTTTATTAAACTCATCATAGATACCAGGATTAAAATTTTGTATGCCAGACGTATGTTTCCTCTACAAAAGACTCATCAGTGACGCTCGAATCAAAAAAATTAAAAAGGCTGAATTAATTACAAAGTTGAAGAGCATTGAGGACCAAAAATTCCGAAAGGTTTTGCCAAATACAGCTAAAGTCATCTATTCCTGAGGTAGAAAATCCTTAGTATTTCGAAAAATTCAATTTTTTTTAAAACAGTTTATTTATAAACATACTACTTCTGACAAACTACTTGTTGTCTCTTTGACACATTCCCCATTTCCATTCTCAATTCTATTTTATATTTTACTTCTAAGAAAAGTTATGTTGAAAAATAATTTAATTGTAAATTATGGTCATTCAAATGCTTAAAACTGGGTTTCTTTATAAAATACTTTTTACAAGCCTGTTTATTTATAAATATTTTTAAACATAATAATAACAAATTTGAGTTCTGCACAACCTTTCCATTCCAAATTTCCATAGTAAGGTCCAACTTATAGACCTAACAAGTAATTACTGTACCAATATGAATAAAGAGATGGAGTATATTTCAATGGGGCAGCAACTCTCGACTCAAAAAAGCAAAAGACATCTAGAGTAGAAGTCGAATATCAAAAGAACATTATGTAATTAAAATTCTGTGAAAATTTCACATAATTCTGTCAAGCAGTTCAGCAGTAGTTGCAGATACAAAAGTGCGATATTCTCAAAAATATTATACCAACCAGGAAGTATAAAAGATTATTGGAAAAGTCTAAAACATGAACATTTATTTTGATTTTAAGGCTCTTATAAATCACTGTATTTTTGTCTCAAACATTATTCAAGAATTTTAAATTGATAAACCTGCTATAAAGCAAGGTTACTCCTGAGTGAAAGAATTTTTTGAAAAGATACGAATGTTGTTTTTTTTTTTATAATATCAGAGACATATTCATAATTTAGTCCATAATTAATTTATGAAAGCCTGATTAAAAAGCAGACATGAACATTTAGTGAAGCAAGCTTTCTAAGAAAATGACATTAAAAAGAGCAAGCCTAGTGTAAAAAATAAACAAATTCAATCACCTGTCTGAGAGCTGTGCCCAAGGGGCAGATGACTTCTCTAACCCTTGAACACGTCGAAGAAGAGAGCTATTCCTCCTTCCAGTACTGAAATAGAAAAAAATATTGTACTTAAATTATTGCTTTGTTATTCAACATATGAATTGTAGGAATATTAGTACTATTCAAAAATCAGAATTGTAGCTATGTTGGAAAGTACTGTTGATATCATTGCATTATGCATCACTAAAATAAAATTCCTTGAGACCTTCCAACAGTATTATCCAGGCAAACAGGAAGTGGTGGCACCACTGATGTAAAAATTACTTACAGGCCACAACTCAACATCATCGAGCTCCAGATCAAGTATAAAATCATTCCCTTCAATAGAAGCCAAGAAAAGTTTGACGAAAATTTTCCGTGCACACTGAGTGTTGTAAAATTTCAAACTCTCGGCAAACAGGAAGTGGATAAAACCATTCCCTTAGATAGAAGCCAAGATAATTTTGACGAAAGTTTTCTACTTAAGGTCTTTCAGAGGGATGGATACAAAGACGGACAGACAGACAGACAGAGCAGAGCAGTTAGTATACATGCTTTTGGTGTTGGCGTCACATTTAAAACTCACATAATAAAAAAACTGTATCTTTTAAGCAGTAGCTGAAGCATATAAAACTGAGGTCAAGGGCAACATATGCCAGACAGAAGCGTCAAACCATGAGGCATCTGTATACAAAATATGAATTATCAAGATCTTCCTTCTAATATTTAAAACATTATAATAGTTAATGCCTTCCTCACTGGATTAACAACCATTTTTACAAAGTAGTATACTTTATATAATTTTACAAACTTTTTTTATGCAATCAAGGTTTTGTTGTTTGAACCTACACAGCTAAATGATTTTCATCTAAGAAAAGAGATAGAAGATGGTTTTGTCTTTTGAATTCTTATGTAAATGACAAGATTATACAATTAACAGGAATCCAATTAAGCAGTCTTCACAATTAACTTATTTGATAACATGCCCAAACCATATTTTGGCAATTGTTTTAAAAGACAATACTGGCCTGAAAGTGAAATTTATTGATTGATTGATTGATTGGTGTTTAACGCCACTTTCAGCACTATTGCACTATTTCTTGGCAGTCAGTTTTTATTGGTGGAGGAAGCCAGAGTGCCTGGAAAGAACCACCGACCTTCAGTAGGAAAACTGACAATCCTAGTCAATTAAGATTGGAGTTGAAAGCACCTGCCACGTTCCAAATTCAACTCAAAACCTCAGTGTTTATAGGCTATAGATACAGTAGTTTGACTACTTAGACCACTCAGCCACCAAGGCCCTGTAAGTGAAATTTACATACCTAGACTGGTGGGCCTGTGGTGAACCGTGAAGACTTGAAATTTACATACCTGGACTGATTGGCCTGTGGTGAACCATGAAGACTGATATTTAAATACCTAGACTGGTCAACCATGATATATGAAATTTACACACTTAGACTGGTGGGCCTGTGGTGAACCGTGAAGACTGAAATTTACACACTTAGACACGTGGGCCTGTGGTAAACTATGTAGACTGAAATTTACACACCTGGACTGGTGGGCCTGTGGTGAACCGTGAAGACTGAAACTTACACACTTAAACTGGTGGGTCTGAGGTAAACCGTGAAGACTGAAATTTACATACTTGGACTGGAGGGCCTGTGGTGAACCGTGAAGACTGAAATTTAAGTTGAGTCTTCTTTATTATTTTTAGCAAAAAAATACCACTTCAAACAATAAGTAAAAATATTTACTTTTTATCCTTTTGAGAAAGTGCTTGTTCTCCATATATCAGTGCCATAATCTTTTTGATTTCTTCATCTGTTTTAGATGGGAACAACATATTCAATACAGTAACACATTCACTCTGCTGTAAACTGCTATACTTCACCAAACCTCCAATAAATTCCAATTCCTAGAAAATTACAATCATAAAATAAATGGCAAAATATTTATTCTTACAAAACAACTGGTTGTTACTGTACCATTCCAAGTTCAGTTTGTCAGGAAATGACACAAAGCAAAAAACTTCTTTCTTGAAAAATACATAATTATTGTGGCATAAAAAACTATTTAAAGATGTTTCTGCAACTGGTAATAGTAGTCTCCTTTCATAGAAGGCCTTTAATGATTCTTTACTGAAGAAGCCAATGTCCAAAATAATTTGAAATGTTTTTTTTACTTCATTTATAAGTAATGTGAATGGAAAAAAATAAATACAAACAGAAAAAATCATGCATTAAAACTGTAGTGCATTGACTCCACTTCTATGAATACATAGAAACTATTATTTGAAATAGCATCATTGAAAAATTATATCTAACCTGCTCTTGCATTTTCTGCATGCGTTTCAGATTATATTCTTGTCTAACGTTCTCCAGGGTTTGTGCGATCTCTCTGTCTAACTGATTCCTGTTAATATCAATTACCTCTTATGAACAAACTACATTAAAGTGATACAAATTATTCATAAAAAATATTTTAATTCAATCTGGAAAAAATCCCCCCCAAATGTATTACATGTTAAAGCACTTAAGGTCACAGAAATCAAATTTTTCTTTTTCTTTCCCCTTTTACAAAATAAAAAGAAAGAGAACATTTTTTTTTATTTTCACAAAAAAAGTAGGAATTTTTAATTAAAAGTTTTGACACAGAGATATGGCTCCCTTTTATGATATTTTGATAATACAATGTAATGGTTAAAAGTAAAACAGTAATACTCGACACATAAACTATGCAAAACATTTCAAGTCAATGAAATATGACTGAAAGTGCTGGTCCAAACAACATCTGTGTAAATAAAGAATGCCAATGCTAATACAACTGCATACCAATTACTATTGATTATCATAACTGTTTCAAAGTCAACAGACCATGGATAAAGGGGTTGGGGGCAAATATTCCATTGGAAATGAGATATTTCAATGCTTATACAACGTCATATGAAATATCATAAATCCAATACTAGTGGTTTCCCTTAAACTACTGTAAATTGAGAAATTATTGTGTGCATTTATTATTGCGATTTGTAAAGAATTGACAAGAGATGCAAGATTAATTATTGCGATATCAGGAAAATCTGCTTACAGATATATACATCAGATATCAAAATGTGAGTTCTTATTATTGCGATACTCATTCAGTCGCATTTTTCGCATTAATAAAAACCTCACAATAATTTCTGAATTTACAGTAACCTAATCACAAACTTTAACATGTAAACTAAGCAACTGAAAAGGAGACATGTAAATGCTAATACAACTGCATACCAAATAATTATCATGACTTACCATTAGTGGTTCATCTAAAACTGACCTAATCACAGACTTTTTAAAACATATAAACTATGCAAAGTTTTAAATTCAATAAACCATGACTGACCAATACTGAGGAGTGGGGCAAAATAATCTCCATTGAAATGACATGTGTCAATACTTATTTATGCAACTGCATACTATTTAAATATCCTGACCTATTACTAGTAGTTTCCCTTAGACTGACCTAATCACAAAATGATGCATTGTTTTTGATGGACACTGCACACCCAAGTCTCATTTTTTTCAACTTTGTTGAGGCGAGACAATGATGTTTAAAGATGATAATTTATGAATCATTCTTAATCAGCCTAAACTAGTACAGGAAGAATTATTTTTAAAAATCTGGTTACTTTAATCATGTTGTCTGACAACAGTAGTTTACTTATAAACTCCTTTTTATTGTGAAATTTTTAATATCGGTTCATTTTTCATAGTCTTTTTACCAAGTATCTTTCCACGTTTTATTTAAATAAGCAGCTACATTTCAGAGTTTACAGTCTGAAAGAAAAAAAAAAGCAAGTTTGCCACTACAAATTTAAAACCAAAGGTACTGTGAGTGAGCTCCTATCACATTTACATGAAAGACATTGTTCATTGATCTCCTCTCCAATATACCTGAAGAATTATTTTCCTTCATGAACATATTTATGTAAAATTTCATACAAATCCATTCAGTTCCGAAATTTATTCTAAAAGACTCATGGACAGAGACATGAATGAATTGACAAGATAATTCCTTGTTTGCAGAGATCTATAATAGCAGATATGAGAAAACAATATTTGATAAAGTGCCAACACCATATGAACTGACCTGAACTGTTCCATTGCTATCATTTGTTTGTGTAGCAGTAAGGCTTCTCTGATTCTCATAGCTGTCTTATTTTTACAGTTTACTAATATTTCTTGTAGTTCTGTTCGTTGCTGTTCTTCCATAGCCTTCTGACGTACTTCTAGTCTATCTCTTAGTCTCTTTTTCAACATCTGGAATGAGCATGTTTTATTCATAAAGTAACATTTGTGCACATAATGGGTAAAAAGCTACAACAATTTCAGGCTTACCAGAGCCATTTTTTATTCATTAATAGTCCATACCTGTAATTCAGAAACAAGTTGCAAGCTATGGTTTGAAAACTGTAAAATGATAACAAAACAAAGTTACCGTCTTTTCCCACCCTACCTGACATTCAATATACTACAAACCAAATTTGCACTTTATGCAACCCAGCAAATAAAAAACTACAGCAAAAATTCATAATACTGTACATCTTATATATTTTCATGATTATTATCAACTTCAAGATTGATTGATTGATTGTTGATGTTAAACATCACTTTCAGTCATCTTGACCATATTGATCGGTCATTTTTTATTGATGGATGAAGCTGCAGTGTCAACAGAGAAACACAACCTTTCACAGGATTTGATTTCAACAGTGCTACTGACCACTTTCAACAACAGGAAAATGTGCAAAAATCTCCAAACATGTATTTATAGCTGAGATGCACATCTGCAATGTATATACATTCAAAAAATTGAAGACTCTTTGAAGAAATTGTAAGAGTTGATTTTTTAGCCCACACAACCATGCATCCTATATTCACTAAACTACAAACTTGGACATCTTAGCTAGCCAAGGGTTACGATCCAGTCCCCACCTCTCCACCCTTGGCAGATTAAGCCATCATTTGTGATTAAAATGCTGCGTCATCTACCGGTAGATAAAAGTTACGCCCAATTCGACTACATTATTCTTAACCAATGGCTGCACTTAAACTCTCTTCAATGTGGAGGCGTAAAATGGTTGTGTCTAGTGTTTACAAATTTTACGAAGCAGGAACCGAAAATATATGTTGACATTCCATCATTTGCGCGAGAAACATACCCAGGAACTTAAATTATTTCATTAAGAACTTTAGAATTGTTACTAAATATCGTCCTATGTTTTGGGGATAAAGACTTGTTGCACAATCAGGACATGGCAAGTGTTTATTTACATTTTCCACATTTACATGTGATTATCTTAAAGGCACTTTTATCGGATGCTGCCAGTTACAACTGCGACCAATGGAAATAATTTACATGTGGATCCGAAATTCTATTTCAATCTGCCAAGGGTGGAGAGGAGGGGACTGGATTGTAACCCTTGGCTAGCGAAGATGAAACTTGGATAGCACTTCTTGAAACCCAGCCTATAGAACTACACAAAAAATTCAGAAAACTGGATATCTGATATATTTTTGTAAATAACTAAATGTTTATAGGAATTGTATAGTATATACCTTTTCCTGTTTCACTCTATGTTCTTCCATTTGTTTGTTAAGATCATCTTGTGCCTAAAAAAAGACAAGAAATAAAGAGTGACTTGACCAAATCACATAAGTTATGTGAACATAGTTATTTATATACATATATTCAAAGAGAGAAAAAAAAAGTTCATGTCATTGGCACAAATTTTAAATTGTCTATATATATTTCTGCCATTTATAAACTTAAAACTTTTCCTTTCAATTATGTGAAAGTTTCATGATATTCTACTGTAAATTACTTGAAGGTCTTATTATAACAGCCTATGCAATAAACCTTAATAAACATTTATTTAACCATCTAGGAGTATGTCTTAACATTTATGCATATGCAATATTCATTACTAGATTCTATAAATAATTGTGGTCATTTTGTAAGGATCTTTACAATATACAGAATATATTAAGCATAAATAGTTTTACCCATACATGATTTCAATTAATCATGAAAGTCAAGTATTTCTAAAATTCCAAACAATAGCTCCATTTGTTTAACTAACCTGTCTATGACTTTGTATTATTTTCTGTGTTTCAGTATCATCTAACAAATTCCTGGCATTTAAATCCTCTAGCAGGTTAGATTTCAGATTGTTAATAGCTTTCTGTTGCTCTTCTATTTTGGCAAGCTGCAATAAAAGAAAAAAGATTTTTTAGACCAATGAGTTAATAAATATTTATATTTCTAAGTGTGTTGTGTGCTTCTTCAATGAAACTTTGAACACATTAAAAATTCATAAAGGGTTCAGTAGAACTGGAACCCTGTATTTTGGCTGCGATTGCTGCTCTCATTGTACAAGTAATGTTCTCTGTAAAAAGTGAGTCCATTAATCAGTAAAACACAGAATTTAAAAATAAATCAATTTTTTTCTTTAGTTGTTATTTCTTGATTTTGAAGATTAGCTTCTGTCCAAGTTTCATAAAATATGAAGGTTTACAAATTATACTCTGGATATTGTCTTTTAGTCATAGACAAGTTTCTGTACAAATTTCATAAAATTCCTTAAAGATTTGACAAAATAATTAAACTAGAGGCTCTCAAGAGCCTGTGTCGCTCACCTGTATTTACTGATGCTTTGGAAATCATGTAAAATAAGGTTAAAATCATAATTAATAGTATTAGATATTAGATATTATAATGATATCTAAGATAATAACAAAAAACTGCAAAATTTGTGTAAAATTAATAACTCAGGGGCAGCAACCCAACAGCGGGTTGTCGGATTTGTCTGAAAATTTCAGGGCAGATAAATCTAAATCTGATGAACATCTTTGCCACCTGTCAGATTTGCTCTAAATGCTTTAGTTTCAGAGATATAAACCAAAAACTGCATTTTACCCCTATGTTCTATTTTTAACCAAGTCGGCCATGATGGTTGGGCGGCAGGGTCATCGGACAAATTTTTTAAACTAGATACCCTAATAATGATAATGGCCAAGTATGGTTAAATTTGTCTCAGTAGTTTCAGAGAAGAAGATTTTTGTAAAAGATAACAAAAATTTACAAAAAATTGTTAAAAATTGACTATTAAGGGCAATAACTCCTAAAGGGGTCGACTGACAATTTTGGTCATGATAACTTATTTGTAGATCTTACTTTGCTGAACATTATTGCTGTTTACAGTTTATCTCTATCTATAATAATATTCAAGATAATAATCAAAAACTGCAAATTTTCTTAAAATTACCAATTCAGGGGCAGCAACCCAACAACAGGTTGTCAGATTTGTCTGAAAATTTCAAGGCAGATAGATCTTGACCTGATAATCAGTTTTACCCTATGTCAGATTTACTCTAAATTCTTTGGTTTCAGAGATATAAGCCAAAATCTACATTTTACCCCTATGTTCTATTTTTAGCCATGGCGGCCATCTTGGTTGGTTGGCGGGGTCATCGGACACATTTTTAAACAAGATACCCTAATGATGATTGTGGCCAAGTTTGGTTAAATTTCAGAGGAGAAGATTTTTGTAAAAAGCTAACGACGACGGACGACAAGTGATGAGAAAAGCTCACTTGGCCCTTTGGGCCAGGTGAGCTAAAAAAGCTTTACCACATATTTAATCTAAATGTTGATGACACTGATGATGGAATTAAAGAATGCTATGTCTCGCTTTCACGACATAAATGTGGCAGGCTCAAGAAAAACAAATCAATGAAAATTTTCCATGAACAGCATATAAAGAGGATTGAAATTATTCCATTACATTTAATTTTCCTTGTTTTTTTTATGTTTGTTATTTGCTTCATTCTGAAATTTTACCTCTTTGGCCTTTGACATCTGAAGTGATGCTACCATAGCTCCTAATCTTTCTTCTTGATCTTTCAGTGCTTGAGCTCTTTCTTTCATCATTTCTATTCGCACCTGTGCCCAGAAAATCAAACTTTTAAAATTCTCATTTCTACACAATACAGAAATGTCAAATTTTTCTATATTTCTCAGGTTTGAACTTTATTTCTCATATTCTTCTTTCAATTGGTTTGTACAATTTATATTCAAAATGAGCATAATGTCTTATTTCAATTAAAAAACTTCTACTTATACATCAAAAGAGGGAGACAATATTTTTATGATTCCTTTCTTTATGATTGTTTTTTCCAAAATAAATTCCTGTCTATCTTGAACTTTCAGAAATTTGTCATGCTGTTATAAATCTAAAAGTTACAAAAGAAAATTGTCATGTTAGTAAAGAAATATAATTTCAGTTTTGATGGTAGAGTATTGCTAGTAAAAATGTGCCGTGACATGTGGAATAGAACATTTAACATAAATGGCGTACCATCAAACTTTACATGTTGAGTATTGGGTATGTGAAAAGTGTGTTATTTTAACATCAGTTATGTACCTCATCCATAGCATCATCCATATTCAGTCTGTTCCCTTGTAATACTGCCATACGATGATCAGCCTGAGATTTCATTAGCGACATTTTCTTTTTCAGTCCTTCCTCATCATCATCTTCAGCATTGTGTTCCAGTTTTCTTCTAAGATTCTATAAGAAACAAGAATGTGTCCATAGTACTCGCACTATCATTTTCTATGTTAAGTGGACCGTGAAATTGGGGTCAAAACTCTAATTTGGCATTAAAATTAGAAAGATCATATCATGGGGAACATGTGTACTAAGTTTCAAGTTGATTGGACTTCAACTTCATCAAAAACTATATGACCAAAAACTTAAACCTGTAGTGGGACAGACGGACGGACGAACGGAGGAATGAACGAACGAACGAATGGACGCACAGACCAAAAAACATAATGCCTCTCTACTATCGTAGGTGGGGCATAAAAAAACTATAAGTTTTCGGTAAACAGGAAGTTGATGAACAAGAATGTGAAAATGCATCACATGGCATAGCATGCTCACATGAAGCTTGATTCCAAATTTCATATTTTAAAACATCATTTAATGGTGTTGTAACAGGAAATTTGGTCTGGTTGTAAAATTTGTTCCCCAGACTTTGTTTCCTAGGTAATCAAGTCCATGACCATAATTTTACTTGAAAAAAAAGTCCCAGTATAAATTTTCCTTGGAAAATTAGTCCATAACTAGTAAAATAAGAATGGCACTTATTTTCCTAGTAAAAATTTCCGGGGACTTACTTTTCTAGTATATTATGTGCATGGAGAGTTTTTCATGCATATTTAGGGCAATTTTCAAATTTGTATAGAACTCTTCTGAAAATGACTAAATTACAAAAATGTAAAATATTTGAGTAATAAAAAAATCTAATTAACTAGTTATAAAAGTACTTGTTATCATTTTTTACTGGGGGAAAAAAGTCCCTTTAAAATTTCAATATTTAAGACTTTCCTTAATATTAATTCAAATTTGCATACCTACCAACTTTTCAAAATCTCCATGGGGGATTTTAAGTGCAAGAGGACCTAATACTCCTCTTATATTGCCATAAGTGTTTTTAATCTACTACAATATTGATTGAATGAGTATGTATGTGCTTGAATACCCTTTTATCTCGTTTTTAAAAATGACTGTTTTGAGTGTTCAGTTCATATAATGCAGAATTTCAAAATTCAGGTCAACACCTCTCATGGGGGATATTACCTATAAATTGGGATAGTTGGCAGGTCTGAATTTGTATAATTATCACTTCAAAAGTAAAATAAAGAAACAAAAATGTTGAAGTAATAAAAATCATAAAAGTCTGTGATATTAAGGACACGGACATTATTACCTAGGAAATTCATCTGTGGACATTATTTAATGACATCAGTCTAAAAATACTAGTAAATTCTGTAACCATGGACATATTATACAAGCAATTTGTGTCCACCCGGACAATTTTTTACCAGGACTGATTTTTCTCTTTCAGTTGCACTACATTTATTTATGAATTTGCATTAAAATATTTACCTCACTATCTATAGTTTGTTTCTCTTGTAAGTTCTGCATTAACTGAGCCTTCTTCTGGGATAACTTTTCTTCCAACATTCTTTTCTGTCTTAGTTTATTCAAAGTTAAGCTAAAAAATAATGAGAATATCATAAAACCTTCTTTAGAACTTCTTTTTTATAATTCTACTTTCTGCAAAGGAGGACAACTAAGGCCTTCAATATGTCCTTATACACAAATTAAGCACTTATAGTATTCCCAGATAACTTGTATGGAAGTAGCTATTAGTTTCTTACATTTTAAAAAGAGCATTTTATAATATATTTTCATAATTTGACAGGGTTTCAAATAAAAGTTAAGAGCCAGACACTTGAGAACATTAAATAACTGATATAAATTTTTAATTCTGAAAGCTTCCTGATACATCATATGTTTTACAGCTACTTGTATGCATGCCCACACACTTTTGCATATAATACCATGTGATTTTAATGACTTGTTGCTTAAAATTTCTTAAAATTTTTTTTAGTTATAAATTAAAATAGAGGCTGAAGAATCCGAGGGGACATTCAAAACTCATAAGTCGAGGAGAAACTGACAACACCTTGGCAAAAAAACGAAAAATGCAAAAGGCGAACAAGTCCAAAAAAACTACATATAAAACCAAAGACTGTGCAACACTAACCCTAACAAAAACTGGGAGTGATCTCAGATGCTCCTGAAGAGTCAGCAGTTCTTGCTCTACATATGGCACCTGTAAGTTATGCACATGCAAGTACAAGTCATGTGATTTAATCTCATTCAGTGATGTGACAATTGAGTAAAAGAGGAGGGGGGGGGGGGGGGGGGGGGGTTGTAGTTAATACAACTGGAACATATCTGTGGTCATCTGTGACATAATGGTTAACTAACTTGTGATGGGGTCCCTTAAACTTTTGAAGGATGACTTCAACTGAACCACTTGGAACCCTAGGTTCAATATCTTCCTTGTAAGCAGCAATCATCTATCAAGGAAATCAAGATAGGAAAGAAAAGCTCTTGAATATTGTATCAACAGGGAGATATATGCTCCAAATGCATGAGCTGCCAGAACATTGCTACATAGAAATGAAAAGTTCACAATTGGGAAGCTGAAATCATCCCTTTTGTAGTAATGTTTTGTTCCCAACTACCCTCATTGTCCATTTTGTAGATGTAAATCAAGATATGAGGCAGGTTTATCTAAATATTTGGTATCCTTTATTTCAAGTTCGATAGGATGTGTTTAACATAGTCACCAAACTTTGAATAATTAAGTGAGAGCACTTCATCTTTATAGCGGAATGTTATGTTAAAGAATGATACTAGTTTCTTTTCATTCTTCCTGAGAAGCTCCTGTATGATAAAATTAAGAATGGAAACGGGGAATGTGTCAAAGAGACAACAACCCGACCAAAGAGGAGAAAACAGCCCAAGGCCACCAATGGGTCTTCAACACAGAGAGAAAATCCCGCACCTGGAGGCAGGCTTCAGCTGGCCCCTAAACAAAAATGTATACTAGTTCAGCGAAAATGGACGTCACATTAAACTCCAAAACATATAAATGAACCGAAATTAAAAAAAACATACAAGACTAACAAAGGCCAGAGGTTCCTGACTTGGGACAGGCGCAAAAATGCAGCGGGGTTAAACATGTTTTGTGAGATCTCAACCCCACCTCCTATACCTCTAGCCAATGTAGAATAAACAAACACACAGCAATACGCACTGTAAAACTCAGTTTAAATGAAGTCAGAGTCCGATGTTAGAATAGGTAACAGAAGAAACTAAGCAAAATGACAATGATCAACATAAATTAACAAAGGACTACTAGCAGTTACTGACATGCCAGCTCCAGACCTGAATCATATGAAAAAAGGAACAAGTCGGCAAGAATAAGATCACAATTGGTTTCCAACCAAAAAAGTAAAAGATGCATTTCCTTTCAAGATGCATTTCCTTTCAAAAATGGTAATGGTCAGAGTAAGGCCGTACTGTTGCAGGGTTTCTGCTGGCGGTCGCCATTTTCGCATTTTGTGAAAAAATAAAAAATGTGGCGATTAAAATTCCTTATTGGCGAAATAATTTGACGAAAGAAATATAACAGTTCGACTTTGTCCATCTTGTTTACTTTTTATCAAGTTTCTCTACCTTTTTCCCTTATCAGACAATACTGGGAATTCACCTTGACCTCGTTACGATTTTGATAGAAAATCAATATTCAGCTGATTGCATTTTATAGCTATCAGCAACAATGGATTATAATTAATAGAGGTGTTGATTGTATTGTTTAATGAAATGGTGTGGTTAAATGGCACCCCATGTCACTTAAGGTTTTTTTAAAAACTTTGCTAGAAATTTTTGTTTTGAAGTGGGTACTTCACCATCGTTTTAACGATGCACTTGTTTGAAGTTTTAAGTCCTCTCATTTTCTTTTAACAATGTTCCAGGAAACTGTTACGACGAAAAAATGTTAAAAAGCAAGAAAAATCTCTGACTTTAACTTTATCCTTTAACATTGATAGAAGTAATTGTTTTAAAGAGGGTACTTCTGCATCGTTTTAACGATGCACTTGTTTGAAGCATAGTTTTAAGTCCCCTCTTTTTCTTTTAACAATGGTCAGGAAAACTGTTGTTACGACGAAAAATGTTCAAAATGAGAAAAATCTCTGACTTAAAACTTTATCCTTTATTAATTTAACTTTGATAGAAATTGTTTTGAAGTGGGTACTTTACAATCCATTTAGCGACGCACGTGTTTGAATCATAGTCAGTTTACTTCTCAGCTTTTTCTTTTAACCATGGTCCGGAAAAGAAAACTTGTTATGAAGAAAATATCAAAAAGTTAGAAAAAATCTGAAGTGTTTATCCTTCAACGGGAAGTATCCGATAATTTTACTGCCAATGAATCCTGTGTTCCCCAGCAGAAGTCAAAAATAATAATTTCATGATCTATATTGCAATTTTCAGTATATTTTAAAACGTAAATGCTTGTTGAATGTGAATTTATTACAATGTAGATTAAAACAAAAGATGTTTAGAATTATAATAGACAACAATGTGGCAAACTGATTTTTTTTTTAAAAGAAGGAAAATTTTAAACGAAAAAATATGTTAATGTTAGTTGGCGAAAAAAAATTGAAGTGGCGAAAAATATGTTGTTTTGGCGAAAGTGGTGGCGAAAAAAAAAATTGAACCTGGGAAAACCCTGCTGTTGCCTATAACTGCTTACATCCACTTCATTTAAACTTTGGTGGATAGTTGTCTCATTGGCAATCATACCACATCTCCTAATTTTTATATATGACCAATCAGAAACAATTCAAATATAGGTTTAATGTGGTCATATAATATGTATTTCAGCCAAAACACATAATTATGATGTCATACTGGCATCATCAGTGAAAAAGGATACCATAAAACATTAATTTTGCATTAATCAGGCAAAACATTTGCAAAAATGATGTTAGAAATCTCAATTTTTCAGGGACAATACAAACTCTTTGTAAACCAAATCCTTTATGATTATAATTTTTTTAATACTGAAAAAAATTAGTACTACATCAATTATTTACCTGTTTTCAAGTTTAACCATTTGTTTTTCATGTTCTTTCATTATTCTGTCTCTCTCTTCATCAGAGATGCTCATTTGGCCACAAATCAATTTGCTGTAAACAGTAAAATAGTTTAATGAAAAACTTTAATAAGTGTAAATAATTTCAACTACAGTAAAACAGTACATTCAATGTACATATTCTTAAATGAAATATAGAAAATATACTTTTTGTATATTTCTTTAGAAAGGAGAAGATATTATAAGGTAACTTTTGGACCCTTGAATTTAAAAATTAAAAAAAAGTATTATAAATTTATAACAACATTCATTTATTTAAATTGTCTGTAAGATATAAGTATTTACATTTTGAGTTTGTTTTACATATTTGCTTTAGAGTTTCAAACTTAATAAAATGCTGAAAAGCCTCATTATGAGATCTTGCCAATAACATTTAGAGTCAATGTCCTACCTAAAATGGTATTTTTGTATTAGGTGATGTATACAAAAATGTTGATATTGTTATACCATTTTTTGAGTAGGATGTGGCTCATATCTAATTTGGCAAAAACTTTATCAAAAATAGCAGTTAGATCAAATGTGTCAATTTTATGATGGTTATTATATCATACTGGCAAGCTACTGTGGAATCTGAACAGAAAAATCCTTATCCAGATCATGAATTGTGCCCCTTTACTACACAAAACTACATTTAACCCCAGAAAGAACAGATCAAAGTGTCTCACCTGAAATCAGATGGCAATATATAAATAACACAAAGCTGAGAGGGTGAAAGAGCAAATTGTTACCCCGAGAAAACATTGTTAACCGCGGCGAAGCCAAGGTTGACAATGTCTTTTCGAGGGTAACAATCTGCTCTATCACCCTTTCAGCTATGTGTTATTTAATTTATTATACTGAATGTTCTGTTATTGCTGTCTGTTGAATTTAAAATTCAAGGTAATTAACTATGACGTCTTGTACATAACAATCATCCCTACTTAGTAAAGCGCACAAATGATCAAGCATCTCTGTGAAGGGTAATAGAGTATTTGCCATGGGATAGAGTAAATTGTCTCCCTCGTATTAACCAATCACAATCACGCATTTTGACATGAAATATAATAATACTTTGTGTCATATTTCCATTAGAAAAAAATAACAGTTAAAGGGAGACAAGTCTTGCTATATTTTGTAACCATCTGTTTCTGGAAATTTTCAATAAGTTAAAAAATAAATTACTACAGAAAGAGGCTATTTTAATTTCATAAGTATTTAATATTTATTTTCTTTTACATGTAAATTACATTTTTAATCAAATATAACCAGTAACCCAATAACCAATAATTATGACATTTAATTGTACACACTGAAGGGAAATGAATCAAATATCCCTTCAATACATATTATATAAATATATAACCCTTTTTATCATTGTTGGCTAGGAATTATATAGCTTATTATGCATATATAACTTCAATTATCTTTTTTTGTTTCATTTAGAATTCGTGGCATGTGAAATTTCAACAGGATCAATTAGCTTGAAGAATATATGATTTTAAGTTAAGAGATAAATTTTGTCAGTCATTACCATACTGAATATATACTTTAATATTTAAGATAATAAAAATAAAATAAACATACTTGACAACTTTAGCTTCATAATCTCTCAATTGTTCTTGTTCAACTTTCTCCTGTTCTTTCTTTCTTGCCCACTCCTGTCTTCTCTGGGCAAGTACTTCCTGCAATTCAAAAAATAAATTTATATCTGGAATTCATTATGTGTTAGATCTACAGTTCAATGTTGTCACATTAAAACCTGGATGACATTTTAAGTGATCTACAAATTATTCAATATTAATACTGTCCATAAAATGGATGAAATAAACCGTGTATTTCCCTATTTCCATTTGTTGATTGAGGACATTCACTGCTGGAATACAAAATGACAACATTTTCATATATATTGTATTTTTCAATAGATAATGTATAATCTATCAAAATTATGGAAAATGATAGTATTGCTCACTAATTTACCCCCCCCCCCCCCCCCCCTCAATGTTTTTGACTCCATTTGCAGTAAAAGATACAATTTTTCATCAAACAGAAAGTATGTTATCTAAGGAACTGAAAACATTTCACATGGTATTGTATAATCAGATGAAAATGGGTGTTATCTATCAAGAAGCTATGGGTTGTAGTTGCTGAGAAATGTATTATGGTCCAGACAGATGCAGGGGCATATAGAAAGACAGATGTAAAGCAGTATACTCACTCCCTTGGAGCATGCATATAATATAAGATAGGTTTGTTTGCTTGTTTTTAAGATACAAGCGTTTGAGAAATTAGAATTTTTGGTAACAAAAAAGTGTCTTAGGATTTCTATTAAATTGAATGAACAATAAAGTAGAAATAACAAGATTTTAAAAATATATCACTAGAAGTGCTTTTGATATGCAAGTTGGTTTTTTTTAAATGTAGAGAAATGTAGGTATTGCTGGCAATATATGTTTAATTAATAGTCTACGAAAAAGCCAGACAGGTAACAAAATATTTAGAAAAATTTGAAAACGTGAAGAAAAAATCTCTAATGTATGAAGAATCCAAGCCATAGAGATACCCATTCTTTTTCAACTTAATGTTTTTATTGCTCTCTTGGTATTATCTGATTTTTTTTAATTTCTTCTTCGAATCAGTCAACAGTTATAAATCTGTTTACTTCAAGCTTTTCCAGAAAAAAACTGCATTGTTATATCTAATGAACCATTGCTTATATATCTTACCCAATTGTTTTCAAAATTCAAGTGTTTTTTTTTTTTAAATCTCTATTTACAACACTACACAAAGTTATTCATATAAGTATGGTTCAATCATACATGTAATTAAGTGAGACATATTTGAGCAAAATATTATATTTCAAAGACATACATCTATATGTCGTTTTTGTAGTGTCTGTTGTTCTTTCTGTTTAGATTCCAACCTATCAACTTCTCGCTCATGTTTATCCAATAAACTGTTGATTCTAGATCTGTCCATGCCTGAAAATAAAGGTTTATATATATATGTACCAAAAATAGATTCCTTGAAATACAAGGTATCAAGAAAAGCAAAAGAATTCTCAATTTTGAAGCATTAGCTGGTGGTCAAAATTTTTATGTACAGGAAAACAGAACAGCAAGAAATGTGGTCACTTTTCACCTTACATTTTCTGTCTTTTTACTTCAGACAAGCTATTTAAAGTGATTTTTATCAAGACTGTAAAGCAAGTATTTCAGACAAATATTTCTGGTTTATTGCAAGACCTTCATGACATTCACTGTTGAATTTATTGCAAGACCTTCATGACATTCACTGTTGAATTTATTGCAAGACCTTCATGACATTCACTGTTGAATTTATTGCAAGACCTTCATGACATTCACTGTTGAATTTATTGCAAGACCTTCATGACATTCACTGTTGACAATGGAAAAACTCATAATGTTAACTGTAATGTCTATCAATATTTTTTTTTTAATTGTGATTATTTTAAATAGCTACCTGCAAAAACTAAAAAAATAGGAACAAGACAACAAAAAATACTAGTCAGAATATTTGAGGTAAACGTAGCTTAAAGGATGGTTCACTGTTTTTGAATACTATAATTTCAGATAAATTTTGTTTTATGTTTATATTTTTGTGATGCATAAAGATAGGTTTTGCAAAAAAAAAGGCAACATGTTTGTCCATTGTTCAACAATCTTAACAACAAATGCACAGAAGACTTTCTAAACAAGTGAATCTGTGAGCTACTGCTCACTAATGAAATCCCCGCCCTGCTAAAAGTATAAGGTAAACAGGAAGTTGTTGAGTGATGAATCTGAAAACGCATCACATGGTATAGCTGACTCATATAAACCCTGAAACCAAATTTCAGAAATCCTTGTAATGTAGTTCCTGAGAAAGATGCGACGAAAAATATTCATGGGACAGACGGACGGACGGAATGACAGATGGACGGATGGATGGACGGACGGACAGACAGAGGTTAAAACAGTATACCCCCACTTTTTTAAAGCGGGGGTATAATTACAAAAAATGGAGACTATGAATGTTTTTAAAATTTTCAGGAAACAATTACTTCTAACACATTACAGCCGATTTCAATGAGTGTGTAGGCAAAGGTAATATCTTTGGTTAGCTTGCTTGCTAGCTGAACCGTGAAGTCATTGTTAGGTTAGGTAAACTACCCTCCTTTAAGATTAGACTAGTCCGACAGATAACCAATCTATCTGTCTGTAGGACTAGGCTACTTCGAAAGGAGGGTAGTATACCTTACATAACAATGACTTCACGGTTCAGCTAGCAAGCAAGCTAACCAAAGATATTACCTTTAGCTACACACTCATTGAAATCGGCTGTAACTACTTTCATATACTACCTTTAACATAACAAACTTTACCATTACAAATAAAGGCCATGGAATCTTTCCTTTGATATTAATACCTTTCCTTATAAATAAATCGATTAATATACGTATAGTAAAAACTTTATAAAGCAGAGCAAATAAACAAAAATCTATATACAGCTAACTGTGTAACCCTGTTTTTAAAAAATGAAGTATTATTGTTGTTGTTGTTGACCAACTTCTGGCTTATTAAATTACTAAAAGTACAAAATATCTCTATTTTTAAAACTTTATAAGCCAAACACCTTTTAAGTATGAACAAAACCTTCAGTCCGAAATGAATTTACTTTAGACAGCTTTAAACTGTACCTTCTTGTTCTAGTTTCTTGATTAAATTTTCTTCATGAATATGTAGTTCCTCTTTAGTCTTCTCCAATGCTTCTTCACGGGACTGTTCAAGTTCTGTGGACTGTACTTCATCTATTTCTTTCTCTAAGTTGTATAACTCTTGTCTATTTTTAGACTGTAGCTGGGCTTTTTCTGTCAAATAGTTTTCTGGGTCTGCAATAAAAATTTATAAAATAAACAATTAAACATTATGAAAGAATATCATTTTCTATTTCCGATTCAAGCACCTTGATTTATTGGTACTCAGTGAACCTTCAAAGTTTGTATTTTACAGGGAATGTTACTGACATATATATAGATCAGATCAAACAAAAACTTGACATAATACATCATGTAAAATATGATACATATCTACAGTTAGTTATAAAAGGTAGAAAGGAAATGTGTGTCAAGACTATATTTCCCCCATTTTTAGTCAAACATTTTAAAAAGACAATTTTAGAAATAAAGTTACCCCTTTTCAAAGACATATTCAACTCATTTACTGTCATTACTAAAATATGCTGCTATCTAGTACATCAAAAAACGTCATATTTCAGAATTCAGATTTCATGAAAAAAATTCAAATGCTCTTAGTTTTTGATCAAATGTGTGACTGGTTTTACAAGAGAAATCAAATTTTTTTACTGCTAAGATTTGTTTTAATTCAAAGCTAGATGTGTTAATCAACTCACCAACAGGCCCTTCAGACTGTGTCCCTATAGTTCTGGCTTCAAAATCCTCCATTTTCGTTTTCTGTTCTTTTCTCTACAATACAGATATTATGTAAAAATCAACCAGGCCATAATAAAAATCATTCTTTAATTCTCAGCTATCTCATTATAAAAACAGAAAGAAATCAATGTGGACACTTTTTTCCATTTCATTGTTCACTGGCGCTTTTGCTGTTGCATTTTCTGTTTATTTAATTCATATAAGCCATTTCAAGTGATTTTTATCAAGACTGTTAAGCTAGTATTTTAAAACATATATTTCTATTTTCCAGACCTTCATGACATTGACTTTATTTAATGTTTACTATAATGTCTATTAAGGATATATTCTTCTGATGTTTCAGTCTCGTTGAAATCTCGTTCTTGAATTAGTTCCAAAACATGTGATACAAGTGGAAAATAACAATGAATTTAAAAAATATTATAATCAAACTAAACTCTGTGAAAAAATTGTGTACTTACAATAAGTAGTTTTTGAGTAATAAAATTTTCCAATTTTATAGCCAATCCAGTCAGTGTCATTCGCCAAAATGTTGAGAAAATGGGTGAGGAGAACAAAGAAATGGTTTTACCAAAACCCCATATCAATTTTTCTTTTCAAAATTCTTAGATATGTTTTTTTCAATCATTTATAACAAAGAGGTTGAAATAATATGCTTTTTGTTCTAAAAAAAGGAGAAAAATCACAAATTTACAAAATTGACGGCATGGACAATTTGACTCGAAAAAGCAACAAAATTTTATAAAACTTTCTAATATTAACACCAACCTATAGTTTTTTTTAAGTTAAATTTATTCAGATTGGTCCACTTCATCTTTATTGAAAGTATGACAAAAAGTTTAATTGTGAAACTGTGATTTTTTTCATGATAATAACCCAAAAATAGGTAAAAATTGATGAAAAATTGGAAAATCATTAAAAATGGGTACTTTCAAACGGCCTTAGCAAAAAAAGAAGTGCACCACCATATGATTTTTTTCTCCATTACTTTCCTAGTCATATAAACCCAAAAATCAGGTTAAGAAAACAAGTTTAATTCTAGATTTTTTTTGATCCTCAGAGATGTACATCCTTTCATAATTATGTGATTTTTTTTTTAATGACTACCTGCATAAAAAAAAATAGACAACAAAATAATACTAGTTGGAATATTAGTAGTCAATTGCTAAAGTAGTTGTTTTTAAATACTGTAAATTCAGGATTCTTTGTGAAGTTTTTATTATTGTGAAAATTGTTACAGGATAGGTCACATAACTAAAGGTAGCATTTTATATTCTGACAGCATTATGTGTATAGGTATGCAGTATTTCCTTAATTTTTTTTTAATTAGATATGAAAGTTTTCCTCATTTGTGTGAAAAAAAATGAATCAAAAATGAAACAGTTGACAAATGTTTAAGAGCATACAAGATGGGAACAGAAGAACATTTTTATAATGACCTAATAAGAAGTTGGAATAATATCCAACTGAGAATTGCATAATAAAAATGCATTACATGCACAATATTAGATTTTGGTATGTCAAACTTAATGACAACGTTTCTTTAATAAATAACCATGCACCATATTTTGTGAAATTTTACAGAGTGAAACGTAGCAAAGGGGGAGTAGATATAAGAAAATATAAGGCATATCCAAAGTAAAAACATTGACAGTCAATTGGATGTCATGAACTTTTTAATAGGAAATGTACATAGATAGTCAGAATTGCAGCAGACAACACCAATAACTTAATTTTGACATATTGTGTTTCTATTTTTGAAAACCTTTGCCAAATATCTCTGAAGGGAAATGTCTCCAATCAAAATGACAATATATTATTGTCATCTTTACATGATGACACACAATCTTATCAAGCATGAAAGCTATTAGGGCAAAGAGTTTCAGAAGAGTCACATGTGTTACAATAGTAAAAGAATGGGCAAAGTCCCATAAATCTACCAAGAATTATCAAAATGACAATATAGTTATGGTCAGCTACACATGATGATAAACACTCTTACCAAGTATGAAATCTTTTTTGGCAAACTCTGATGTTATAATGTCCTGGAATTACTATACCTTATTGTCAAGTTGTTGTTTTTTCAAAGCACTGAGTCTTTTATGCAATGCTTCTTCTTGTTTTTCTCTTTCCTTTTCTCTCCTTTCATTTAAAGCCATCAACTCAGCCTTGGCCTCTTCTATATATTTCTCAGCTTGATCATGTCCCATTCCAGAGGATCTGTAAAATGTGTTATGTTATAAGCTATTTTTGTACTTTGAGGAAGCTTGATTGTTACTAATGGTCTTACTAGTAAAAAAAAATTCAGTAGTTATAATAACACTATTTCTGGACAAATTTGAAAGTTTGCATCCTCTAGAACACGTAAATATCAAAAGAATTTAACTAAAATGCAACACCAAAATTGTACAGAAATTAACTTTCTAAGATTTTCTACTTATAGGTTGTGTTCAATTCTTATACAATTCAAAGATAGTGCATTTCTTTATGGAATGTTGTGGTTCCTGATGGAAAAACACTAACTGTATACAGCTGTACAATCTTTTTTTAATAGAAATCAGAATTTGCTGTCTTACAAAGTGAGTTGCAAATGTTTATCCACTCTCCATTGTTATACTTTCAATAGTGAATGAATATCATAGTCACTAAGGTACTTTGGTATTTAATGGATCTTACTTCTGACTTTCTTCTATAAGTGTCAGTTGATGTCCTGCCATAGTATTCAGTAAGTAGCTCTGGTCATCCTCTTGAGTCTCCTATTGTGTAATTAAATAAAATAAATCATTACACATGATAAAATTATAACTTCCATGCAATATTTAAGAACTTCTAGCTTGCTGTTCGGTGTGAGCCAAGGCTCTGTGTTGAAGGCCGTACTTTGACCCATAATGGTTTACTTTTACAAATTGTGATTTGGATGGAGAGTTGTCTCATTGGCACTCATACCACATCTTCTTATATCTGTTTGAAGGTTGGAAAGGGTTGTACGACATGTTTGCAATTTTTAATTCATGCGTTTGTGTTCTTGATGCTAATTATTCAGTGTGTTGTGCAAGTTAGTAAACAGCTATTTATTTATTTCTGATCATCATGAAATGGCCATTGCATTTCACATTAATATGTGCACATACTCCCCACTTTGTAACCCTCAACTCCTTTTATGGTAACTACATACATACAAACAATAAAACCTGACTTTTAAATATGAATGCTAATAAATGAGATAGTGATCAATTCACATTTCTTTGGAATTATGTAAAAATCATCTTTTTTTTAATTTACAGTAAATGAATGACTAAAACTACATAGCAATGCAATGCCTGTAGGAGTACACAGATTAAAACCATATTGAGTTAAAATTTGCTATATGATGGTATGTGACATGACATGATATATAGAACATCCCTTATGATTTAAATATTCTTACACTTGATTTGGCAAGAGCTCTTCGTCTTTCTAGTTTCTCTTCTAGTAACATACGTTGTCTTGAAATCTCTTCATCATAAGTCTTCTCCAACTTTTCTTGTGTTTTCCTGTGTTCTTCCAACATCCAATTCATTTTCTGTTGATCTAGCAAACCTATTTCTCCTGCTTCTGTCAACATTTCCTGTTGTAGTTCCTTCAGACCAACCCTCTTTCTTGCTCCAAATTCCTAAAAATATTACAAACAATATGTAATAAAAGTGGAAGCTGTTCGTGGCTTTTCCCTATCGGAAAAATCTATTTTGATCTTGTCTTTACTATTATTCATATAATTACAAGACTTAATTGATACCTGAATTGTTCTTTCAATACTTCAAAATAGAAAAAAAAAACACTATCCTACATGATACAAGTAATATAAAGACCTTTTTTCTATGATTTTAAAATATCTATATATATCAGATTTTTTCCAAAATTATGTTTAATTAAAACATTTTTGCAAAAGTCATATACAATATTAAATTATGCACAACTTAATTCTTTCCCACAATTCTCATTTTTTTTTTAAATTGAATAACTTGAGCTTAAAAATTAATCTTTTTGAAAAATTACTGCATTTGGAATAATTAATGATGATAAAATTTGTTTTACCCTTTAAACCAATTTAATGAAAATGATGTGCACCACACGGAACTTTAAGGAAAGTCCAGTGCAATACATGAACAAAAGGTAAAAAAAAACACTGTGAAGTACAAACAACAAAAAACCCAGTAAAATCCAATTTTGCATAGGAATTGGTTAAAAATCCTTTGTGCACAAAGTGCACAGTGTTTTCCTTAAATATTCTATGCATTACAAATGATGGATGGATAAACATATAAATCATAATCAAATAATAATTCCAAGTTTAAATAGTACCTCGGTATATATACTTTTGAGGCAACATTATAAAATTAAATATAATAAACATTTTTGTACTACACTTTTACTATATGGTAAATCTGTTACTTCAGCATGCATTGTCATTTATCTATTGCAAGATAAATGCAAAACACTAAACAAATACTGTCACAGCCAAGCAAGGAATACATTTTTCAGGCCAACACATATAGATTATAGATATATATATATGTCTCTTCAAATTCTGTACAAACTTCCTAACTATCTATTTGATACAAGGATTTGTTCTCCTGATAAATTTCTAAAATGATAAAGTTAGTAAAACAATACTATAAGCTTCCATTAACAGTTTAAATTTTTACATTACTATCTCTTTATATTTTTAATGTCTACACTGGCACTACATGCACAAGACAATGGAGGAAAACAAGCATTCTAACTTTACCATATTCTTTACAACCATAAAAAGAAAAAAATGTTATTTTATCAGAATAGTCACATTATAACCATGAAATGACCAAACCCATTGAATTGTAAAAAACATTATTCTTAATTCTTTCAAGGTATAGCCTTTTGTGATACTAATTTTGTTTCAATTTCTAAGTTCTCAGAATCTGTATGTTATCATATGTAAAAAGATCTCTTTCTTTGTACCATTAACTTGGTTTTATAAGAAATAAAGAATCTTACAGTTATGAAACAGAAACTCATTGTAAAATTCCAATGCCATTTTCGCAAAGGAGTTCTTTTGCCAAATTTCGTTGTGGTGTAGCACCACTAAGAATCGAAACGGGGAGATTTGAAAAATTACTTTTAGAGGATCGAGTCTGTGATAATTGTAAGGATATTTTAGAAGATGAAGCCCATGTTATTTTATCGTGTCCTTTATATGACGATTTTAGAAAGAAATCATTTGATGAAGCAATACATTTTAATAGTGATTTTATGTCTTTTGATGATAAACAGAAATTAGTGTTTTTATTTACAGATATTAATATGATTGGTAGCTGTGCCAAAGCCTGTTATCTTATTTTAGATAGACGTAGAAATATTTTATACTGTAAATAATGTTCTCATAAATATGTTTTATAATAGACAAATTTTCTATAATGTTTTTGATGTTATAGCCTCTTATAATTCTGTACAGAATGGCTCTCTTTTTATATCTATATATTTTTACAATAAATGTAATGTTGTATTATATATTATTGAGAGATGAGACTTTAATAAAATATTGAATTGAACTGAATTGAATACAATAAGTAGAAATTACTAATTAAAGGAAAATTATGCAAATATTATCACCTAATAGGGCACTTGCATTGCTCACCTGGCATCTTTGTGCTTTAAATTGATTAGTGTTGGTTTAGCGTCCATGTAATTTTGTTGTGTTTTAATCTTACTACAGCATTTTAATTTTTTACTGCTAATTGAAAGTTTTTGACATGTCAAAAACCAATGAATTTTAACTACAAGTAATTTTGGTCATCTTTGATTTGTCTGGGTTCCTGGCTTTTATTTAAATCTAACTATGGGTTCATGGCTTTTATCTTAACTTATTTATAGGTTCATGGCTTTTATTTAAATGTAACTATGGGTTCATGGCTTTTATTTTAATGTATCTATAGGTTTATGGCTTTTATTTTAATGTATTTGTAGGTTCATGGCTTTTATTTCAATGTATCTATAGGTTCATGGATTTTATTTCAATGTATCTATGGGTTTATGACTTTTATTTCAATGTATCTATGGGTTCATGGCTTTTATTTTAATGTATATATAAATATTTTATCAATATTTGGTCTAAAAAGATTCAGTCATAATCACAAAATAGATCAAAATAAATTCTCAGTAAGTGTCCATGGGTGGATAAGATAGCCCCTGTCTGCATAAATATTAAAATAGATATACTGAAACATATATTTTCAAACAAACAAAAAACTATTTCCTATCTATTCACTGTTAAAGATACGATACATTGTGATTTTGGCCATTAAATCCCATTAACACAATTAAGCTAGAAATAGGGGCCATATTTTGGCCTTATAGAATATATTCCTTTTAACACCCAACTCAAATATTTTGACCTATGATAAGTACCTGCTTAGGGGCGTTTCAAAATTACTCAGACAACACAAATTCTACAAAATTCTAGGTAACAATCCTAAATGTATATCTACATCAGATTGTCATTAATTTTTGGTTGATTTTTTATCATGAAATTCGTGGCAACAATGATCTTTAAATTCAAATCAATACTTTTGGTGCTATATATATTTCTAAAATAGGGATATTGGTTGTTAGTTCAATGAGTATGTACAATGAAGTAAATAACTGTCACAGGTAAACAGGTTTTAAAAAAATAAATCATTTACGTCACACCTCAACCCAAAATAATATGCTTGAATGTTGTTTTCAAAATTTTTAATTTACCTTTCTAAGATTTTCAGTTTCTTCATCTTGTTCTAATTTAAGCTTATATGTCTCTTCTGTCTGTTCAGACTGGTGTTGTTTGTCCATCATCTTTAACAACTGGTTTCTTTCCTAAATAATAACATACAGTGAAACTACAACTGTTCTTCAGAATATATCTTAAAATTTTTAGGTCTTTTCCATCATCTAACTGAATACTACAAACAAGAATGATGACTGTTGTCTTTATACTTTTAATCTAATGGCAAATATTTTATGCTTATTCGGGATGACTACAAACAAGATTATTTTAGTTTTTATTGTTATTTTAGCAGAATACTACTATACAAAAGTTGAAGAGTTGAATGACTTTGGCTTCCATTCCATATAAAAACTCCTTTTTTAGCAGTTGTTTAACATGTGCAAATCATAAAATACCTATAAAAGAGATGTCTAGTTTTACTGTACTGTACCTTGTCTCCTAGATCATGCATCTCACTAACAATCTTTTTCCTCTCATCTTTCTGTTTCTGCAGCAAATGAGACATTCTTGCCTAAAATATAGTTATGGCATATTATGCAAGAAGATATTTTATGTATAATATACAATCACCATGTTTAAGTATTAAGCACCATCTTTAATTGTAGAAATTTTGAACATTTTAGGGAGAAAAATTATATAGGTTTATTGAAATATTTAGATTGTCTCCCCTTTATTTATGTAGAAAACTAAATATTTAGATTTAAAGTGTCTTGCCACTGTACCTTGAGCAAGCAACAATCAATCATTCAGTCTTAGCACTATGATTACTAGAAAATGATCAAAGAAAAAAAAACATTTTGGCTTTCATGTTTACAAATTTTAAAAGCATCATACATAAGCAATATCTTCAATGATTTCCCTTATAATTTTTTCTGTATTCTCCTGTTGCTTTTCAATTCAATTCATTCAAAGTGCTCAAAAATTGAACAGATGTTTGCAGTCTTAAACATTAAACAGACCACATAACTCAATACCAATACCATCTGGCCTAACTTACCTTATTTTTGGCACCAAGCTTCTTGTACAATTTCTTGACCTCACGTTTATATTCATCATCTAAGTTCTTGTCTAGGTTTGTTCTCTTCTTTTTAAAGTTATTTACAACTTGTTGTTGATTGGCTGATGATAAATCTTTATTCTGATGAAGTCCATTGAGTAGCAGTACAGTGGCCTGAATTGTAGCATCATTTCTCTCTGTCTCAATATCTGTGTCCACTTTAATTGAAGAAACAATATCCAAACTGAAATATAAAAAATTGTCATGGAAAAAATAATTTGCATTCCTGTCTTCACAGCACCATTCATGTATTTCTTTCCATATTAGACTTACTGATGAATAAGAAACAAATATGTTAACATCAGTATTAAAGTCAAAGAGAATTGCTTATTCTAATGCTAGATGATGTCCTCATCTTCTTATAAGGTGTTAGAACTCAGCTTAAAGCTAGTCATCTTTCACCCACTATAAAATGATGTAAAGCAAAACAAGCAATGTTCTTTATATATATATAAAGTCACAGTACCCAAATTGCACCTAGTACCCATTGCAAGAACAGCAGTAAAGAATTTGTTTTTCTATAATTTGACACTATGCACATCTTTCAACATAGCTAAACATATTTAAATATACACCAAACGGTCACATTATATAGCAACAGACTATGTATAGTAAGAATGGACTATTGTCAAATTGTTAAAAAAATGTGGATAAATATAACAAAACATATGTTATTCCACTTTTACGGATGTGAAGTTCAGAAGGTATACAATTTAGGTGCTTTCCATTACATAATCTTGGTTTGTAGGAGTAAGGTTCAAACCAATTTTTCTATGATTCAGTATGGATTCAAAATTAAATGCGTAGAACTATAAAGTAAACAAAGATACATCTACAAAATAAATGCAGAATCGAAACTTTTGCCTGTTTCTTAAATAAATGACGGTGAAAAACTGGCAAAATAGGTGCAATTTGGGTATCCTCATGTTAGCTATTTAGCTGATGGTCTTCTAGCGTACATCTTTACGATTGACAGCAATACAAGCAAATAGATAGAACAGCTGAACATACATTCAACACTAAACAAAAAGATTACCCATCAATTTCTCTGTATCTTTTTAGTCTGTCTTTCATAGATAAAATTCCAACAATACTATCATCTGGAGCTGTTGAGCTGTCAAATATAAAACAGTGAAGTTTAAAAAAAGTTAAAATATGAACATGACCTTGTACTTGTGATAAGGCCATATACACAGAAATGGCAGATCATGATTTTGAGTAAAATTGATAAGAGATAATTTCTTTGATAAGTTATAAATAAAAAAAACAATGGTTACAGGTAAAAACAATATCTTAAAATTCATTACTAACATTTAAAATTTGGACGAAAAATTGGGTGCAGTTTTGAATCTCTTAAGTTGAGAACCAATGTGCATAACTATATAGCAAATACAATATGCATTTTAATACTAGTTCTCAATTATGTGTTATTTATTAAAAGGTCGATACTTTTTGATACTGGCCAAAATAAATCATTTCAAATTTTTAATTGAAGTATTATTCACAAACTCTTTTATAATTCCTTTAGAATGTAATAAAAAAATTGTATGATTCTCAAGATGAAATGTTTGGAAGTCAAAATGGCCCAAACAAAACAGTCCAAATTGTCTAAGTTCAGTCTTAGGAAAAGGAGTTGCAACCTTAAGTTTTTGTAAAGTATACCCTAAAATTTGCCTTAAAAAAGTTTCATTATTAAAAATCATGTTAGGGCCAAACCATTTGTCAATAAGTTTATGGATTTAAATACTTTTTTTCACATCTTAATGAATGTATATATAACATTGAGAACTTAAAATACCTATAATCAAGAATTGTGTTCCCAGTCTTCATAACGTCAGCAGGATTTAAAATAATATTTTTCCCTTTCTCCATCATTACTTGATCCTAAAATAAAAAAAGGGTTTGTGAAATAATGGGTATAAGGATGTTTCACCAATATTCTATGTATGCATTTTACTTAACATTATAATGTATATAAAAATTAAAATTTCTTGGAAGACATAATTGTATTGTATCATTTTTATACAAATTCTGTAAAAACATAATTTTCTGTTTTTTCAACATTTGAAGTAAATGCAAAATTACGTAAAAATATATGGACAATAAGATTTCAACCATCTGCAGAATGACTAACAGACTCCATAAAATAGCGACAGTGTTGTCTTCTTGAATGAAATGTGAACTCCATCTATAACTCACCACAATACACTTATGAACCAACAATCAACCCAATACGTACCAGCAATAAAGAAAAAATGGTTTAGACAAGAATAATTTCCCTGCAGTTTTTCAAGTCCAAGGGTTATAATTTTACGGAAAGAAGGTCATCTAACATGAAATATAGTCTGTAACTAACCTCTATTCCAACTACAGATTTTCTTCTTCTTGTTATGAAGATGACATACAACACAGCAAACAAAGCGACTAATATAATTCCAAGGAGAGCAGCCATGAAGAAGGCTAATGCTGTAAATCCATGTTGGTAAAACAACTGTAACAGAAATCAAAATACATATACAGTAAAAATATGTACAGTTCATTTTCTTAATTTTACTTTTACAGCATGTAGTGTCTGTATATTACAAAAAAATCAATATCTATCTACCTAAAAGTGAGTTTTGCAATATTTTTCCATTGGGATCCTTAATAATCACATGAAATAATCTTGTAATGAGGGGCGTAAAGGTGGGGGGGGGGTGTATCTGCATGGAAAAACGCGAAATAAAATTGCACTTTCACGATGAACGAACAATTAAAATTTCTTGCACGTTGACCTTTTTACCAATTTCATGAAACACGGTGAATAACAAACCTTTTTCACGGCTGCACGTGAAATAAAAATGGCAAAGCACAAAAATAACCCTTTACCACCCTCTGTAATGATTCACCAATTTCTCTGTTAGAGAAGGAATTAACAAGTCATCCCTTAACCGCTTTCATAACACGGTAAGCCTCCTTTTCAATTACATCATATGCTCATTACGAGTTAAATCTGGAGGTCAGAGAGAATTAATTCTACCATTGAAATTTGTCCACAAATCTAGAGGCAGTTATTGAAACTCATGTATACCAAATGATTACAAGATTTGCTACAAGTAGAAACTGAACAAAAATAAACACAAAGCAAATTACTTACATAAACAGCATTTTCTTGAGTTAGTTAACATATTTTTAATAAAAAAAACATAGTCACATTTATGTAAACATCAACTACATCTTGTATATAAACAGTTATTGCGAACCCAATGATACTTTTTCACAGATTCACCTGCAAGTTACCTGTCGATTTAAACTTTTGTAAGTTCTTTTGTCCCATCTAATAAATACAATAGCTATTGTTCTCTGTGTTGTTTAATTGATGGGACCTTTAAATTTCTTTCAAGAGAAATCTATCACTCACTGATTAATTAACCTGAACAAAAAATTGAACTGTCAATAATGAAAATACATGTACATGTACATGTACAAATACTAAATAAGGACTCAAAAAACTGCATGTGGTGTTGTATTTATTCAATATTAATAATTCATTTTTAATAGCTCAATATAAACACTGATTCAAAAATTAAAAGTTGATTTCATTTTTGAACCTATTTTATTATATTTTCCCTATTAAAATTTGCTTTTTTTTGTGTGTTTGACAAATAAAAACTTGAAAATTATTGTGTTTAAATTAAGGTCTTGATAAATGTATTCTATAACTGAACAACAACAAAAACATACAAATTCAATGGAACAATACTAAAAAATTTGTCAGAAATAAACTTTTTATAATTAAATCAGTGTTTATATTGAACAGACTGAAAATATATTATTGATATTGATTAAATACAATATTGCATGCAGTTTATGCGAGTTTATACAACTATTTCCCCCAAAAAAGAAGATAATATTTTGGTCAGGTAAATTATTCAATGAGTGATAGATTTCTCCTAGAAAAAATTTAAAGGTCCCAGTGAAAAAAACTACACAGAGAACAATAGCTATTGTATTTATTCAATAGGACAAGAGAATAGACAAAAGTTTAAATAACCTGGTAAAGAGCAGACGACTCTGTGGAAAACTTTCATTTGGTTCGCAATAGTTCTAAAAGTATATCTTAATCAATGGGTTTTTAAGAAATTCTGCATACAATAATGCAACCAGAAATTAAAATGTGTTTCGAGTTCCAGCGTGTTACTAATTAACTTGATACCAGCACTTATTGCAATAATAAAAACATTGCAAAAATGACTGAATTTACAGTAATACTTACATTTGCTATTTCATTATCTTCCCTCACTACACAAACAGATATTTGCAATGGTCCAACAGTCTGATATGTTCCACCTCCCTGTTCAACAGATTAACAATATTTTGCAAAGAATGTAATGTAGTGCCAAATAAAATATCAAATAATCAACTTTCATTACTATCAACTTTCAGGCAGCAGGTTTTGTTTTTGTTTGTTTTGTTTGTTTTTGTTGTTTGTTAGTTGTTTGTGGGTTTTTTTATTAAGTGCACAGAATTGTATACCTGATGAACACAAGTTAGTACTTTCAGAGAAATTGAAAAGAAAGGAAATATGCTATAAAAATAAAAACTGACAAAGGCAAAGAAGAAGGTATGAAAAGAAACATTCTTTGACCCTTGAAATTACAATAATAAACTCCTATAATTTCAAATAGGTTACTTTTATTGATAAATGAATAGGATGATAGATGATATAGTAATATCTAGTCACTTTAGTACAGAATTATCATTTGTGACCACACTGTCATGTCTTAACTTGTAATACTTGTCATACTTAACCAAAAAATTATAAATTAACTGATAGTTTTCAGTAAAATAAAAAAAAAAAGACCAACAGTCTTACCCAAATAGATATTTGACTCACAATAACACATTAACATTTTAGTCTAGAAACGTTGTTGCAAAATATCTTTTTGGGTAATAGCTTCTTTTAATAAATAAAATTTTAGTAAAAAGAAAGATTTCAAAAATAGAGTTGGCATTGAAAAGGTATGAAGTATTTGTAACTAGGTATATAAATGTTAATCAAACTACCGGTACAATGAAAAAAGGCCATTTTAATTGTCAGTTTCTAAATTTTTCATCAACTTCAAATTTTAAGGCCTATAGAAAATACATAAGACCAAATTCAAATATATTATCAGTGATATCTTTCAGAATACTATCTTGAGATCATCTGAAGGTTTTTACTAGATATACTTATAATACTTTGCAATATTCAAATCTAATGGTCTAAAAAAAGATGCCTTACCATACCTTCCCCTTTCAAAAGCAGAAACAACTTTTCCTATTTATTCATGAATATGAATATTGAATGTATGGCCTTACTGTACATGAAACTATTAACACTCTTCATTTTTTTCAAGGAATTGTTTAACAGTTCATGAAATGATACATTGGAGTGAAAATGTATTAATATATTCTTAACCTTATTATTGCTTGATTTCGTTTAATAAAAAGAGTAAATGCACTTACATCTTTAGCATCAAAGTAAAGATTGCTGTAATAATAGGTAATACCATCCCCTAATTCTGTCCCGTCATCTCCATATGGTCGAGCAATGAAGGTCAAAGAAGAACTCGTACTGGCTTTAAAATACAATGTCAAATAAATGAAAAACATTATAAGTTTATAACATGTAAACATATTAAAGGAAAGCAATAAGAACTGTTTAATCAGAATCTTTTGAGTTGAGGCAGAAATTTTGCTTTGCAACAGGCAACCTACTAACCCCTAAAAATGTTATTGTAAGGGTTTTTCAACATACAGTGACTGTGTGGCACCTTCTTTACGCAAGGCATAAGATTTACATTTCCCAATACAAAGAGACAAATTTCACCAAGCATGGGTTCTACTGCAGAATTAGAGTCGTCAAGGTGACAATTATTTTTTAGACCAATGACCCTTTTGAGTTTCTTAACATACATAAAATAGACAATGACTAAAGAGATCATACATGAAATAGACATGTTAATACAATGTAACAGGAAAACAAAAAAACATGTTTGGTTACTATATATATTCAATTTGACGATTCCATCTACCACACAGTAAAAAAATATCACAAGGGTAAAAGGGTATTTAATCTTCATAAGGTAAGTTACCTATGAAATTATAATAATTTGAACCTAGAAAGCATGATCAAAATTATTTCTACTTCCAAAAGGAGATGAAAATTGAACCAGTCAAAGGCCTGATTAGATTTTCTAATGAGCCATTAAGAAAATGCACTTATGAAGCATGTTAGTCAGATGGATCTTCACACTTTAATTAAAAAAAAAGTTTAAAATGGTCTTTCCAAGTTCCTAAAAGGGTAAACAAACAGAAACTTTCTATGCAAATATACCATAAAAACAATTGATAATTATTAAAAAAAAAACACAACTGAACCTGGCAGAATTTTTCTTGGAACACTCTAGATTAGCCTTGAACTTGGTAAAAGTCCAGTTTTCCAAATTCCATATTAACTGTGTTCTGCCCTTTCAGCCTACAAATTTATTTATTATTTACCTGCTAAGTTTCCCACATTATAAACAAATTCTCTCTCTCCATTAGTACTTGTAATATTATGATTAGTTCCTCCACGTGTCATTGTACCATAATCTGCCTTTAATCCATCAGTTAAATCTTCTTCAATGTACACATTATTAATAGCCTCTAAAGAATCATTGTTTGATAGCCACAATTGTATTTCTAACATCTGTGTTTGAGTAGTTGAAATAGTGTCATCATTCATCTGAAATTATAAAACATATAAAGTATATCAGTATATTCTTCAATTCTTTATTGATCAATACTCCCCTATGATGCAAACGGCAGAGTTAATTTTATTTTGATTAATAATATATTTAAAATAAATACCCCATTAAATGGGAGGATATCTCTGTAAACATTGATTAAATAAGAGGATATCTCTGTATACACTGATCAAATCAGAGGATATTTCTGTATACATTGACTAAATGGGAGGATATCTCTGTAAACATTGATTAAATAAGAACTTGAACCACAATTCCAAATTACCCAAAGCAACGCAACTCAAGTAAAAAACGTAGGGCATGATGACCTTGAGTACCAAAAACTGTTAAGATACAACTGGAATGAAGTAGTACAATGTACATCAAGAAATAAAACTATAAGACAAATATTTATTCATGAATGCATGAAATATAGCTCATTGTGATTCAATAGTTTCATTAACATATCTTACTATATATGCAATTGAGACATTTCAGTATAGGTAATATATCACGACAGGTTTTTAGAATTTTACTTAAACAAAAACGTCTTAATCAAGGTCGATGGACATACAGACAGAAGGGTATACTGTAAACCAACTTATTTTCGGGGATACTTTATTTCGCGTTTAGCCATTACTAGCCCATTTTCGCGGCGATTTAATTTCGCAATTTTCAAATTTGTTTGATGTAGTTAAATAAGGAAAGATCCAAGTTTTATATATATGTGACGATTTATATTTGCGTTATTTTTCTACTCGCGAAAGTCGCGTAAATAAATCCAGTTTGTGTGGTAAAAAGTGTTGTCTTGTTGCATATACATATACAGTCAAACCTATATATAAAGGTCACTCTTTGGACTAGAAAAAACTTGACCTTATAAGACAGGTGACCTTTGGATTCAGGTTCAAAATATATAGCTATTACTACAGTGGGACAAAAACAGGATGATCCAACAAGAGAGGTTTTCTCATAAAAGAGGTGACCTTTATAGTAGTTTGACTGTACAATTGATTGGTTTTCTGTTACAGCAAAATACAAACCTCAATGACTTTTTCAAAGACAATTGTTGACCCAGGGTAAGTACCAGACGAGTCATTAAGTCCAATGATCTCCATAATATGGCCATTGGAGGTAATTAAGGAAGGATACCTCACATAATCATTTGTATTTATATAGGCAGGATCCAATGCTTCTGGGTTGACATAATAGGTGTCCTGTAAAAAAGTAAATACATGTATACCAATCTATTTGATAGCTGTAGCTAGGGAATTTTTTTTAGAAATTTCTTTTATTTTATAACATTTTATTAAAATTTTAGCTGTTATTTGAATTATTGAGACACGTCAGATTCATCCTAATAAAATATGTGATTCTGTCATATATGTAGGTGCAGTGTTCTCCCCAGATATTTCATTTAGCATCCTGGTAAACAGGGGAAATTGAAATACCATCTTGTTTCTAAAAAATATAGCATCACATCCATAACATAACCTATAAGAAAACCACTTCAGATAGCATCACATTTAAGATTATAGCATCACATTACCATGATGCTAAAAGGCCCTGGGGAGAACACTGTAGGTGTCATACTTTTAACCTTTTAAAGCAGGAATATACATGTATATATACATCATGTCATGATCATGAAGATTTTTTGACAAGTGAGTGCAGTGAAATTGAAAAAAAAAAATTGTGAAAAGTGGCTGGTGCATGTATAAAACAAAAATATGTGTTTATACACAATGTTCTGAAAATTTATTATATTTATTTTAGATTTTTTAATGGAAGCACAGTTGTTGAAATTATTAGAAGTTTGCAGTGATATTGTCAATCCTTTTTATGTCATCAGATCAAAACAATGTCCTTGGTATCTCTGGGTCAAACTTGATAACATAAAGTGAAATCTTTTGCAATTTTGGCAGTGTTTTCTGATGTTTTGATAAGAGTGATATAGCTGTAGGGAAATGAAATAAACACTTTGTTTGCTGATGCTATGTACATAAATTGAAAGTTATCATAAAGTAAACATAGAAAATACTTGCACAAACTAAATTTATCTTAATGTCAAACTTGACTTTTGTGTTTTATTGTATTGGATTCATATCTTATTGATGTACACTGACATTTCCTTTTATTTTTATGAGTTATTTTTACAATGTACATAATTTCATTAACTTACATTTAAATTAATAGTTTGACTTCCAACAATAACTACTGCATTTTCTTCATAAATTGAATCTAAATTTGATGTATATTGCTGTCCAAAAACAAGGGATGTAAATCCAAGAAGGGTTAATATGGCATACAGTAATTTCATTCTTTTTCTGAAAAAAAAAAAAAAAACAGTTTATCATATAAATACATCATACATCACAGTTTAATACTCAGATTAAAAGCAGTTAAATGGACCCATAAAAAAAGTTACCCAATCTTTGAAGTGGTGACATTTATTTTGCCAAATTTTAATGTCATATGCTACAAATAGTATTTGTTTTCAATATTTCTGTTTGTGACTTTGTGTATATTTGTCAATGTGCTGCTGTCTCAATTATGTATAATAATGTATTCTATAATCATTGAATGGAGTTATGGTAGAAACATGTAAAACTTAAACTGAACACACAATATCATTCTTCATATTACATTGTTTTACGTGTGCCTATTCATGAAAATGAAGAAAAATGAATGCTTAAAGCTGTTTTCCATCCATTCATGTATTTCTTTGTAGAAAAGATATATACATGTATGCTACTTTAAAATTTGCCCTCTTTCACTGACAAGATCTGTCTATAAATAATTGTTATGAATAAACTGTCATGCTGTATTACTTATTTATGTATTCAATTTTTTATGTTTAGCATTGAAACAACAAATGGGTGTATCATTAATATAAAGAAAAGAGACCAGGGGTTAAAACTATAAAAGCAGAAAATCAGAGAAAACATTTTAATAGTATATTAGATTTACCCCCAAAACAACCAAAAATACACCAAATCACCAAAAAAACATACAAAAAATGGTTAAAGTCACATATATGTACATCAATTGTAATTATGTCACAGGGAAAAAAAATAATTTCTTTATTACCATTATCAAATACTTATTTATAATGTAAGTGATATTTAGATGGATTCCAGTAGTTGAATTACAAATGACTACAATAAATATATTAGAATTAAAACAGTTACAGTTTTTTGTTGGCATTCTTTTGTAGAAGTATTTATCCCCAACTATTTCATGTTAAAATAAATGTAAGTAAAAAAATCCCATGTTTTTTCTAGAAAGGGTACATTTAAAGCTCATTCCTAAGTGGTTTAGATATTTTGAGGTATTTTGGTGTAAATATATTGACCAGTAAAATCCTTGATCTTTATGAGTACATTGTACGTGTTGTAGACACCAATAATGACTTTTTTACAACAGAGATAAGGGCATCATGGTTTTACTGACAGTTTGCAAGAGCAAATTTGAAGTTCAAACTACCTGATGTTCAGAACAGTGCCTTCTAAAAGGTTCCGATCAATATGAAAGAAAGATTTGGAATATTGCTGGGTCCTATTTGTTGGATATACTGAGAAGAAGTAGGCAGTCGCTAAAGATTAAGACTAGCCAGGCATCCTGGCCAAACCTCCTCTTTGTGTCAGTACAGCCAGACGTAATACAATCCATACATGACCACTTTTCAGTTCTGAATGGGACTGAATTACTGTACATGTGCATGTTCCATCAGGGGTTTTTCTGGCTATTTTGGGGAAAAGGACCCTGGGCAGTATTGGGAATTTTTCACACGATTTTCAATGAAATTGTGAAAACCCAATAAATATACCAGATGCGAGTTTTAATGTGTATAGTTCATTAGGAATTATGTTTTTTGTGAAAATAAAATAAGAAACTTCATGATTGCCATTATATAATTTTATTTTCCTGTCCTTTTAAACTTGACAACAAGGCAATCAAGTTTATTTTAGTATCAAAATACTGTACTCCTTATAGCGCACATTTGATAAGAATTTCCCCCTTTTTCATCTTCAAAGATGGTAACAGTTTTAAATAATAAATTCAGGGATAGACTAAATAAGACTGTTACTGGCCAAGCAGGCTAACACTTTTCAAAATTCACTTGCCCTACCAAATTTTTACTGTCCCTTCAAAATTGAGAAGAAATCACCTCCTAGATCTGTTTACATTTATAAAAACATCCAATATCAAATTTTTAGTGATAAAGAAAAGTGAATGTAACATTTTATTGGATTTTGGCATGAAAATGTCTTTGATTTTCTGTAAAAATATTTCCTGTTTCTTCTTTCTTTTTTAAAGATGATTTGGTTTTCAATTCAAGAGTTTATATATAATAGCTTTATTTTGTCACCTCAGGCAATTTTTTAAAAATTTATTTTTTGCATTTGATTGGCAAATCCGGAAATAGCCTTATATGCTTCCAGAATCTGATCTGGTATTGCATTTATCTACATTTCCGGTTTACAGCGGCCATGTGTCGAAGTTGTATTTTGTCAGTCGGATATGTTTTTACTCGGTTTTACCATGTTTACACATAACTTGTTTGCGAATTTCAGCATAAAGCTAGCAGTTGAACAAAAAAAACATCTCTGTCATGAATAATATAGGTGAAAACATAAGTTGAACAATTTCAATCTGACGGGCAGATGTCCTTAAAAATCTCATTTGGGAATTTTTCCTCCCAAAATTTGGAAAAATGTAGAGGTTTTGCCATTGGGAATGGGTATGAATATCGGACCCTGTGGAATGCTAGAAAAATCCATGTCCATAAGCAATGAATGAATATATCCATCAAATCATTAATCAACTGGTGATTCAAGATGTTAAACAATATTGTTTGGATAATATAAGTGCTATATTTTTCTGGAATATGCATATTTTATGAATTTAAAAATAATTTTCAATAAATTGAATTTGTGGCAATCTAAATATTTCCCGACATGTGTCAAGAAATGCTATCCCATGATGCATGAATTTAACATCCAATTAACGAATACATTTATTGTATTACACCTGGTTCTGCTGTCGATCAGTGAACCATGGTCCCAGACTAGAGATTAGACAGGCATGAGGGAGGCAATTTAAGTGACACAGGACATTAAAAATAGTATCTAACAATAAAATGTATATCCTGCAAACTGAATTACTGTATTTTCATGTACACAAACTATCTTACCTATGATATGTGTATAAATTTTACATATTTGATTATAATTTCTTGGGGCACCTGGCGTAACCAATCACGCTTCCTTTCGAAAAATCTCTAACGGCACGAAAAATCAAAAGAAAGAAATGAGTCTATGTTGTTGTTGCGCTTTATACAACGAAAATAGATCAATTACTTTTTACGCGGCAGATTAACGTCGATTAATACCCATCGCGACTGATAAACAAGTAAACAAGCATGCATGACTGAACTTGAATGTAACTGTCATTTCATTCTTTTAACTAACGTGATCTCCATCATCTTATTTTTTTTCACAGTAAGGTAATACAATGATTTTATAAATTGGTGAAGAAAATTAAGTAAAAGATATTATAGGGAAACGCATGTTAAATATCACAAAGCAGGTCGGTAATATTATACAGTTTGAGCTTTATATACACAGCTTAATTGATAATTGGGCTACACAATATTATCTCCCTTTAACAATTTCCAATAGAAATTTCATTCTCTGTATATTTAGTTTGAAGCGCAGTCAAAAACTAAACAAGCATAACAATTAAAATGGTGCCTTTTTCTCAGTTACAGTATATGAATTCACAGTTTTTTCAAAGAATAACTGAGTCTGTAATTTGTAAATAGGTTAAGTACAATTGAATTTGACTTACTCTTACTTCTAGCAATTAAAAGTTTGGCAATGTTTTGCATGATATAATTGATATTTTATGGGTAGGAGAACCAATTACAGTATTATAAGAATTAAGCCACTAAATGATCGATTTTTTTAGCAATAAGAGAGGATTGTGTGTCAAATGAACCAAACACATCTTCATTCTGGCAATTAAGTTGGAAGGTAATTTTTCTTCTCTAAATATGAATTTCTCACTTATTTATGTCAATTAAAATCAACAAGTAATACTGCATTGATTTGTTTATTTTTGAAACAAATTTGTATTCTAAAGCAAGCTTAAATATTGCTTTTTCCAAAAAAAAGTAACCTCACAAAAATCTAGGATATCATAAAGCAATAACCTCATGACCTGCACATTTGTCTCTCCCACTACATGTTCATAAAAGAAAATTTGGCATTTACCTGTCATAATCGTATAAAAAAATCCCAGATTGCACAAATAACTTTTTCTGTATTATAATTATAACCCCTGCAAACAAAATTAATAATTGTTTTTGTTGAGGGATGTATTGTGGAACCAACAGGCCAGACTGCCAGTGTGCCTTGTACAACATTGTATACATATCATTGGCTGGATGGATACTGATGACAAATAACAAAGTTGTAAGACACTACCTCATGAGGATGTACATAAAAGGCATATTCAATTCTGATCCTACATATTAAATGGGAGATAATCCAACTTATTTACTTCAGGATTGCATTAATGTATAGTAATAGCCTCTTGTAAGTGCAACTCCTTATAAAAGACTAAAGAGATATTGATCAAACTTGACACTTCCTGAAGATGTGCATACAGGAATATTATTCAGGTCCAGCATGTTAAAGGGGAGATAATCAAAAATATTTAATATATATAATAGTATTGCAGGGATGCAATTTTCATTTTGTTTCAGTTCACCTGCAATTCTAGTTTAACACTATATTCATCTAAAATTGATCAGCTATCATTTAACAATTTAAAGTATAAATAAAATAAAATAAAAACGAAATAAGAATCGTTTAAAATAAGCATAAAAGATATGTGAAATATCTGTGTAAAAATAAACTCAACAAAGTTTCCAGTTTATCAGTGGCGCTAAATCAAAGCAGTTGGAAGGAGAATTCAGATATGAATTTGAAGACCTGTGAAAACTGAAAATTCCATCAGTTGTGCTAGCTTTGGCTATGGCCATATATTCTTGGGGTAGAAAAGCTTTAGTGTTTCGAATAATTCAACATTGTCTGAGCAGAAAATTTACAGAAATGACCTATCAATGATATGTCTTGTCAATTGAAGAGTGCTGACTACTGGCCTGGTGATACCTTAGGGGATAAAAATTCCACTAGCATTGGCATCAACCAAGTGGATGTAAAATATTCTAAAAAAAGTATTCACAATGTTCAATAAGCAACGTTTATTCAGGAGAGATAAACAGCTCCTAAAGCTTGGCTCTTAAAAGTAGCATGTTCTCTGGTGCTTTTTATAAACTTAAGATGTTCCCCTGGTCAAATGCAAATGTATTAAAAATTCTGTAGTTAAAATATAATAATTATAAAACAAAAGTCTGCATTTGTCAAATAAATGCAGCCTAAAATTATCTACTTTCATGGTCTTCTCCATTACGTAAAACATTCATGATGAAAGCTTATCCGTCAGGACATATACATGTAACATAGGCTTAACCTTTTGACTGTCTTCATTGTCAGTGACCTTGTCAGTGGTTGTCTCGTATAATATCTTAATATCGGTAAATGCCTTTTGTTATTTATAGAATTTGGTGAATTTTTCTGTTTAATTTATTCATAACTTATATAGACTGTAGACTCTGTAGAGTTTGAAGTATCATATGGACACTATTGTTGAAGGATGTTGTCCTTTAGATATCTTTTTGGTAATTTTTGTCTTTGGGTTGCTGTTTTTTTTTTACTGTACCCGACATCTCCTTTTTTTTATTAACACTGTGAATAGGTGAAAGAATATAACTTTATTTAATGGCAGATGGCTTATCAAACCATGGTGTTAATATCTTATTTATTCTTTCATTTTGACTCTTTAGATGACTTAAAATTTGATAAATTATTACGGGATGTAGTGAAGATATTAAACAAATTACATTCCTGATTGACTTACTTAAACTAGTAATTGATAAAGACTAAATCTATTATTTTTGCTATTCTTTTAATCTTCTATAGTACTATATAAAAATAAGGAGATGTGGTATGATTGCCAATGAGACAACAGTATCCACCAAAGTTCAAATGAAGTGGATGTAAGCAATTGTAGGCAACCGTACGGCCTTCAATATATGTTTCAACAGAAAAAAATGACAAAAAGTAAGAACTGAATTATAGTTATTTGTTATTAAAAAGAAACAAAATAATGCATATTGGATTCATTATTTTAGAAAAGAAAAAAAAGGAGGAATTAATTGACAAAATAGTAATATTGTAGTGCATGGTATAAACAAAAATTTCTCTATGAAGTGACCTTTTCAAGTCTCATCTTTCCTTGTTAGATTAAAAAGGTGAATTTCACTTCTCCCTAAAATTCAAAAGTAGTTAGTGTGAGCCCTGTTCATTTCCTTTATACTCAAAACTACTCTTCCTTATCAATACTTTGTGGGCAAACTACATCATTTTAATGGAATGAATTCAAACTTTAAAAGTGGCCAAACATATTCTGAAAGGGCACTATCTGGAGCACTTTATTTTCATATTATGCTGTAATGCAAGTTGATCTATAATCTAAGATTTTCAGAATTATTACAAATCATCTATATATTTTAAAATTTGAGGTTGTAGCCATTATGTGTGGGTTTTTTTTGTTTTGAATTCACTTCTTTATATTTAATAGGAATGAATATCTAAAGAAAGTACAGTAACAATATTGACCATTAGTTGAGTTTTACCAGCAATGTCATACCGTATCAGAAGTGGAATCCTTGATGATATTTGTCTACCAGTAACTGTTACATATGAAACAGAGTCCTTTCAAATAAATAAAGCATGGATAGGAGGCGCTTTTGCTTTGGGACTTGCTTTTGGAATTTTAGTGACAGTCTTCTGTGTTCCAGTCTGCATCAGAGATTATTTTAAGAAAAGGGTGAGCATTTGACAACTTCTTTGTATTTTAATCACTGTATTTGATTACTTGTGTAATAACATTTTTTATCATTATATTATCATTATATACATTTGTACATTGTATTTGAAATTTTTTTACTTTGTTGAAGTATCCATTTTTAAACATCATTGGCTTTCAAATATTCTATCGGCTTTGAGCATTCCTGATGAAGGTAAATCCAGAAAAGCGCTTTGGATGCATGAAATTTATAACGTGTTGTTTTCATTTTTGCATGGAATGACCATGAGGGCCTTCCAGTGTATTGTTGCCAAAGACATTTCTACCCACGTGACTTTCGTTTTTGACTGATAACAGAACGCAAAATAACATTCCTTATTGCTTGTTATATATCAATTTCATCAAAAAATATTCATGAAAATAATTTTTAAGAACATAGATAAATGATATATGTTTTGTTGTGAGAAATATGTATACATCAGTATTATCAATCAAATATTTTTAAACAGTTTTGTGATTCGTTAAAACTTGATCACATGTACATTTGTATTTACTCAGTTTGCACGCCAATACTGTTGTGTATAGCTTTTCGTAGGTCAAAAACAGCATATTGCACAGAGCATACAGCATGTTACTAAAAATACATTCTAGAAATCCCCAATTTTACATTGTTCATGCAATAGTTGTTGATTAATAATATAACAATTGTAGCCTTTGGTTGAGGTCAATACGATGTTATACCGACCTAGAGAGGCATATCGACCTCGGACTTCGTCCTAGGTCAATATGCTTTTCTTGGGTCGATATAACCTCGTATCGACCTCATACAAAGGCTATAATTGTATAATATCAAATCAAGAATATCGAAAATTTGAGTTAACGCATGCAGAAGAATATCTCAAGAACGTTTGCGGGAAAATATGAATGCCTACTCAAATCCAATCTATTAGAAAAATCGAATTATTACAGAAGAGTGTCCACCATGCACTTGCACTGCACTATTATTAGAATAGTAGAATAGAATGATATACAAATGGATGAAAATTATATATACATTTAACTTATATATACAAATATTAATATAATATATAACAACAAACCAGAGTATACTGATTTGTATCACTACAATATAATAGTTTTTATGGTGAGGTTGAATTCCCTGTCATTTATTCATCATCCACGCACTAACATGTCTCTGAAAAAATATATCTATGTACCTTAACCTCACTTTCAGGTATAGAGATGTGATTTTTTTTCTGAGACAAGTGCTTGTGACCATCCACAAGATGTTCAGTACCTCAGTTCTTTGATTTTTAAATCAAAATCATTCAGATGAAATAGCATCATTCAGTTGACAACTTTAAGGCATTTTAGTGGTAATTTAGAAAATGTATTGTCAATTTATTGGAGTTCTATATACCAAGTTGTAGAATTGAAATAACACATCCTTAATATTTTCATGGTCATTCTTGGTAAAATATTCATGTACATTCATTTTTCTTATCATAATAATTATAGGCAGAAAAGGTAAGTAAAAGTTGTTTGCATTTATTATATATTTTTCTTGTTTTTATTTTAATAATCTTTCACTGTAGTATTTTAGAAACAAATCGGGAAAATTCTGCAACAGTTGATTCCATGCATCTCTTAAAATATGTTAACTGTCAACTAGTATATATAGGCATGATTAACATGTAAATAATATTCTTTCCATGTGCATCTCATTAGTTGACTACTTCCTTTGCTGTATAACCATAGCGACATAATTTCAAATTGTATTCTTTTATGTCAGAACTCATTAAACATACAATGATGCTGTTGCAAGATTTACCCATTTTCTTCTTAAATGTCTGGTGGTTGATTTCTCTTTGGGTCAGCTATTTTACTGCTTTTTTAACAGCAAACTTTTTTGTGGGAATGGTATTTTAGAATTTACAAGCATTAATCCAAACTACAAATATAGTTATGTTTGTTGTATACAGACAAAACTTGCCAAATAACTCTTTTTCATCAAATCATTGACTGATGTCTATGATATGAGCTGCGCCTTATAGATACAACTATATAAACCCTTTTTTGGTGGAAAAAATCTTTATGCAAATTCTGTAACTGTTTGAAAATTGAGTTGAGTTGATATAAGAACCCTACAAAACATACCAAAAATTCATCTTTTATTTCGTATTTGAATGTTCCAAAATCAATCAAAGTCTTATACATGTCCATGTATAAATGCACTTGCACAAGGTTGATTTCTACCCCATGCAGCTCATATGTAATATATTCATATCCATTTTAAGCTCACCTGATCTAAAAGGCCATGTGAGCTTTTGCCATCACTTGGCATATGTCGTCAGTCCCTTATAAGTTATTGCCCTTATAAGACAAATTTTACTCATTTTTTGCAAAACTATAATAGATAGAGAGAAATTGTAATAAGCAAAAGTGTTCAGCAAAATTAGATCTACTTAGACTGGTAAGTCAACTTGGTCTAAATTGTCAATTGACCCCGTATAGGAGTTATTGTCCATGCAAGTTGGTTTTTACTTATTACGCATCTTATAACTGATTGCAACAAAAAATAGATATCAAAATGGCATGTTTTTTATATGGTGAGCAATTCATGCTCTTGGTAGCCTTTTGTTAGTAAAGCTAATTGCGCTTGAAGTTGTTATATTGGATTTAATAATATCAATTATTCATTTAGAATCAGCTATAAAATTAACTAAAAGGAGGTCTCATTTGAGGCCAAATTGGTTGTAAAATAAAAAAATATTTCAAACTATCTCTAAATCACTGTTGACAAGCGGATGATGGTAACTGAAGTTACCACAATCCCAATATGGCGTGGGGGAATCCCCGTAAGATCTTTCCCTCTTAATTTCTTTGTTTTTACATAAATGTGGCTAACATTACTCAGCCGTCGTTTGGTTATTAACATTTTCAATGAGTCTGTAAAATATTAACTTTAAACAGTTGTCCATTACTTAGAAAATAGAGAGTGAAAAAAGTACGTTGATGATGGTAACTGTTCATGTTATTTTTGAAAGATCATGGTAACTGATTTCTGGGATGCTGGTAACTTGCCAAAAGGTTGTATAAAACGACAAACTAAGTACAATTTTAGCCGTGATATATGGATATATAAAGTATTATTACCTGTATTTACCTGAGTTTACTTGTCAAATAAATGCGTGCAAATGTTATCAAAAACTGCGTGCAAAAGTAATGATTTTTGCGAGCAAATGTAATGGTAATGCGCGCAAACGTAATGCCTTAAATTAATTTACGTTACGTATTACGTCCTATATAATGACCCATAGTTGAGTACTACGTATCGGTATCGGGGGCGGATCCAGACACTGTGAAAAAAGGATGGGTGTGCTGGCAAGGTTTTCTCAGAAAAAAAAAGGGGGTGCTAGTACTTTATTTACTTAACATTTTTTGTCAATTTGTCCCATGAAAAAGACAAATTTTCCAATAAAAAAGGGGGGTGTTAATCCCTGGCACCCCCCTTTTTGGATCGGCTACTGAGTATTGCTCTGGATCTTTATATATAACCAATTTCATAATATATATTCACCATTGAATTATTTGTATATTATCGAAAAGACAATACTATGGAAGTCACCAACGAAAGTGAAAGAAGCTTGATTGTGGTAAAAAAAAATTATATTGTACACTGGTCTACACTCATTTTAAAATTATTTATTTGCACCATTAAAGTCCTTAAAATTGATAATTGCTTTTAATATATTCATTACAGAACATCTAGAATTTCTGTTTTACTTCTGTAAAACATAAAATGTGTAAACGATTCCTTCTATTCACTGTATGCTTTGATAAATGAGGATGTGTGGGGATATGATTTTGAGATATCAATAGGGAAAAAAATACCTTTCCGGCAATGATTTTAGAAAAAAAAAAATAAGAAATGATTGTGGGCTAACATTTTGTTTCAGGAATTTGCGAATTTAACTGACATATATGCCTAATAATTGTAATTAATATGATGTCGATTTAAAGGATATGTGTCTGACAAGTTTGAATGGTATGAAATGTTTTCCAGAGATTCCTCTCTGGTTTCACTTTAAAGCCGAACACAATTATATGTTTATTTCCTGTTTCTGTTTCCCAAACCTACTATATTGAGGAGGGGAGGATGGGGTCTGATCCCGAAATCCCGGGCTTAAAAGCTTAAAATTCAGAGGCCTCGAATTTAAAGAAATTTCAATTCCGACATCCTGAAATTTGAAATAGGAATTCCCGTATCCCAAAAGGATCAATCCCGAAATTCTGAGCTTAAAACCGCCTAATCTCGGAGTCCCGAAAAAAGTCCCCACCCCATATTGTGATGCCCTAAGAAGCCATACTCTTATGGCTAGCATTTCTTGAAATATGTTTAACTTTTGATTAATCCTTCATAACCTCAAATTAAAACTTTTTTTTTTTATAAAACTTCTATATCTATCTTTTCATTTTTGACAAGAAACAGGAATTGCATATAAATCTGTTAAAGGCTTAGTCTTTTAAATTTTCATTTGTTTAATTATTTGATTCTGTGTTGAAACATATATATATAGTTTTTTAATTGGTATAACAACACTGTTTGTGAAATTGTTGCATTAAAGAATGTTTCATTTTACAAAACATTTTAATTTGTTTCCCCGACACATTTTTATCTCTTGTGCTAGTATTGGTCTATACTCCAATATAGTGGTTTCAGTTAAGATGTGTTATTGTGTTTCATTTCATGTATAGTGATGTTAAACACTGTATGATCGAAAAGAAACCTCGAGTAACATAAAAAATTACCATCATCTCCTAACTATTTTGATCGACAGTTACCATCATCCCATCTTTGAGTTACCATCATCATCGCATTTTTATTGTGTTCAATTTTTTCAGTAACGGACAACTGTTTAAGGTTAAAAATTTACAGACTCATTGCAAATGTTAATAACCAAACGACGGCTGAGTAATGTTAGCCACATTTATGTAAAAACAAAGAAATTAAGAGGGAAAGATCTTACGGGGATTCCCCCACGCCATATTGGGATCGTGGTAATTTCAGTTACCATCATCCGCTTGTCAACAGTGTAAATGGTAGTTTGTGTACTGAGTTAATTTATTGAAATAAAATGACCTGGAATTGTTTAGAAATAATGCAGATCACAACTAGCCTGTTGCCCGAAAAGATATGTATTTCCTTCAAAAAAATTAATATGGTAAACACTTGTGATCAATGTTAATTTAGTCATAATGATATTAAAGATAACTATTTTTTCTAAAATTCTGAAAAATCATGCTTATGAGGTTACACTAAAACTGTGTCATCAAAGTGTGACATATTTTCACATTTTCTGAAATCCTTTCTTCTGATGCTTAAAAAAATAATATCATACAATGTTTTTTTATTCTTGGTTAATTTATTTTAATAACTATATAATTTATTCTTTTTTTTAGCTGTGTTTTTACTTGATGTTTAAGTTTAGTTTTATTTTTTTATGGCATTATGTTATATTTAATGCATATCCATAAATTTTTGCATTTATTATTGCTAAAATTTAGATAGGATTAGTATTGCCTTTTTTCAATTAGATATTTCAGTAGATAATTATAGAATCAGGCCAATAAATTACTTTCAAATTTTAATCAGTATATCACATTAAACTGTACCTAAACTTCACATGTATATACAAAAGATTATTGATCCATTTCCATTTTAATTCAACAATATGCTTTTCCACAATTCAATACTTAGATCTTCCATTTACTGGTGACCTTTTCTTACATGTTGATTGTAATAAAGAAAACAACTTGAGTTTAAACCATGTTTTCAGATGATAGTGGCCCCTGTGGACATTTGTTTGAAATTCAAAATAAATTAGAATTTAAAGGGTATTATAATGTGAAGTACTTGTTTTAGTACAATTTAATTTCATTTTTATAAACAAGACTTACCATTCTTTTTGATGCATCAAATATTGTGTGAACACGAAGTATATGGATCAGTCATTTCGTTTGTGCATGAAATACTGTAAATTTTGAAATTTTAGCACACATTTTTTTTTGATTATTGAAAATGAAAAAAAATGTTAGATAAATTATTGCTGTTTCAGAAAATACTGCATATAAGTAATGCTATCACAATTTTAATGCAAGTTTTTATTTTTGTGACACCTATATATCATTGCAATTTTTCACATTATGAAAACATCGCAAACATTTCTGAATTTACTGTATGTTATTTTGAAAAGTGACTGATGTTTGTTGTATATATAATGGTTCTTTTTAGATAAATACAACTTTCAAGAGTGTTACGTTATATACTTTGTCAATTTTCACTTAAATGTCACTTAAATCTCTATTTATGGCTTATTTTCGGTATAATTGTCTATGAATTTATAAGAAAAGCTCGACATTTTCATCTTGAAAACACAAACTCATTATTTCAGCATCTGAAATTTTGATAAAACATCAGTGATATTTCACTCCTGACCTCTTATTTTAAGTAAAATATTGTGTGCAACATTCAAATCACTATGACATACATCTTAATTTGTTAATATCCATATCTAATAGAAAAATTCTCTAGGTTAATCTTGGATTAATGATGTAGAAGATTGATTGGTTGATTTTTGGTTGCTTCACATCACAATCATCTCATATTCACAGTTTTAGTTATTTCAATCATTATCATATATTTATCATAAATCTTTCATTGTCAAGTATAACTGAATTTAATATAACAGTATCTAGATTCATAACACTTTTGAATGAATTCTGTTTTCTTGTAGCAACAAGACCAAGAAGAAATAGAAGACAGCAAAAGGAAGGAAAGAAGTAGAGGAGAGACAGTAAAAATTATAGATGACTATGATGATGATGATACTGTTACGGTAAGATATAATGATGAGTTGAGGTTTGTAGTGTGGATTCATTATTATTTGTGGGATACCAATTTTCGTGGGTTACCAATTTTCGTGGGATACCAATTTTCGTGGATTTCATGGGTATAGGTGAACCACAAATTAAAATATTCAACAAAGTACAATTTTTCTAAAGGCTTTTGGGCTGTTTTCTGCTCTTTGGTGGGGTTGTTGTCTCTTTGACACATTCCCCATTTCCATTCTCAATTTTATTTTATTGAATGCAGATTTAGGCAAATCCAGGATATCAAATATCCACAAAAAAACTATTTTTCCTTATTCCACGAAAATAAATGAATCCACTTTAAACAGAACTAATAGGACTCATTTCAAATCCTTTGTTAGACACTGCTGCATATTGAAAGATATGAAAGGAATGAAAAAATGTACACCTCTCCCCAGCAGGGCTTCCAAAATTATTTTTAGCCAGCCGGACATTTTTTATATTATCCCGATTTTAATCCCTTCTGAGTTCTGACTAAATAAACAAAAGGCAATTATGGTAATCAGTTGCCGAGTTAGCCATCCCAATGATTGACATTAAAAAAAAAGATATTAAACTTTCTTTGATTCAAATTTCGAAGTTCTGACTTAAACTGTTAAATTGGCAGTGCATCATTCGAAGTGTGCAACATTAGCGTACTTATATCTGCCTTAGACTCTTTATTTGTGCAAAATAACGTTGTCAAAAACTTTACTTTCGTTTTTATACCGGATGTTATCTTGACAATGGTAAAACATGGACCAGAGACGGATACGTAAATTCCGTGTACGTTTGCAAAGTGTGAATGAGTGGAAGTAGCTCTTTCTACGTTATTTCTTCAAGAAAATATTTGAAATAAACGTGAGATAAAGGTATCAATGACAATTTAAGCATTTTTTTGAAGAAATTAGGATGCATAATTAAATTTCACACCTGCGCACATGACGTGTACTAGTTCAAACAGAGACATGTCTCTAGGTTCAAACAACGTGGTTATGACGATTTTTCATTTTCACCTTTTCAATTTTTTCATCAAATCATATTTGTAAACGTATTTCTGATAATTTAAATCTTTGACTAAATTAATTAGATGCAAACCGCTGAAATGTAAGAAAATAACTTTGAATAGACTGATCAATGTCCGGTTCAAAATAGTTTACCTGTCACCTGAACAGGTAAATTTCATCTGTTTGACAACTAATTAGCCTTGATTAAAATGAGAAGGTATTAAAGTAGGGGTTGTTTTGATAGTACTTAATAATCATGTCACTTTTATGACCGGAAATGTGTGGCTGTTAAAGGCAAAACGTTGGGTCAAAAAGATCGCGAATTATGTTAAAATGACCGTCTCTTAAAGCCTTGAAAACTAAAAAGTAGATGACCGTTTCATGCTTTGCCCAGCCAGACTTTTACCGGACATTATACAAATGTCCGGCATATATGACCGTTTTGGAAGCCTTGCTCCCCAGTATTTAAGAAAAGATAAATATTCTTTTGTCAAAAAGACAGCATTTGGCTACACACATGGGAAAGAACATAAAAAAAAAAGGAATACAATGTATTTATTCATGACACAAAATTGCTACCTTCACTTGTCAAAACCTTTGTTTTGGTTGGAGCATCTAATATATAATTTATTCCTATATAAAGACATGCCAAATTAGAAGCAAGTTTTGACTTACTCCAAATTACAACCAGTGTTCTTCATATAGAATTAAAACATATGTCTATGTTCACTGAATTAATGGCAGTGCTTGCTGTTGTAAACTCAATTTCCATAAACTTTGAGATGGTGCCATATGGTGAAATAATTTGTTCTTATTAACAAACTTTGTAAAAGTCAGTTTATGATTTTTTTTTTTCAAAAAGGTGTTACAGATGTTACATGACATGACAAATGTTCTTTTGCAATTTATGCACGAAATTATTTAAGTCTGTTATTTTTTTTAATTTATTGTAAAAAATGATTGAATGGTTAAAAAAGATATTTTCTTATATAGATTGTAGCTGATAAAAAAGGTCGAAAGAAGAGTGCAGGGAAGAGAAAAGGAAAAGGTCTGATGGGAAAACTAGGGTTAGATGATGAGTATCAGCATGAAAAGAAAGGAAAAGAAGTGAAAATTGACAAATCTTTTCAGACTGGTATGGGTGGTATTCTTGTCAAGTTTACAAGGTACAGTCAAAGAAGATGCTTTATATATATATATATATATATAGAGATGCAAGTCAACATGTTGTAGATGCAAAAAAAAATTCATAAAGGTCTGAAATACTGCCAAATTACATATACTTCGCCTTAAGAATATTTAAGTGTACCATCAGTTATATTGTACGATGTCTTATACAGATTTTGCTATGATAATTTTGCTAAGTAGCTCCAATAGTGCAGTCAGCTTATCTGACCCATCCTTTTCTTGCAAATAAACTAAAGTAAATATATATAGCACCTTCCATCAATGTATACAACATGTATGTGTTTATCAGGGGTGTTGACTGTAAGATCAGCAAAAAAAAGATTTGAAAATGAAACTTTTAATGATCAATTTCAGATATTTGCATAATTTCAATCTCTGTTTTGGAGACTAGACCTCTCAATATAACATATATATATATATAGCTAGTATAACATGTTTATAAAATGAAATTATTTTGATAAGAAATACTTTTGATTTCATGTGATTAAGGGATATAAATAGACTATTATTCCTATTGCGTGATGTGAGATATACTCTCACGTCATACTTTGTTAATTTCTCAAGCTTTAATTAATTAATAGAATTTTAAATGCCATTTCAAGGCAATCTTCTTATAAAAATCATAATTCATTTTAATAAATTCTTTAACATTTGATTAAACTCCTTAATCCTCTTCAGCCAATTCAAGTAAACATATTGTTCATTTTATAAAAGCGTATTTCCCTTCATGTCTATTTTTGTAGTTAGATATTTCAAGGATTTAAGCAAATAGTGGATAGTTGTCTCATTGGCAATCATACCTCATCTCCTTATTTTTATATTATAAGATTATTAAATTTTTCTTTGTAGCCACCTGTTGTTGCCTATTTAGTCTTGTTATAAGGTCACCATATGGGTAATATGGTGCTATCTTAGTTTGTTTATTTTCTTGTTCCAGATTAAGTTATTTTATTTCAGAAAAATTAATAAAAGAAAAATGATGACCCTTAACATCAAACAGTTTGTCATAAAATTTACAAAATATTAATAAAAAAATAAGATATAACTATTTTTATTCATAGATGGACCTATTTACTTATCATGCTGGCTTGTTAGGATTATAAATTTCCTGAAAAATTATTCCACAGCTGCTATAGTGTAGTAATAAAAAATATTAAAAAAGAAGTGTTTACAACTGTTAAGACAAAGATAACCTAAAAAATTTTGGTGATCTTAAGTTTGAACACACTGATATATTCTATGTAATAGACTTCTCTCATTGTAGTGGACCTAATGAAAATTACTCCATAATCATGTATTGTTCTCATAAATCAGTATTTAAGGTCTATACATATATTATCAGGACTCTTAAAATACCAGGCCTCTTCATCCCCTTTTTCTAATGGTTTAGATCAATTTGGATCAATTTATAGGTTTTTGTACGCTTCAGAATGTAATAAAATTTAACAAAAAAAAGATTTCCAGGTGAAAAGTGTGAGTGTTTTGTATATTATTGAAGAAATCACATATGTCCGTTGCCATGGACGAAATGTACATGGTCTTAACCTTCGAAAGTTATCAATGACCTACCGAATTGTAAATGGAAATGTCATAATATCATCTCATGATGCTGGATAAGCCAATCAAACTAATGCAGTTTTCGTATCACTTTTTCGTATCACACTCCGTGCATATATAACATCAATTCTTAGGTCTTACTCCGTATGCTTCATGCTTAGCAGAGAAGTAGAAATTTCAAATTTAATGTAAGCAGAGGAAAAAAACCCATGAACACTCTACAGGGGTGAGGCTGTGAGCATGTTACCATGAGATTATTAAGGTTTCAGAACTGTTAATTCAGACAATGTTTATATTAATGCAATTAATAATATATACAAAAATAAATGTTCCATTTTTCTTATATTGGCCCCTTTATAACATATGGTTTCTTGCAAACTTTGGTTTTAATTTTTTCCTGATGAAAGTAGCGGTCACTGCGAACACAGATTATTTATATATGTTTGATTTTGTTATGAATAAATAATTACAGAAACACAAGATTTGCCATTTACACCCAATTCTCCAAATAATGAAGACATTTGGATATGACTTACAACAACTTCTGACAAGGTTCCTGACTTGGGACAGGCAAGTGAAAATAGGGAGGAGTTAAACTGTCAAACTTTTTCTAAGAACCATTTCCTTTTTAATGTTACGTTATCATCTGAATTATTATGCCTCGTTCACACGTACATTTAATTCGAATTGAATGCGAATCGAATTCGCTAATCGCGTTCACACACTCTTCTTTTTAATTCGAATTGATTCGAATTGGCTAAATCGCATTATCCAATTCGCCTTAGAAATGCGTTTTTGTTAATACGAATTAAAAGTTAACGTCGTTAGGAAAGTAAAGCGAATTTGACGCGCATTGCAATTCGAATTAGAATTTACGTTTGGACGTTAAACGTTTTGAATGCGAATTAAACTAATTCGAATTACGTGTGAACGCAGCATAAGTTTTAAGATGATAAAATTTTTCTGTATATACAGCTGAAAGATAGGAGTGAGAATTTTGAATTCTCATTTAAACAATATTGTTCTATTTACAGTGAAGAGGCAGAATCAGAAATAGCTAAACAAGACTTAGACAGAGTTGATCACTTGTCTAATGATCTTGGCAAAGAAAAAGAATCTGTGAGTAATTTAATAGCAGAATAGATTCAGATAGCTCTATTGGTAAACTATACCTCAGCTTGCCTTGGGCTGAAGTGGAAGTGTTTCATAAAAGAACGTAATGAAAGTACCGGAAAGTAGTACTGGTACTGGTTACTATCAGCTGAAATGAAAAGTTTTGTTAGAAGTATATTTGAAAGTACACAGACTTTATGTAATTAAGAAAATTTATGTATTAAAATATATTACATGAGAATTATTAGACACCAGTAACAGGAATATTGCAGTGAACTGGTATGTCATCCCAAGAAGCCGTAATAACTTGTATCTTATGGTAGATTTAGTTCTAATACAATCTCTAATTTTAGAGACAAATTCAGGCTTTCTGAAATAACTGTGGAAGAGACAATAAAACACAATTTGTTCACTTAATTCCAGTATTGTTCTTTACTGGTATTTGACAAAACAATTTTGTTTGCTGGTTATCAATTATAATCCTAGTCTTGTGATATAATCATACCAAAGAATTTAGATTTAACATTTTGTACATTCAATTATATTTGGAAATCATGACTAATCACTAATGTATGTTTTTACCAGTAAGTTTTTGCTCATGATACAAATATATGGTAACCTGTTTTCATATGATATGAATACTAATTACAGTTCCTTATGGCATCGGTACATGCATTAGCAAATAGAAAAAAAGCTCCCTATGGTGGTCAGGTGGTTTATATAGTTTGTTTAAATAAAACTGTAAAGATAACTCCATCCTGTCATAATTGGGGTTAAGATTCAAGACTCACATGGGTCAATAGAACAAATACACTCAACCATAGTTTGTCAGTAATGAAGTAAAAAATGGTGGTATACCCTAGGCACTCATATCCTCTATAATGAATCAAACCTCCTAACAGGCAGTTGTATGAACCTATAGAGGGTAGCATTTAACCATTCCATTAAACAAGCAAACTAACGATTCAGAAAAGAACAAAAATCTGATGAGAAGCTAGAAAGTTATATTAAGGTTGTACCAAACACCTTGACTAAAATTAATTTGGCTTGTTTAATTTTCATTTACCTTGACCGATTGACAAAAATATAAAAATTTCAAAAAATTTAAACCACACACTTTATCGAAAAAATTTCATTGGATATATAGCAGTTTGAAAACACTAATTTTGATCATTGAGAAGTTTAATATTTCCTTAACAATAATACGTGATTAAAACGTTCAACTGATTTTTACAGAGTTATCTCCCTGTAGTGTTATGTACCACCTTAAGTGTAAATGGGAAAAATTTAAATAAACATTATTTGACTTGTTTTATTGTAGATGTTCCTAGCCATGTTAAGAATGAAGCTGAAGAAAGCCAAAATAGATGACCCACTTCTGTCTCGTCTTGTCAACTTTGTCATGGAAGATATTCAAAACAAAAAGAAAATGATTGAAGATGATAAATTAGAAACTGAAGCAGTATGTATAGTTATATTCTTTTTTATAGGTCATTTATAAGACTTATTCCAGTTAAAACAAATCATGCATGTTTCACCATTATTTGTGTAAATGTCAACTCTGTATACTATATACTAACAGACTATAGATGATCGTTTATAAAAAAAGAATTAAAAAAAATGCTACATGTTGGAACTTGGATCAGATTTGCTCACCTGAAATAAGATGATTCTTCATGAACAATTTTGCCACTGTAAAAAAAAAAATCTAATGTAACAATCTCAATCGAAATCTTTCAAGAAAACTGGTTGACTCATGAATGATTTATGCTGTAATGGTCTTACTGAAAATATACCTGAAAAGTTATCTTTGCTTTGATAATTTGCAAGCTAAGACATAGATATGAAGAAAAGGAGATGTGGGGTATTCGTGAATGAGAAAGCAACCCAAAAATGCAAATAACCAAAAGATGACTGCTGTAACTTATACAGATAACATTTTACATAAGTTTTTATATGATATTGAAGGAGCGTACTGTATTAGCATAGGATTAAACACATTTTTTATTTGTGAGTAAGCGACCCAGTTTACACATCAATAACCTGTAGAAAAAATGTTCTTAATCCTTATAATTCTTAAGCCAAACATTATCAATTTTGAATTAATAATTTTTTATTCATTGGCTACAATTTACCATCAAATGCAAAATTGAAATGTCATAACTTAGGAGTTAGCTGTCATATTGACTTTCTGAATTCTAAAAATTGAAATAACACCTACCTCAAAAACTTCATTTTACTTAGATATTCAAGAATATGAAGGATACAAGTAACAGAATAATCTTCAGCTTGAGAGTTTTCATTCGTATGACATCATGATTTGCCATGACGTTTATGATCCAAGATCATTCATGAAATTGTTATTTTTATACATTTTTAAAGCTTCAATGCATTGTTTTCTTTTGTTATGTATTAGAATAGAATAACAGTCACTATTATGTATTTGTTTTTTTTCAATCTCAATTTGCTGTGAACCCCTGGATTTCATGCATGTGTATTGCACATGAATATGTTATAGTAAAGGTTACAAAAGTAGTTTCTGCAACATGGTAAACCAAGGAAAAAACTCTAATATACCAATCCGATTCAAGTATTTGTACACATGCAAATCAATAAGAATTATTGCAACATAATAATGTTTGATGTACTTCTTTTATGCAAGTAATCATTATTTTGCCTGTCATATCACTAATTGCAAGGATGAAGTCTGGCATACTACAATTAATTGTTTTTACAAATATTTCAATATATGTCTTTTTTTTTCTCAGGAACTTAGAGTTGTTCACAGTAAAGATCAACAAACTCTTGACAATGAATTAGAAAAAATAGACATGGCTTCTCAGCAAAAGCAGGTAATGTATATCTTTGTGTATTCCCTTGGGTTGAGAAGTATGGTACTACATGTATCAGCAAAATAAAAAAATCTTCTCATGATCAAAGTTAATTTTGAAATAAGTTAACTTATTCTACAGTCTAACCTGCCTTCATGGTCACCTGCCTCCAACGGTCACTTTCAGATCCTCCCAAACGTTTTCTTTATATAATTTAACTCAAATTAGCGGTCACCTGTCTAACCCGGTCAGCCGTCACCTAATTTTTGCACAAAATCTTTTTTTCAACTTTTAACAACGTTCATTTTAATGTTTTTAATAACCTAGATAATCATAACAAATTTTGTATCGAAGTCAAACGGGAAATTGGTATCCGCCATATTTCTGACACAAGAACCATAACTCTACTGATTTAAAACACTAAAACAATTTGCCCTGATCCGGGCACAGGCCATATTGGAGTGAATTTTTTTCAAAGGTCACCTCTCTTGGACTTTCACTTTTGATACTTTTCAACAGTGACTGCTTAATACAGGTTTTAGTGTATTTTGTCAAGATAAGTCAGAATTAAAGCCCACATTTATATAATATAATTTTAGATCTGGTACTATTGGTTTATTGATATCTTTATACCCTAGGAGTAAAAAGTAACTGTATAATATATACTATAGTATAGAAAAATATATCATTCATAGTAGAAGCTGTCAAAAACTTATTTTTAAAAGTAACAGATAATTCTATTAAAAGTATGAAAGAATTATCTTGTGGTTTTTATAGTTTTGATTAATATTCTGACATGTTTTATTTTTTCTCTTTTAGAATAAAGTTTTAGATGAAGAAAGAGAGAAGATAAAACAAGACTTGAGAAGACATACAAAGTTGTCAGAAGCTGAGGTAATTTTTTTTCTATTTATATCAGCCTGCCAACCATTTAGATGGTAAAATGTAGGAGCGGGAAAGGTTTCAGTGCCAAAAGTAAATATATTCATGAATTTATAGGAAAATTCTTTTTAAACAAGGAGATTATGTTGAAGAATACTGTAAAGATATTTAAAAATATGAGTTTTCAATATTTTCATGGTATCCACAAAAAATTGAAAAAAGACTACTTTCAAATTGTCTGATTTGTGATTGAAAATTTATCATTATATTATAAACCTAAAGAAGTAAATAAATGCAGACCTGTTTATTGATTTTAAGTCATGTAAATAAAATCATGCAAACAAAAATAATAGAAATCGAATGCCTTAAAAATTTATATATTTAGAGTACCGTATCTTGTATATAGAATTTGGGGTAAACGACACTTTAATATTATCCACTTTACAACCTCTTTTCAGTTTATAGATGATACATTTCTTTTCTCTTTTCCTATATAAGTATAGATTAGTTCATGAAAATAGAGATTATATACAATGTCAGTGAATCTATCTTCAGGGGTGGAAGGACCACTTTCAGGATGTTAGGATTAGATCTTTATTTTTGTGGAAATTCGGGATTGGGCCATTTGTTTTCGAAGGAATTTGAGATTTACCAGAATCAGGAATCAGGAAGACACATTCAGTATCAAATTTAACTTATGGTAAATCAAACAATTTGAATATGTCAAATTTAAAAAAAAATAATTGTTTAATATCACAAAAGTTTATGTGTCTATTATCATAAATAAATTTGTAGAAGACAGCACACTGTATGTTTATTATGACAAATTATACAAATCATTACAGATAGAGGCAGTAATAGAAGGTTTACTTAAAGATATGGGAAAACTAGAGAAAAAACTAAATGATGAGAGACTGAGACAACAAAGGGTTGGTCTTTTTTTAAAAATTTACTTTATATTAGACAAGACTTCAGTGTAAGTTTGAAATTCTAAGTATCTAATGTTGATTCACATATTCATATCAAAGTGTATGTCTTCTGGTTACAAAACATTAGATTATCATCTTATTATCATGGTACAATTATAAAATATATGATTTACACTTTTTGGGTTATAGATGACAGAAAAAAAACAGTAAGCCCAAACAAATGAAAATATGACAAAGAAAAGAAAAATAAAATATTTGAAATAATCTTTGAAAAATCATTATATTTGCTGACTATGTACAGGCATTTTAATGGTAAATGGATATGTTTACCATGTTTCATAGCACTAAATAATTTACTTTATAATTCAATATAAAAATAAGAAGATGTGGTATGATTGCCAATGAGACAACTCTCCACAAGAGATCAAATGACAAAGAAAAAACAACTATAGGTCACCATACGGCCTTCAACAATGAGCAAAGCCCATACCACATAGTCAGCTATAAAAGGCCCAAAAATGACAAATGTAAATCAATTCAATCGAGAAAACTAACGGCCTAATTTATGTACAAAATAATGAAAAAAAAAAAAAATATGTAACACAGCAACAAACAACAACCACAGAAATGCCTTTTAAGAATTTCAAACACAAATCTTTAACAATATGCACACACAAAAATTTGTTGAAATGATTTGTCATAAGAAGTAAATAGAATCCAACACTATTGGGTCATATAATGAGACCTAAGTGTACTAATATTAATAAAATCCTGACCAATTAGTTTTCATCCTATTCTAATTGATTTGTTTTAAAATCTAGCATCTATACATTTCAATTACAATGAGGAACAGAACCTTTGCAGTCTTAGTGGTTGTAACAAGATAATAGAAGCCCTTTAACTTATACCAACATACTGGTTTAGTTAAAAGTAGCATTCAACAGATTCTTTCTAATATCTGCATTTCTCTGCATAAGTATTTGAAATTTTAGCAATATGATTAAATAAAATGAATCTGCATTTTCAACTACTATTGTTATCTTCCAGGCTTTAGAAGAAAGATTGGCAAAGAGAAAACAGATCATAGATTTCAGAAATATCCAAGACAAACAAGCACAGGAGTTAGGCAATAATAGTGCTGATAGTTATGAGGAAGAAATGAAAAATCTTGTCCAAGATGGAAACTTAACAGAGAAACAGAAAAAAGAAATACTTAATGAATATATGATGGATCTTAAACGGCTAAATAGACAACATGAAAAAGGTCTTGACAATTAAAATATCTATATGTTTTCTACTTCTGTTAACTGTTCATGAGTTTTCAAAAAAAGATATTTAAAAAAAATGTATAATACTGATATATGTGCACACAACACATTTTCTTCCCTTATAGGTGTTAAAGTGTTTCAGTGTCCTTTAAAAAGCAAATGAAATGTGATGTTTAAACTTTTTTTTAAGTGAATTGTTGTGCATAACACTGGCTCAAAGGAGAAATTCAAAGGAAAATAAATTGTAGATCATTTATTAATTGTTTTGTTTGTCCTGCAATATTGATGAAATTACACTGGAGAGACATAAATATGTGTTTACAGTTTTATTAATTACTGTTTAGTGTTTGGAAAATGTCTTGGTTATGGAATAATGGTTATTAAATCTACTCCATATCATTGGTAAAAATACTTTTAGTTTTTGAATCAGCATTGATATAGGACTTTCAACGGTATAAAAATATATGAACTTAAACATGTACTTGTAACTTATCTTTTATCGTTCATAGAACATGCATTTCTTGTCTGATAGAAATGCATACATCATAATCATTTACAAATATATTGCCATGATGCCATGACTTACCATCCTATTTCTTTCATTTACCTGAACTTCTGAAAAATTTGAAATCACTTTGCAAGTTTTGACTTCATTGTCAAGTCTTGAACACATCATATTTATGTGGTTTTTTGTTGTTGATAATTTCACATTTTCTTTATGAGTGTAAAGTATACAAAGATTTGTCTATCCCCATTTTCTTATGTCATAAAACATGGTAATCAACTTTGCATTATTGGAGTTACTTATATATTACTAGCAAAATGTGAAACCATGATGTTCAGTTACATTCTGATCTTTTCATTCATCAGATTCACAAAGACAACAGTTAGATTTGGCAAATAAATTAGAACAGAGAAGATTGAGAAGAATTCATCAGCTGAATGAGAAACATGAACAAGAAAAATCTTTGCTCTTACATAAAGCTGACAAATCCACAGACACTGGTAATTTTATAGAGGTAGGTGAAATCATTACTCACAATATTGAATTATGGTATTCTGTTCAGCATTTACTTGGTTAAACATTTAAGCAAGCTGGTCAATTCATGGCAAGAGATATGTAATGTGCAATAAGGGCATTTAGTAGACATATGTTTGTATAATGCTCAGGTTTGACATCAACTTACCATAAAATTCACAATTTTCATACTTTTTATCTGTTTTGTAACAATTTGAAGTCGCTTGTTTCTATTTGAAATACTGAATAATAACTCACCATGTCTTTGTGTTAGTAATATAGAACGCTTGATATGGCAAATCTTTGAAAAAGGGATTCAAGTCAGTAAGAAAGCTATCAGGTACACTGGAGCTTGTCTTTGAATGTAAAAAAAAAAATGTACATTCATCTTCTTTATTCATGCATTATCTTAATTGAATCTGTATATTAGTATCAAGATGAAGACGAATAATCAAATGATGATACTGCATCAAGTTAGTAATGTTTGTGCCTGTCTGAAATCAAACATTGCTACCACAACAGAAAGTATTATAAAATAAGAACATATTGGCAATACCCACAAACATCATGTCCTCAGACTAGTAATAAAAGGTGAATAAAAAATTCAATCTTGTAGACCTACAACAAGATATTATTTTGATGCTGATAGAAACCTTCTATCGTATACCACCTATGGAATAAATATTAGACATGAATGATGATGATATCATGGTTGTACCAAAGTCTGTGATTTTTTAAAATCAAAAAGTGCAACCTTAGTAGACGATCATTATTTTAACATAGAACCCTGTAGGGAATATGTGACCCGACATGACATTTCCAGGCTTATGGCGGTAAAGGTCATAATAAGAAAACGTCGATGCAAAGTTGAAATCGGGGCACCTGTTATTGAATGTTCAATTATATCATGCGGTAAAATAAGGTTTCAGTTTTCTTGACCTGAGGAAATTTGAATTTTATGTTATGATATATACAAAACAATCACGTTTTGAATTCACAATTTATCTTTTGAATTTTGAACCCTGGTACCACCATAGGCCTGAAAATCTCATGGCTGGTCACATATAAGTAACTGTTTTTTTAAATATTAAATTCATATAATACTTAGATGATGGTCCTTCCTCATATTTGTGATTTTGTTTTATTGTCTCACCTGTGATGAAAGAAGCGGAAGGCGAGACATAGGTGTTGCTTTTCCAGCTCAGATGACGATGGTGACGGCATCAATAATTGTTTTCTGTTGAAGGCAGTTTGATAGGAACTACTTGTGATAGATCAATGATATTTTTTAAGTTGCATTACTATCAGTACATAATAGTTTGATGATTATTTCGAGGCCCTGACCCCCAAGGTCATGGTCCAGTAACTTTGAATTAATCAGCAATATTGCCGTTCATCAGATTGTCTTTTTCTGAATTTTCTGCTGACAGTCAAGACATATCTCTGTGTTTATCAACAGTTTATGTTTTGAAATCCAAGGAGTCTGCCTCAACTGAAAATGATTTTAGATATATTCCATGGAAAATACCTGAACATATATTACATATGTTAAATACTTTCAGTTTTACATACAATGCAAGCAAAACTTCTCGTTTTATGTTTTTATTGTAAAAACATTCGAGGAAAACATCATATTCAATACTAGAAATATTTTCAGAGTTATCATGAGTTGCTACAAGAACAAAGAACAGAACTAGAATCAACAGAAGCAGAACTTGATCAGACAGAATTACAACAACTTGATCAGATTAGACAGGTATTGTATTAATAAAGTCAGTAATATAATAATAAGGAGATGTGGTAAGATTGCCAATGAGTCAACTATTCGCCAGAGTTCAAATGAAGTGGGTGAAAGCAATTATAGGCCACTGTAGAGTATTCAACTACAAGAAAAACCTATAGTCTTCTTTAAAGTCCCCAACAGGAAAAATGTGAAACAATAAAAACCAGAAAACTAACAGCCTAATTTATCACAAAACAATTTACAATAAAAACAATATGACAGACATTAACCAAGGACTATCACTGAACTGCAGGCTCCTGACTTGATACAGACACATAAAGAATGTGGTGGGGTTAAATCATATTCGTGAGCACTCAATCCCTCCCCTAACCTGGCCCCTGGGACAGTGGTGCAACAGCACAACATTAGAACAAACTATATAAATTAGTTGCAATTGGCTACCTCAAAAGATCGGTATGAAATAGACATTTCAAATAACTTTAATTGTTTTTCATAAAGCAATCAAAATAGACTGTTTGGTTTTCAGACATCATCATATCTGACAGAAAGAATAGAAATAACGTGTGTTTTAAACAGCAATATGTTATAAGAATTTGAAAATTCAAAATTAAAGGCAAAGACTAGAAAGTTTAATTCAGCAAATGAAGAATAAATGTCATATTTGCAAAATGTTTCAGACAAAGAAAAATGATTAATTGAGATATGGTTTTTCTTACTGCCATTTGTTGTTTTTGTTTTTGTTTTCGTTCTCATTGTTCAGTATTTTATATCTAAGATAAATCTCATTAAGTCAATTTTTAAAATGTACACAATTTTAGAGAATAAATCGGGATAAAGTGCAATCAATAGAAGAGCGAGGAGAAAGAATGAACAAAGCTATTGGTTCTGTATCATCAGCTGATCCTGCAGACGTCAACAGAATGATCAAAGCACATAAACAAAGAATGCTAAATCTTGAAGGTAAGTCAATAAACATTTACAAGGGATTGTTCAACTTGAAGATCAGTAAAAACACATATAAACAAGGAAATAACCAACTTATATATATGTTATATATATAATTACTCTAAATATAGGCACAACAATGTTAAATCTGCAAATTTGCGGAAAGAAATTTTTGTTCTTACCTCACTGAGATTCAAACTCATGCTATTGGGATATCTTGACAACACCGCCTGCTTTCGGAGGCCTAGTGTTACCTTTCCTAGTCAGTAGAATCTAGAGTTGTAACACAGTACATGATATATATATTAGGCATGAAGATGGAATTGATTGCAGATTATTTTTATAAAGACCTCCTTAGTGTTAAGTTATAGGTCAGTAGACTTTTTATAGGACAAAACACATCATTTTGCTTTGTCATTTTTTAGCCTGCAATTCCTTATTACAATAGAATCAAAGTATTAAAAATGTTTATGATAATGATTAATAAAAATGTAATTTATCATTATTGAATGTATAATAACCATAACTTATTGTATGGTAACATCATAATTTCTACAGAACATTACCAAAAATAAAAATATTTCCCTGTTATTGTATTCAGTGATATACTACATGTAAATCATGATGTCTTTATAAACTTGGAAGTTTTGACATACTAAGATTGTTTTACTGCATGGATAGTAGTAAGGGCTATTCCATTAAAAAAGTATGTGGGAGGGTAGGAAGGGACTTTCAAAATATCCCTACAACCAAGAACCATTTTTTAGATAATTTTGCATAATGGTAATAGAGGCATACTGAAAAAAGACCCATGACCCACATTCAATAATTAAACTTCCCTTCCTACCCTCCCACATACATTTTAATGGAATAGCCCTAAGTATGATTCTGTGTAGAATAGTAAATCAATTTAACTGTCAAGGTTGTGCAATATTTCATTCTACTTTGGACAATATGCACCAATATTTAACGATAATCCTATTGTATCTTTTTACTAAGTAATATGGTAATTCTTTGAAATAACATTTGTATAATATGTGAGGTATTTTTTTTATAATTTTTATGAAAGTCTATTTTTGACCTTAACTTTACAGATGCTAGACTACAAGAACAAAACAGAATGAAAGCTATGCTTCAAGCAAGATGGGAGCAAAAAATGATGGTAATGTTCACAGAAATTGTTTGGCCTTACACTTTCCTCGCCATTATCAAGAAGACCACCATATCATAACACTACTTTCTTGTAACTGATCGGATAGATTTTGATTATTTCAAGAACAGTTTGAAAACATCAACACTGTAACTTCATAATTGTTAAGAAATTTTCTTCAATATGATAAAAAAATATTAGATTGTTACAAAAACTTTTTTTAGAAATTGTTAGCCATTGCAAAATTGTATTGATGGGACTCAGTTAATCTTAATAAAAATAAAGTAAATCTAGTTCTCTCATTTCAGCAGTTTTTATTTCCACAGCTAACAATTTATTAAGAAATTTTTGTAACAATCTTTCTATGCATATACAAAAGGCTTTGGTGCTTTCACAATCAATACCTATTTGCTAAAATTTTTACCTAGTTGCAGTTTGAATTCTTCTTGACAAACTAGTGAAAGGTTGTATGCTTACCATTGTACAGAATTTATTTAGATGTGTTAAGGAATTTTTTGTATCGGTGTTAACTTAAATCTTTTAGCAAAATTTTAAAATTCTCATAAAAACAGGTTTTTGCATAGATTTTGATAAGAAATGAAGGTGGATGCATGAAAAAAAATGCAATGAAATATTTTTACCATATCATTTAATTTACATCATTTGGTCTTGTTGAATGGCTGATAAAATTGTTTTTTCAACTTTGTAAGAAAAAATATTGCTTTTCTTTCAGCAACTTGAGGATGATGAACAGAAATCTCACCAAGAACAAGAAACACTTGCTGAACAACAACTTACAACAGTTAATAGGGTATTAAATAACAGTCTGGAATTAAATGAGGAGTAAGTCTTCAATTTTGTGTTTTGTTTAGTTGAGAAGAAAAACAATATATGTTAAGCTTAAATTTTAAACTTTTTGAAAGTGGTTGAAAAAGGAGATGGTCCTTCCTAACATTTGTGATTTGGTTTTCTTCTTAAATTTTTTAGTAAAATTGTGTTTTTTTTGTGTATAATTCTCAGTTTCTCTGTGGTTACTTTTTCAATGATTATACTTATATTAAAAAAAGGAATGAAGATTTTTTCATGCGTTAGTAGGCCCGAGAACACAGTTATTTCGTAGTGCATTTCTTTTAGACAATAAATTCAAATTAAAAAAATCGCACCTGCTCTATCTCAAAAAGATTTTTACAGTGTAGTGTACTACTATTGATACAAATAATATCAAAATTATAGAAACTTCTACCAGCTCTAACTCAAAATATTGACAATTCTGTGTTAAGGGGGGCTAAAATTCAGTTTGACAGCTTCAGACATTCTAATTTTTGACCTTTTTTAACTGGACCAAATCACTACTTAACATAAAGATTCAGCACCAAAATTTTTTTAACATGTAATTTCATCCCCTTACTTAATATTTCATGCATAAAATATCAAGAAATAAATTGGGAAAGTGTATAAAAAAAAATGCAAGTTATACACTGTTCACACTAGGGACTATATTCGTAGACAACGAAAACCAAAGGACGATAACTGTGTCCTTGGACCAGTAAATAATAAGCTATATTTGGTCTATGGAATCATTATAAATGTCATGGTTTATTGAACAACTTTAAGTTTTCTTGGTACATGTAATAAGATTAATTTTATTAAAGACCACCAACATATTATTCAGTTATGATCAATTAAGTAGGCTAGACATTTCAGCTTGTGTACTCTTAGTTTATATTTTGGAAATGAAACAAAACATTTTTCAATGAATATTATAGAAAAAAAGATGAACATCATCTTGAAAAAATAAGCTTCTAGGCATACTATCATTTTACCAGTTTCTTATAACAGGCACAGAATCAATCCTTTTTGGTTCTTGACAATTAGACTCTTTGAGTACATGGCATCAACTATCACTCTTTCTAATTTTGTATATTGCTAAGGATGAGAATGCCCCTTACCATCAACAATCAAACTTGCAAATATTATCAGGTATCAAGATTTGTTTATTACTAAGTTATTGATACCTCAAATGTTAGAATAAAAAGGTAATTTTATAGTTACTGATATTTTGATCCAACATGATCCCACATTGCTACCCACATTCATATGGAAATGTCTCAGTAATATGGAAAATTTATTAGCATTTCTTTCCAGTTAAAAAATGAAAAAACAATTCAGATGTTATTTACAAACCATAACAGTATGCAGTTTCAAAATGAAGGAGGTGATCATTCTAGATATTCTATATTTTAGTGCAAAGAAGAAAATTATGAAGGAACATGAACATAACATGCAAGTCTTGAACAACCAGTTACAGATGTCAAAATTAAGACAAGAAAAAAGGTAAAAACTTAAATGACATTACTTACTGTGGATTCATTATAATTTGTGGGATACCAATTTTTGAGGAATTTGTGGGTAAAGGTAAACCATGAATTTGAATTTCATTGAAGTACAATTTTCTAAATACTTATATGAGGGTAGGAATGCCCTTTACCGTCAGGCGTCAAACGGTCATTTTTAGGCTACCGTTAGCGTCAAATTGGTTAAAATTTTACCATGATTCGTCAAAATATCCTTATCGTGATTCGTTAGAGGTCTCAAATAATTATTGTTACCGTTATTTTTGGAAAAAATTTAACATGATTCGTCAAAATCAGTCCATTTTTTTATCGTCTAAAAGAAAGTGTACATTTTATCATCATGCACCAAAAATTACCGTTAACGTCATTTGGCAAGAATTTTTACCGTTATTCGTCATGAAGGTACCCCCATTACGACCCTCTTATATACAAGCTTTGGCAAAAAACATGAAATTAAATATCCACGAAAATACATTTTTTTCTCAATCCACAAAAATTGGTGCGTATGAAAATAAATGAATCCACAGTACTTAATATGTTAAACAGCAGGCTTAGAATACTCTGTCGAAGTATATTAACTCATATGAGTAATTTAACATAAGTTGAAAAATTAATAAAATACAGTATATGCATTTGCACAGAAACATCAAACTTGATGTCCGTGACATTTTTAACAGGAACAAACTGATTACTTTACAGAATCTTTTTGGTATTTATAGTTATTGCATATTGTCAGACAATTGAAATGAGCTCTTAGTTTTTAGTTCTGTATACAACATTTTCTTCAGATTTAATAGAAAATCATTAGACTTTGAACTCTTCAACTCTTTCATCTTATGAGTATCATTTATAAATTTGCAGTATGGATGCTAAACTGGCAAAAAGAAGAACAAAAATTGCTGAAATCAGACAAAAACGTGAAGATGAACTCTTGAGCAAATCAAAAATGAATAAAGATGAATTTGACCGACTTACAAAACAACTGGTAAGAGATTAAATGAATAATCGTTTCACATTATTATTAGCAACTTTGTTTTGAATTTAAAAATAAGAAAATGATTGGTTGAAGAATAAAATTTCAAAAAATAAACTACTTCATGTGTTTTCTTTTCAGAGCCTTTTGAGGGAATTCAAAGTAGAATGTGAAAATAACACTTGATAAATAGAACATATTTTTTCTTTCTTTTCCTTGGGATTTTGTCAATTTTTTTTAACAATTAAAAAAAGTCACTTTATTAATATTCTTCATATGAATAAAATTAAAGGAAACATAAATGTCAATAAGACAGCAACTCCCAAATGCAATCTTTCCATTATAGGAAGATGAACTTGCATCTGAAGAGGAAAAAATAGAAATGGAAAGACAACAAGCATTGATAGATTTTAAAAGAAAAATGGCTTCTGAAACAGAGGCCCTTTTAATGGAGCAGGAGAAGGAATTAGGTGTTCTGATTGGTAGATTAGAGGTGTGTGGATTAGCTATGACATGATATCTATTGATAAACTTTATGAAGATCATGATTTGGTTAAAATTGTTAAAACATAAATATCAGCATAGGGCTACCAAAATGTATAAAGAAAACAATTTTGAATTATACCAATAAATGCTGTAACTTACTGAAAGCAAGCTCAAAGTACTTACCTAACCTGGTAATGTTGGAATCATGCCTTCTTAATGACACTCTCATATCAACTGTACTTCTGAATACAGCCTCATCATGAGTTGTACAGCATATGACATGATTTTGTGCATGCTCAAAGTAGATTTGTTATGAATTCCATACAGAAAAAATAAAAGACACAGATATCAATTACTTTATTTATTGATTGAAACTTACATGATTTAAGGAATTGATATATGTTCCTAAAAAATAGATGCAATGATTTAACAGCAATATATAGCAATGTGTTGTATTTTATAGATTGGAGCAGCCAGAAGACAAGCTTTATTGACAAAACAAGACACACAGCTACAGAGCTTACAGGTATTTATGAGATAAAAATATATTTGAAAATACAGATGTACATTTCTACTTTAAGATTAATTACTGTAAATTCAGAAATTATTGCGATGTTTTTATTATTGCGAAAAATGTGACAGGGTTATAATCGCAATAATTTAAACTCTCATTTTGAAATTTTTTATATGAACTAAACTGGATTTTTCTCAATATCGCAAAAATTAAAATCACATTTTAGTCTAAAATGACAAAATCACAATAATAAATGCACGCAATAATTTCTGAATTTACAGTACTCAAAATGTATTGCAAAAATTATTAAAACAACATCCAGTTGTATTTCAAATATGCTTTTACTTTATATAGTGCAATTATTGCTGTACCAATTTGGTGCTAGACTTACATTTCACAATTGAGTTATTTGGTTAAGTTTCAAATGGTGGTGTATGAATTATATTTTACTGCAAAAGTTTTCTTATGTAGTACAATATAGTTTCACAACATTTGGACTACTATGACTTACATTTCACACCAGATTTATATTATTATTGATATGTACTGATATTGTGTAGAGAAGACATAGGGAGGGAAATGTGGTGTTGTTAGGACAACAGCATTAACTGATTATTTATATACCTATATGGAGTTATATCCTTTCAGAACGACAGGTCATTCTTTTGAAGAAACAACCTGGACGTTACCAATTTTGAATGAATTGTGCTTCAAGGTATAAAATAATGACCTGCGTCAGGTCATTATTTTCCCTGATTACAATGCAAACTACAGAGTACTAAAACATTTAATCCCTGTGTTATTACAAATTGGGCTTTATTGTACAATATTCAATCTTTAACACTTTCAAAAACAATTCTTTCCTCCGTGTAGGCTGAAATAAATACCCTTTACTGTATTAAATGACAAAATATTCCTATTTCTACAAGGGAACAGCCAGAACGGTGGAGGGTGGGGCTATTATATGTTATCCTGATTCTCAATTTTTGAAGAAAGAAAAAAATATTGCCAGACAAAAAAGAGAAAACTATTATTCTGAAAAGTTCGTTAAAAATTGTGGAAAAAATAATCTGCTTTTCCCGATAAAAATGTAATGAAACAAAAGAAAAAACATAGCACCCCCTTTTATATAAATTATATGACAAATTACTTACAAAGTGACTTGTATTTTTCGTAAATCTTAATAATTCAGTTTCTTCTGCAATTACTCGCACACCATTTATATTGTAACTGGACAGTGATTTCTAACTTGTTTTTATCTAGATTAATTCACATTAAAAATGAGCCTTAAGGCGTGGTTATACCTAAACGTTTAAGAAAAGAATATCCCACTTCAATATGATCGGTACGATAGGATACAATTCCTGGTAATCTTTGCAGAAAATATTATTTTTTGACGGTAAATAAGTCAGATAATGCATATTTTAAGGTGTTTCTTGTGGTATAACGAGGTGTGTTATACGACAAGAAACACCTTAAAATACGCATTATCTACAACATAATGTTTACCAGTAATAGTTAAAATGGGAGAAGAATAAGACAATTCATATTCTGTAGATGGCTCATGGTACGAAGTTTTTTACCTAAATTCTCAAGAAGTTTTACAAATACTGAATTCTCACCAAACACATATTTTGAATATTTAACATTCATATGAATTATGTTTACTTATAGGACCAACTTGAGAAGAAGTTAACTGATGGTACAGTGAAGACTTCAGCTGTTGATCAGATCTTACAACAACACAAAAATCAAATGGAATATGTCCACGACCAGATAGAGAATAAACGTGAACATCAAACACAAGTTATACAAGATAAAATCCAGAGTAAAAAATTAATGAAGGAACAGTAGGTTTTATTTTCTTTTTATTTATAAAGAAGGAAGTTCTCATTTCTGTAGAAAGGATGGAGCAATAATTCCTTAAACTTTAGTCTTTAAAACAATAGCCCTTAAAATCATTTTCTAATAGCACTTGTACCAGTAGTTCCTAAATATGTAGACATGCCGGATCCTTGGGATTCACATAAAAAAATATTCTAGGTATTCATTTTCCACCATTATTAAATGTTAGATATCTTTCAAGCAAAACAATAACAAATGCATTCAAATGGTTGTATATCTGCTTATATAGACTTTGTCCTCTGATTGAAAAGTATTTGTCTCATATTATTAGTTCACCTGGCAGAAAGGCCAAATTATCTTTTCTCATCATTTGGGACCGTCGTCTGTCATTGTCTGTCATTGTCGACAGCGTTTTCAGTTACTTTTGACAAAAATCTTCTCCTCTGAAACCACTGGGCCAAATTTTAACCAAACTTGGCTGCAATCATCATTGGGTATCTAGTTTAAAAAAAGTGTCCCGATGACCCCGTCTGTTAACCAACATGGCCAACATGGCTAAAAATATAACTTATGGGTATATTGCCTAATATTTCAAAAACCGCTATAAATAGGGAAAATATGACAGCAGCAAAAATGTTCACAATGTTGAGCTCTAACTATTGTCTTTTTTTATAAGTCAAAACTGTCAGACGACTTTTTATAGGAGTTGATGAATTTTACCACTTTTAAAATTTTTTTCCAATTAGTTGAAAATTATAATAGATAGACAGAAACTTTAAAAAAGCAAAAATGATCAGCACGACACGATCTACAAATAAGTCAAACATGACCAAAATTGTCAGACGACTCCTTATTAGAGAAATTGATCTTTAATGACAATTTTTACCAGAATTTTGCGTTTTTGCCTTATATCTTAAAAATTATAATAGATAGATTGCAAAAATGATCAGCAAGATAAGATCTACAAATAAGCCATATGGTTGAAATCTTCAGTCGACTTGTTAATGGAGTTATTGCCCTTTAATGATAATTTTTTACATTTTTTTTGCATTTTTTGCCTTTTAACATGAAAACTTTAATAGATAGATAGAAACTTTAGAAAGGAAAAATTATGAGCAGGATAAGATCTACAAATATGTCAACATGACTGAAATTGTCAGTTAACTCTTATTAGAGTTGTTCCCCTTTAAGATGATTTTTACTAAAAAGTAGCAGGTAAGTGACACAGGTTCTTAGAGCCTCTAGTTTACTTAGGTTCTTAAAAATATGTGTCCCTAAATGTGACTTTATAGTCTTCAGCATTGAATAGTAACTCATATTTTGTGTTTTCATATCATGTTTGACAATACAAAATTCATCGAAAATGACAGATAAAGTCATAATATGTATAAAATCCTGGCCCAAAGAAAATAACTAAAGTAAAACTACAATAAAAGCAAGAAATACCACAAAAGGTATATGATTGATTAACATATTTTGAAGGTTTTTTTCCTAGCAGACCAGACATGATTTAGTCAATAATTTTATCTTATTTCAGAGAACTTCAAGAAGAAAAACATGAAGAAAGAGAGATAGTAAAATCAGCTTCTATAAAAAGACGCGGTGCGGGGTAAGTGACTTTTTTACTTTTACTATTTCACATTTAAATGAAATCAATCTTATTATCATGTGACTATGAAAATTCTCTTTTCTCTTTGGCTAAAAACATAGGGAATCTTCTCTGATAATACATGATATTCACTGCTGGAAAAAGCATGATTTGGAACATCTAATGTGTATCTATAACAGAGCTTCCAAAAAATATTTGTGCCAGCCGGACAGTACGACTGTTTTGGAAGCCCTAACCTATAAATAGTTTTTCCCTAGACAACGTCAATATGACTTCATGGATATTCTCGTCTTTCTTTATCTTCATTTTTTTTTAATGTTAAATTTTTTTAGTCAATTTTATTGAATATTTTAACTTTTATGAAAGTTAGCTTCAGCCAAAGCAGATAGACTATTAAGTAGAAAATCAAGGAACAGTTTAATATCTTGAGCAAATATTAGAATATTGGAGATGGATAAAAAAGTAATATAATAAAAAAATTGTTGACTTTTGATATCATTCGATACAATGATATATCAACCCCATTGATATCACATTCACCCTCGGCCATTGGCCTCAGTGAATATCATATCGCTGGAGTTGATAAATCATTGTAACAACCTCATCAAATGTCAATAATTGTACATATATTAATTCCCAATTTGATGTGAATTGGCTAAAATGAACCAAAAAGAAGTAAAAAAAAAACCAAATATTTATTTTTTTTAGACAAGCTGCATCAGTCTTAAAATTAAGTTATCTAGAACAACAACACAAGAGACACAGAGAAGAGCTAGACTTAGAAATGAAGGCTGAGCTAGAGAAAAGCAAGGAAGCATTGAATAGAGAATTAGAAGTTACATTGGATACTGAATTGAAGGTAAATAGCAGGATATATGACAGTTGACTGACACAATTCCTTTTTCCTTTTCTCTTTTTTGTACTAATGATAAACTTCAAAAAGGAAAAGTCATTACTTTAGATTGAAAATAAAAAGTCTTTACATTTGTGAATAGCAGCTTACTATACTGATGGCTTATACACTACAAAGTATAGTATAGATATAATGTCATGAGCCTCTGCTAAACAGAAAACAAATTTCTCTCAAATTTCCAATTATTGATAAAAATTCAAAATTAAGCATAGGGAGTTGGTAAGAATGTATGGGGCCCATGATACAGATCATTTCAATGTATCTTCAAAAGTCAGTGTATAACTTACAATAAGCAGAACCAAGCCACTATAATCAAGTACTCAATGAAATATCTATTCCAGATTGTTTCACAAAATCAAGTGATACATTTAATTACCCTTTTTATGAACAATTTCGTGAATCTCCAAAATATAAAATATACATCCTCAAAATTAAATGAAACTGCAATAATAATTACTGGCATGTTATTTTTTTAGCAACAAAAGAAACAGTTTTTGGCCCAGTTAGCTACAGCCTCAGACATGTCTAAAAGAGAATTAGAGGATGCAGTAGATACGGCTATCAGAGGTAGTTTTATTGTATTCTAGTGAATATAAAAATAAGGAGGTGGGGTATGATTGCAAATAGGACAACTATCCACCAGAGTCTAAATGACATGGATGTAACAAACTATAGGTCGCCCTACAGCCATCAATAATGAGCAAAACCCATACCCTATTGTCAGCTATAAAAGGCTCAGCATGACAAAATGTGAAATGATGCAAACGAGAAAACTAATGACCTTATTTATAACAAAACAATTAATGAAAAACAAATATGACTGACATGAACCAACAACAACCACTCAATTATAGGTCTGACTTGGGGCAGGCACACATACAGAATGTGGGGAGGTAAAACATGTTTATGAGTGCACAACCCTTTTATAAAAATAAGAATGTGATATGATTGACACAACTAACCACCAAAGTTCAAATGAAGTAAATGTAAGTAATTCAAGGCAACCGTAAGGCCTTCACTAATGAGAAAAAAACCATACTGTAAAGGTGGCTATAAAATGCCACAACAACATCACCATAAAAATTAGGATGTGCTATTCTGTTTAAAATAAGTTATCAATCTAAATTTGGCTTTTTGTATTTATAGATACTGGTGGCAATGAGAAGGCTGCAAAGAAACTAGGCAAAGAATTACGTCAGGGATTGCAACGGGCCAAAACAGACTTAACTTTAGATGAAGATGGTGAAATAGGTATAGTTAACTTATATTATTATTAATTGGTTGATTGGTTAATTATTCAAAAAAAGAGTGACAATCTTTAATACTTTTGATCTTGCAAATCAACATGTCTTCCAACAGCAATTTTAGTTTCTTTTTATACTATATTTAGGTAAAGAATAAGTGGGGAGACCCTTTTATAAGATTCCTCGTTCTTTGTTCATACCAAGGGGGCAATAAAAAATCATAATCGAAGAAAGACCATGGCAACAGAAAAAAGACAAATGGCAACAGTCCATGAAACACTAAATGGAAAACTAAAGATTGAGCAACACTAACCTCACCAAAAACCTGGGTTAGACTTAAGTGCCCTGGAAGGAATAGCAGTTCTTGCTCAACTTATAGCAGTAATAATTTGCTACCAAATTGTATAAGAGTGATGTCTTACTTGTAAAAAATGAACACACCTTCTAAATTTTGAAACATCTGGTGTACTGGTGTTGTTTGTAGTAAGCATTGATTTTTTCAAAAGCAAAAGCAAAAATGTTCAGGACTAAAAATTGTATGAAAATGGTAATGCAAAGAATTCAGATAATTAAAAAGGGTAATAATTCACTTACTAAATACAGTACAGTTTCATTAGTTACAGTTTTTCTAACTAGAATTTCCATTGAACTAGAAACACACAGTAGAAAAAAAGATCTTTTTACACATATTTATTGTGAGATGAGTTAATACATATGAAACCTCTGGTTCAAGAATGAATTTAAATATGAATTATGTCCCCTTTTTTACAGTTCCTGTGCCATCTATGTAATATATTTATTTCTGTAAGTTTATGTTTTTGGTGAATATAAAACTGCACGGAGTGTCATTTATATTCTTGATTTGGTTTCTGTATCATGTTTCTAATAAACACTTAATCATTCCAATTAGTTTTATAGTTTTAAACCAATTCCTTTCTGGTTTATGTTCATCTCATTATAGAAAACCTTCAAGGTCATATATCATTGTTTGGTTGCTGGTTTGTGGGTATCCATCTCATTTCTTTTTTCCCTCATATTCATATTGGAAAAAAATCTGGTAAATTTAGAAAAGTAACAAGTAGAAAATAAGTCCAGTTTATATAATGCTGCTAAAATGTGGGTTTTTTTTATTGCCCAAAGTCTCTCTTAATGAGTGCAGAATGTGGTTAATAAATTTGTGTGCATTTCCAAAGGAATTGACAAAATGCAAAGAATATGGTCGTGGTCATAAGCATAGAAATGGAATCAAGTGCATTTTGTATGGTGTGCATATTATTTGATAAAAGAATACAATATTTCTCTTTGTAATTTTATTGGGGTGTGAAAGGGTTGACAGAAGCACATTTTATATGAAGCGTAGAAATTCTAATCTTGATTGTGTAAACTTTGAAAGTAATCAGACCATTCATATCAAGCTTTGTGTAGCTTTTTTTTTTATCAATGACAATATAGAATTGTACTCTTGTACTCAAATGCTAAACAAACGCCTTGGTGGTCTTGTGGTAGCCTGCTCTTCTTAAGTGCAGGAGGTCATGGGCTAGATCCCTGGCCAGGTCAAATCAAAGACTTGAAAATTGGTATTTGCTGCTTCTACACTAAGCATGCAGCATTTTAGGAGTGAAAGCAAAAATAGTCGGCCAGGAGTCAGAATACTGTTTCTTGGTAGGGTTGTCTGGGTAGGTTGACAATTCTTCCTGTGTACTAGCACTTCAAATATCTGGCTCATCTTGTTGGTCTAGAACAAAGCAGGGTTCATATTTATCTCACATCAACATGATCTCATCCTGAATATGTATTTAATTGGACACTGGACATTAAACAGTCATCCATCCATCCATCCATCCATCCATCCATCCATCAAATGCCAACTTTATTCAATTTAGCAAAACTTGAGTCATGTGTTCATATTGTAGTTCAGTGGTAATAACTATATAATGTAATGCCGGCTTTTCCCCCTTTTTATAGTAAACCTATGTCTGTATAGTTTCTTGAAATTATTGAGGATAAATGATAGATGTTAGGGAGATGTCTAATGTTGCAAGTAATGTCAGACTTATAATTTGTTATTTTGGCATTTGTTTCAATGATACGACAGTTTTGTGTATGTTAGTTTGTTAAGAAGTTTTATTTCACGTACTGATTTCATATTTTCGCGGTAGTTACCTTATTAGAATATAAACTCAAATAAAACTCTTCTAATGATCTACTAATGTATTTAAAATCAAAACCCATCTTTATTGATGAAGATCAATCCATGTTTACAAATGATATCAGCATTACGGGAATTTCCCTTGTGTGATCCATGGTTGCAGATTGGTAAACAATATGTAACAAGCTCTGCCATTGTTCAGTTGGAAGTATAAAAGCAAAAGCAACAACAGAACCGAGGGATTGTTGGGTTGGCAAAGTTGGAAAGTATCAAATTTGAATAGAAGCTAAAATGTGTCTGATAATCACAACCAAGCGTTGAAAGTTTACTTTGTTTTTATTAAAGGTTGTCGGTGACGGTGCTAAGGTTGTGGGTGACGGTGCTAAATCAGGTTGCCGGTGACGGTGCTAAAGTTGTGGGTTACGGTGCTAAGGTTGTGGGTGGTGGTGTTAATTAATATTGCCATTGACAGTGATTAAGTTTGTTAGCGATAGGAATTGTTTTATGAATGACGAGACTAAATAATATTGCCGGTGAGGGTGCTAATGTGGTAGTGATAGTAATAAATAAAGTTGCCGATGACGGTGCTAAATACGGTTGTCGGTGACGGTGCTAAATACGGTTGCTGGTGACGGTGCTAAATACAGTTGCGGGTGACGGTGCTAATTATAATGAAGTTATATAGACGGTGCAAATTAAGTTTGTCGGTGACGGTGCTAATGTTGTTACTGGTTGTGTATAAGTTGTTTTTGACGGCGATAAATTATTTTGATGGTACCGGTGCTAATATAGTTTTTGACGTGCAAATTAAGTGTATATGTGTCGGTGACAGTGCTAAGGTTGTTATATTGACGGTTCTAAAGTAATTAATATGTTGTTGGTTTTATTATGCTGAGTTGATGTTGTATAATGTGGAATGGTAGTAATATTATCCTTAAATTGGGATTATTGAAAGATTCTAAATAAGTGACCTCCGGGTTACTTAACTGTTGAATTATATATTATTAGCCGGTTATTATCAAAAGTTTGTTTGTATACTGTAAGACCAACCATTACCGGGGACCCGAACAGACCAGTGACAGAGCTTGCAAGACCCATTCTCTCCGTTGTGGATTATTTTTTATATTAATAAAATATGAAACTTTATTTTATTCAGATATTTTATTTAACAACTGAAAATATATATATAACTACAAGTATACGATTTCCCTTTCTGTAACGTGTTTTGGTCCGACGGTAAACAGTGGATGTCGAACCTTACACTTTATAGATTATTTTACTCTCTTTTTCTTTGTGACCCTGTGTTCTCTGGTGGCCGACTCTAGCACCAGGGAGACAGCGTTTCAATATATTTATATGTTTTGAATGGGGAGAATATAACATAGCTAATATGTAGTAATTAATGAATCAGGACAAAAAAAAATGTTTTTTTTAATTTTTTATAGCTTGTTAAAGTTTAATAAAAAGTAGTAGAGCAGATCCTTGTAAAGAATAAAGTCATTGCTTGAAAATATATTGTGTCTTAAAAATGTTAGCAATATTGCTGTTTCCAAATACAGCCATTCAGTTCAATAATTTGTATAAAAAAAAACAGTTTGAAAGATATTTTACTTTATTTACACCATAACAAACACAAGGATTTAAAATATAAAAATAAGAAAATAATCCCCTACATGCATCAGAATAAACCTAATCTCTATTTCCACTCAGATTTGAATGGTAACTTTCTAGCTTAATTTAGTGAATGCAGTTTTACTTTGAAATAAAAAAAAAAAATCTTATTGATGGTAGTTTCTCAATTTTTATTATATGAAAACTAGTGATAAGCAGAAAAAGTTCATTTGCTTAAAATATTTCATATGCCACCTTCAAAAAAGTATTCACTTTCTAATATCTGCAATTTTACAGCTCATTGTTTTTTAGTTTAATATATTGAAAAAAAATTAATAGTTATTAATATATTTCCTTTCAAGAAGCAGGATATTTTGAAAGATACTTTTTAATTTGGTGCAGATACATTTCTGTAAATTACTGACTAAGGGAAGATGTTGGTTGGTTAGTTTGTTTTTAATGATGTATCAGTGTATTTTGTGAATCTGGATCAAATAATGGTCAGAGAAAATTGTTTGATAGTTTAACATTATATCCATCCACGTTCCACAAATGTGAGAACTGAGTGGCATTTATTAAATACTTTTAAAAGTAAACCTTTAATGTTTGTAGAAATTTTCTTTAAAGAGACAAATTTATAGAAGTTTTTCTTGTATCTGTTGTATATTTGTCATTTTTTGGAAAAAAATAAATATTGTTCAAACTAAAGGATCTAATGCATTCCCACTATTTTCAGCACCTATTTTTAGCTCACCGGGGCCCAAAGGGCCCCATGTGAGCTTATGCCATAACTTGGTGTCCGTCGTCTGTCGTCGTCGTCGTCTGTCGTCATAAACTATTTCAAAAATCTTCTCCTCTGAAACTAATGGACCAAATACATTCAAACTTTAACTAAATGTTCCTTAGGGTATCTAGTTTATAAACTGTATCCGAAGTTTTGATCCATCGACAAACATGGCCGCCATGGCTAAAAATAGAACATAGGGGTCAAATGCAGTTTTTGGCTTATATCTCAAAAACTAAAGCTTTTAGAGCAAATCTGACATGGGGTAAAATTGTTTAATTGGTCAAGATCTATCAGCTCTGAAATTTTCAGACGAATCGAACAACCCGTTGTTGGGTTGCTGCCACCGAATTGGTAGTTTTAACAAAATTTTGCAGTTTTTTGTTATTATTTTGAATATTATTATAGATATATATAAACTGTAAGCAGCAATAATGTTCAGCAAAGTAAGATCTACAAAAATGTTAATATGACCATAATTGTCAATTGACCCCTTAAGGAGTAATTGCCCTTCAAAGACAATTTTACACAATTTGTTCATCAAGTTTACTAACATTTAAAAATCTTCTCCTCTGAAACTACTGGGCCAATTACCTTCAAACTTTAACTAAATGTTCCTTAGGGTATCTTGTTTATAAATTGTATATGAAGTTTGTATCCATCGACAAACATGGCCGCCATGGCTCAAAATAGAACATTAGGGTCAAATGCAGTTTTTGGCTTATATCTTAAAAACTAAATCTTTTAGAGCAAATGTGACATGGGGTAAAATTGTTGAATTGGTCAAGATCTATCAGCCCTGAAATTATCAGACGAATCTAACAACCCATTGTTGGGTTGCTGCCACCGAATTGGTAGTTTTAACAAAATTTTGCAGTTTTTTGTTATTATTTTGAATATTATTATAGATATATATAAACTGTAAGCAGCAATAATGTTCAGCAAAGTAAGATCTACAAAAAAGTTAATATGATCAAAATTGTCAATTGACCCCTTAAGGAGTTATTGCCCTTTAAAGACAATTTTACACAATTTGTTCATCAAGTTTGCGCTAACATTTAAAAATCTTCTCTGAAATACAGGTGAGCGATTCAGGCTCTTGAGAGCCTCTTGTTTTATTATTCCATATGAATTGGTATTGGAAAGATTTTAATATTTATCATGTTACTTTTTAGACTTCATAAGAGGAAGACCTAGTTCTGGTTATCAAGGAGACACCATTAGACCAATGTCAGGTTCAGTTACAAAACAAAAAGGAAAGAAAAAAGGGAAAAAGTCCCAGACATCTGTATATCCTAGTGAACCTAAGGAAAGTTGGATGCATCAAGACTATTATGATAGTGATGAATTACTTTGATAAACATTCCTCATAACTTTTTAATTTGTAGTATCATTCCATATTTACAAGTATAATAAAATATTCTTTCATTATAAGATGACCAGTCAAGTGATAAAAGTAGAAAGATTTCATGAAAAGCTCATTATTGGAGATTCATATTTTTTTACTATTTAAGAAACACAACTGTATAAATCTGACATTAAGCATGAATTATCTTTTATGCTGCATATTCTTTTATATTTGACATTTACCCAATATCTTATTTTATTCATATTTACCAAAAAGTCTCATATTCAAATTAAAAATGTAATGCCAAAATTAGGTTCTTTTACACATACCTGTATTTAGAAATTATGAAATTGCTGTTTTTTATTATAAACTATAGAGAGACACATTACAAGTCCCTCGTCCTCATCTGGTGTTGATCAAATCTTCATGCATAAGCTGTTGACCTGACTATTTAAGAAGAATGTCTCACCTAAATATGTTTATATTCCTTTTATATCAAAAATATGAATATTTATTTCCTATGAAAATATTCTTTGCATGACTAAGTGTTTGCCATTGTCATGTTTACATGTAGGTAATGAAAAAAAGAACATTTTTGATAGATTATTATTTTGTTTTTTTTTACTCTGATCATTTCATAATTGTCATCATTTTATTGGCTAGAGAATATTTTTAATGTTAATCTGTATCAGTGATCTATTAATGATTAGGACAGTTCTGTAGAAAAAGAAATTCTCAGTCTTTAGATGGTGTATGTGTAACTGGACTTTAAACTAAAACTTGTAAGAATGTGAATGCATAATCTTTACTTAAGTTATACATTGTACTTAATTATGTTACATTGAAATGTAGTAGTAGAATGACATTAGTATAGGCATAGAGACATAATACTCATTTTAAGAAGAATATGAATTTACTTTTCAGTTTTTTTAATACAATTCTGCCTAATTTGCTAGACAACATCACACTGTAATAGATAAATGTGAACTAATCTAGACAAGTACTACCAAGAACATACAAGATAAATCAGGCTGTTGGTTTTTCTGTTTGAATTGTTACACATTGTGTCATGTTGGGGCCTTTTTTAACTTATTATCTGGTACAGCTTTTGCTCATTGTTGAAGGCAGTACAGTAACCTATAATTGTTTACACCCACATCATTTGGCTTGTTATTTATAGTTGTCTCATTAGTAATTGTACCACATCTTATTATTTTTATATAGACTTGTTTCAGAAAAGGGAGATAAGCTAGTAAATAGTAAACTTTGGTTTTTAATGTCCTAGTTAGCTTTACAATTATACTTTAATGATTTTTTAATTCATAGAGTATGGATATTATGAAAATAGAAAAAAATACGTATTTTATCTGTATTACTGTCACATCTTTTACTAGTATTGACTGGTTTTTATAAAGAGTTGTACTCAAATTTATTTTACTTTTCAGTTATCTCCCCTTCAGCAATTTTGACACTCACTAGATAGGAGCAAAGTATTCTTTGGCATACATTATTGAATAATTTAATTAAAACAACATGCTCTTGACCATGGACATTTTTAAGATGCCAATTTTATTTCATTAGCAAGTTAATTCCTTCTTTACATATGTTTACATTTATAGGATAAAACAGAAAAATGAAATGATTAATCTTAAATTAGTCCCTTTTTTATGGTTTTTACAAAACAAACAGAATGCTATATGTTCTTTTTTATTATCAGTTTATAAATCATAAATGCTTGTTCAAAGACCTATAAATTCATATTTAAGGTGGAGAAGAAACATTGTGACTCAATATCTCATTAGCTCTAGTGATTATTTTTAATTTCTGTGAAATTCAGTTATACAAAAAGTCAAATGAGATTAATATTTATTGACATCTTGTTATATATGTTACTTTTTATTGTTGACAAACTACAACCAACCTCTGTTTGTAAATATTGATAAGTATATTGTATTCTGCTGTTTTATATAAGTTGCATGGCATTAGGTTTTTTTCAGACCAAATATAATTTGCTGGTAATTGGCAAGGTCAACCATTGCAATACTTCTTGTTTTTTTTTCTAAGAAAAAAAATCTTCTTATTGCCCAGGAATATTTTTTTACTTTGCATCGTTTTTATACTAGCATAAATAAGCCTATAGATAAATAAAACAGGTTTATCTCTAGTGATTTGAAGTAAAGAAATAGCAAGCTTGAGAGAAAACGAAAAAATGAAAATACAAGAAATGCATGTGAAGGAATTACATTCATATATATATTTTTTAACACTACTGATCAAAATATCATCAAGCTATATCCATTATGTACTATGATGGCATTAAGAAACCAACAATCAATCAAATTATTATCATTTATTGTAGTAGATTCTGTATATATATATATATATATATATGTGTTCAATTATGTTAAAGTGAATAAAACCAAAATGAGGGAAACATTTGGCAAGCCAATGATGGATAGACATAAAAATATCAAACTCTGTCCCAACATCAGGTTTCCCTTAAGGGAAATTGGAAAATTAGTTTTTGTAAAAATTACAAAATTATCAACATTGAATTTGTTATAAATTATAACACTGAAAGAAAATAGACAAATTCTGTTTCTGTTTCTGTTCAAAGTTGAAACTAGTCTATATATACTACAAAGTACAACAGTGTTGCAGAAATTCTTCATTTACATTTCAAAGACAAGGTATTCTAAGGATGGCACCCTCTTTATAAAAAAATTACAGAAGTTGGCAAATTTGTACACAATGGGCAAAATGCTGAACATAGTGGAAAATTGGGTTTAGGACTAGGTACAGTTTCATTTGTTAGTAAAATGCTCAAAATGTGGTAAAAAGACATGATTTTGATATCAGCATTTGAACTTTTTTGTTGTATTATTTATATCATTTGACAAACAAAACCAGTTATTTTTTTTAAAACATACCACTCTTGAATTCACATAAACTTCTTACATTATCTAATGTCTTTGTTTTGGACAGTAATTGAAATTCCCGATAATTGTATAAAATAAAAAGATTTTCTTCATTTTCTGGAAAATGCCAGTTTTTTAAGGTTACAGTAAATGTAAGGTACAAGAGATCAGGATAATAATGAACATTCACAGTTTTAAACATTTACTTTTCAATACACCATATTACCTCAGAACAAAAGAGTTTTAATATTTTAGGATACCAGGGACATTTCTTATCATACCTTGTCATTTGCTATTACATCTTATGTCCATCCAATTGTTTCTATTGTCTGTGATATGTACAGGACTATTCTTTTATTTATTTTGTTTACTACTGTTACTTATCATTGTATTAATAAATAAAGTCTATACACTAGCTACCGGTAGTTATTTTGTCTATATGTTTTCTCACAGCTACTGTATATAAATGCAACAAACAAATTGGCAAGTAAATAGATTTTTATATCCCTGATTCAAAGGAGGGATAAATTCTGGTTTATGTCGGTCTGTCTGTCCTTTCTGTCAATCCTTCTGTCCAACCATGTTTTTGTCAGTCCTTCTTTCCTTCTGGCTGTCAACTTGTCCATCCATGTTTTAGTCACTCCTTCTTTCCTTCTGGCTGTCAATCCTTCTGTCTATCCATTTTTTTGTCAAGTCCTTCCCATAAAACTTTTATTGCATTTTAGCAGTAACTAAGAACCAGTTTCCTGAAATTTAGTTTCAAGCTTCATGTCAGCACGCTTTACTGTTTAATACATTTTCAGATTAATTGCTCATAAACTTCCTGTTTACTGAATACTTATATATTCTTACACATAATGGCCATGTATGAAATTTTCATCACATTTTTCTCAGAAACTACAAATCAAGACTTTCTAACATTTGGAGCTTTGTGTTAATGATACGCTTTCACATCCATCAGTTTTCTATTTACTAAATATTTATAAAGGTGTATTATTAGTGAGCAATAGCTCAAAGTATAACCTGTTCAAATATGAAAGTCCTTTAGGGCAGTTTGTGACTGTAATTTACTGTGACTTGATCGCTAGTGCTTATCTGCATTTATTGCAGGCCATTTAAAATTCTGATCCAATTGCAGTTTGTCTTGTTAAATCAAACTGTTCAACTGGTCAGAAATGGTAACCAACTGCCATATAAGAACCACAGTCAAACCATCAATGTTGTCAACATTATTGGTTGTCCAAATGTTTGCTTCTGTGTCTCAACCAATCTGTCATAATTATGTATTCGTTACAATATATTTGAGTCAATGGATATTATTGGTTTACATTAGTGAGACAGCAACCCAATGATAATGTAAAACAAAAATAAAACAAACCATGAGGTCAACAAATGGTTTTCAGTGATAGACAAGTATCAATCCCATCCATGAATTCAGTAACTACCATCTACTATATAGCATCAAATTCCAAAAGGGATAAAAACATAAAGATATTATCAAAAACAAACCCTGATGAGGTTTTTAACTTGGGGTAGAGATATTGACATGTGTCCTAGTAATAAACTAGTTTTGTGAGTACTCAATCTTCTTATAATTTCTCAATGAATGTAATAACAAAAATCACAGAGAAATGGCATAAATAAACCAATCCAGATAAGTATTACAGTAATAGTTTCTAGTTTATTTTTGTCTTGCTGTTCGGGAGAAAATGTGCCATGTTAATGGAGGTTATTGTAACAAAGCTCAGATTAAATAATTTCTAGATGACAATAAATATGTTCCATGTGTCGTTACGACAATTTTATCTACTCCTTGGTTCGTTTATGACATCATAATTGACTTATCAATTTATTAATACTTATGAACAGATGGCACTTGCTCACCTAGATTTTTGTTGGGGTTTTATGTTGCTAAATCTAGCTTCCTGTGTTTCTTCATAGTGTATTGGAGACTTGGATGTTTTGAACTTAACTTCTTTGGCAATAAATACTAAAGGCCTTTTTTATTTGTGAATTCCTTTTTCTAAAGAGGAGGCTATGTTTGGAATCTAGGTGAATTGTCGATACCAAATTTCCTCATGAATATAAATAAGAAGATGTGGTATGAGTGCCAATGAGACAACTATCCATCCAAGTCACAATGTGTAAAAAGTAAACAATTATAGGTCAAAGTACGGCCTTCAACACGGAGCCTTGGCTCACACTGAACAGCAAGCTATAAAGGGCCCCAAAAAGACTAGTGTAAAACAATTTGAACAGGAAAACCAACGGTCTTATCTAAATAAAAAACGAGACACGAGAAACAGATTTTTCAGATCAAAATATGAGTGTACATGTATCATTACAGCTTTTTGTCACCATAGACTGTTCCCTCGAATTCATAAACCTGAAGATCATAAAAGGTATTTTCGAAAAATAAAATACATTTATAGAGTTATTGATTTAATTAATGTGTCTAGTATTTTTAATGACTCTACAGTTCAGACCTTTATACCTCCATTTTTTGATAACATAGAGCCACCTATAATTTCTTATTCGTATAAAAAACCTAGTAGAAATTTAATTTTTAAAATTATATGTTAGTTACATCAGATGTCAGTATAGAAAATAAATGCTCCTTCAACATGCGACTGTTAAAACATTGAAGTTTAGATATGATCCCTATGGCTATGTAATTACAAGTGGACCTCAGCATTGTTCAAGACCAAGAGGCTATAAACTTTCTGAAAAAAGGACCAAAATATTATCCACCATCGAAAATAAATTTGAAAGAGTGTGGGAGAAATCTGACAAAAAGTTTCTCGATTCCTATTTAAATAAATGTCTGAATATAGTTGATATTTGCGTATCACATTTCGAAATTATTTAGAAATAAATGAAAGAGTAAGTAATACGCCTATTTCTGGGATTAAAAACATAACTCAAGTACTTGCAAAGCGTTTTGTGTAAGTACCGGTTGATAAAGCCGCCAACGATGTGGTGGTTGCATCATAAGTACTTGGGGGACAGGAAAATTTTTTCTAAAATCAGTTAAATATATTTTTTTGTTTTCTTTTTCTTTTAATTATTTTTGCGTTTTTCTGTGTTATATTAACATAAATATACTAGAAATAACATGTATTTGCTATAAACTATCAATTCCTTGTTTACTATCCACAGCGGTCACTGATTACAGTTAACTTTCAGATTTAGTCTGAGGTTAAAGTTTTTCAGTCATCAATAACTTACTATGTCAAACCTTCATGGAATTTTATGAACTTTGGACAAAAACTTGTTAATGACCTAAATACAGTATCCAGAGCAAAATTTTAAAAATATTTATTTTCATTTTTCTGTATTTTACTGATAAATGGACTTACTTTTTTTTACAGTTAAAAGTAGATACAGTCTAAAGTTTGTTACACATCAATTTCTTTGTCAAAGCTTCATAGAATTTTATGAAACTTTGGCAGAAACTTTTTATGATTAAGAGTTAATGTATTTTTTTTCAAAAGTTTGCTTCAGACATTATCTCTTTTTTCTGATAGATGGACTTAGTTTTTTACAGACAGTCGGGGATTAAATTTTTTTGACATGATAAATTTGTAAACCTTCATGGATTGTTATGAAACTTAGACAGAAGCTAATCTTCTAGACCAAGAAATAGCATCTAATGAAAAAGTTTTAAATTCTGTATTTTACTGATAAATAGACTCACTTCTTAAGTCAACATTACACTTTTACACTGACAGTAGCAATCGCATGCGAGACACAAGGTTCCACAGAACCACTTACAAATTTTTTAATGTTCACTGGCAAAACATTTTGACTGAATGCTTGTCATCTATACTCATAAACAGAGAGGATCTAATGAGTCTAAGTCGCTCACCTGGGATCTAAAAGTGCATTGCCAACATTGAAAAAATTAATATAGTTCATGACCTCTTTTTTTGTTGCTTTTGTATTGCTGATAATTTTTTCTATTTTTAGTTTCTCTCTCTCTAATATAGTTTTTTGCACAAAATACAAGATTTGAGTAAAAAAATTCTTGATTCAACGTCAATAACTTCTATAAGAGATAAAATTGAGAATGGAAATGGGGAATGTGTCAAAGAGACAACAACCCGACCATAGAGCAGACAACAGCCGAAGGCCACCAATGGGTCTTCAATGCAGCGAGAAACTCCCGCACCCGGAGGCGTCCTTCAGCTGGCCCCTAAACAAATATGTATACTAGTTCAGTGATAATGGACGTCATACTAAACTCCAAATTATACACAAGAAACTAAAATTAAAAAAGATACAAGACTAACAAAGGCCAGAGGCTCCTGACTTGGGACAGGTGCAAAAATGCGGCGGGGTTAAACATGTTTTTTGAGATCTCAACCCTCCCCTTATACCTCTAGCCAATGTAGAAAAAACAAACGTACAACAGTACGCACAGTAAAACCCAGTTTAAGAGAAGTCCGAGTCCGATTTCAGAATAGGAAACAAAAGAAAATAAACAAAATGACAATAATACATAAATAACAACAGACTACTAGCAGTTACTGACATGCCAGCTCCAGACCTCAATTAAACTGATTGAAAGATTATGTCTTCATCATATGAATATCAGAACTTACCATTTTGCCATTGTTGAAATATTTGTAAATATTGTTTTGCTGATCATTTTGTAGAAATTGTCCTGTTGATCATTTTTGCAATAACAGTTTCTGTTAAAACCCTGCTTTGTTCTCGACCAACACACTGGATTTTATTAACATGCTAGTTCACATGGTTACAGTCCATAGACTTAACTTTACTATTGGAAGTTGACCATGAAATATTAGATAACTGCCAAAAATTACAGTGTTTTAAGACTGATATAAAACATGTATGATAAGAATGAATAATAAACTTGACAGCAAAAATGCTCAAAGAAGAATTAAGACCAAGAAGGTTAAAAAAAGATGTTGAGCATGCATTTGAAAAGACTGGAAAGCAAAATTTCTCAGAATGAAAGAAACATTCATAAATAGTGTTTATATCACTGCATATATAGGATGCTGTTAAAATCTGTTGAATAGCTGCAACCCTATCTAGTCACAGAGAAGTGCTACAATATTTATATAAAAGCAGCACATAATCAGTAACAAGAAAGGCTGTTAACTTGTAAATTTTTAGACAGCAGTAATTTCAGAAGTTAATATGTTATCAGATTTCTGAAGAAAATAGAAACTACACGAAAGAAAAGAGAAAACTGCACTTCCATTAGACCAGTACATCAAGCCCTTACAAAGAAATCAACATTCTCTCACTCTTTCACTCCCTCTCAAACTTACTTCTTTACATACTACTCTCAACATTACCCTCATCCTCTCAATTCTTCCTTTTCTCCATATAGGACAAACATCTTAACATACCAATTTCTCATTATTTACCCTCACCCTCTCAATTC